AAAAAATTGTTAGACAACTGGTTGTTACATTTTCAGAGAGATTTCCTAGTGATGAATTTCAAAATGGTCGATTTAAGAATAGTGAATGCGAAATTTTTATTCAAAATTCGTATACGGAAATAAAAAAAAATAAACGTTTGTAATGAATCTTAAAGTGAATCATTTATTTTTAAATCTTATTCTCGCTACTTTCGAAAATTCGGCTCGCCTGCTTCGCACCGCATTTCGTAGTCGAGTGAAACTCGAATACCATCTAGTTAAACTTAAATCTATGCAATAATTTTCCTTTTACTTCAAGTGGGAACAAACTGATTTCTTTGGTTTCTTATGATTTTCAGTGATTTCTATTACTGGAAATCAGTTTGTATGTGATCATTGGAAACGTTTAGAAATGTTGCAAAATGACGAGAAATCAATAGAAATCAACAGTGGTCACTGAAAACATTGCACATTCTGAAAAAAAAAGGAAATTAGTAAAAATCATCAGTAACCAATAGAAATCAATATTTTCTTTCACTATAATAGTTCGAGAATTTCTGTGATTTACATTTATTTACATTTGTTTCTTGTAATTGCTAACAACTGAGTCGTTATTCGCATCTTTAATATATGATGATTTCTAGTGTAGTGATTTCCGATGATTTCTAATGATGTCCAATGATTTCTATGCCTAGAAATCAGTTTGTTCCCCCTTGTTTTATTTATTTGCATTAATTTAAGATGAGAAATACTTGTGATTTTCTTTTTATTGAGAGTGATCATTCAGCGCCATTTATTTATATTTTGTGGCTTGTTACTCATGACTTCTTTTGGGTAGACATGAACAAATTATTTTAAAGAGTATTTTAAAGAAAATTGAGTCACTATTTGAAATTATTCGAATCTGAAATTTTGAGCAATGGCATGTATTTTCTTTTTTTCCCGAGAGTGTATAAGCAAAACAAATCTTTCCTTTCTTTTTTATGATGGTAACGTAATTCAATAAAATCTAACACAGCATTGTATGTTCACATAGCAATCATCACCATGATATGTTTCATTGGAAAAATCTTTTAAATGGCTAATAATTTCATTTTAGCTAGGCCACTCACATATTTCTTGGAGTCACAGTTGAATCCATTTCAACTTCCATCAAGTTTTATCCATTACAATAAAAGGTGTTAGTGGAAAAGAGCGGAAAAAAAAGAAACGAAAATATCCATATATGGAAGTTTTCTTTGTCTTTCTTTCGTTATTTTCCACCAAGTTCCAATAAAACGTTTTAATAATAAAAGTAGAGGGGCGTATAAGATACCCTATCGGTCCATTTAGATTTTTGCACCTCAACCTAGTCACATTACATATGAAATGAAAGCTCTCGTTGAAACAAGCATTTCGGTACTAAATCTGTCACGAACAAAAATGAATTTAAAAAAAAGTGATGAACACTAACAAAAGTTGACTATTTGGCTGTTGCTCTTGAAAAGAGTCTCCCATTTTCGACACAAATATATCACACTAGAACTATTCTCACAGTGACCAGTCGATAGACTTTTTAAAGCTGTACAAAACAGCACGATTAGAAAAATAAAACAGCATTGGTCGCTTCATAGGATACCATCTTTTTTTTGAGTTTTTTCCATATTGCGACGAAAATTTTTGGCAAAAATTCAGATGGACCATTTTTTTAATCTATACCATTCGATAGACATTTTTACGTGCCACAAAATAGGATGATTACGAAAGTCAAAAAACATTGGGCTCTTAAAGATAGCTTCGGCATACTCTCTATTGGATTCTGGCCTGCAAGACTATAGTTGCTATAAAAAATTATGCTATATTCGGAATCAGTACCGAAAACTGAGTGGATTTGACTGCATTTTCAATCTTTTTCAGTAATTACATTTTAGTCGAAAAAATTCCCTGCACTACCCCTCAAGGCTAGGTGAAAATATTAACTTCACCAGAACCACTTTGTTTTCGTTTAACGTTCTGCTATTTCGAGTTCTAATAACAATTTATATGTTTAGAACTTCATTGCCATTGTCGTAATCGTGTTTTAGTAAAGTTAATATTTTCACCCAATCTTGAGGGGTACTGCAGGGAATTTTTTCGACTAAAATTTAATTACTGAAAAAGATTGAAAATGCAGTTAAATCCACTTAGTTTTCGGTACTGATTCCGAATATAACATAATTTTTTACAGCAACTATAGTCTTTCAGGCCAGAATCCAATAGAGAGTAGGAAAAAACGACAAATCACCACTCAAAAAAAACTGGTCAATGTGAGAATAGTTCTAGTGTGATATATTTGTGTCGAAAATGGGAGACTCTTTTCAAGAGCAACAGCCAAATAGTCAACTTTTGTTAGTGCTCATCACTTTTTTTTTAAATTCGTTTTTGTTCGTGACAGATTTAGTACCGAAATGCTCGTCTCAACGAGAGCTTTCATTTCATATGTAATGTGACTAGGTTGAGGTGCAAAAATCTAAATGGCCCAATAAGGTATCTTATACGCCCCTGTCCTTTGAAAGCACTCGTCAGTGTTTTTCGTTATTGACTTTTCTCACTCGAATTTACCAAAAATCTGCAAGTGAAGATCTTGGGTTTTGTTCTATAACCTACTGGGTGCAATTGAACTCTACTGGAAAATTATTTTCTTCAAACGCAATATCTAATTATTTATTGGTATACTCTTATCCATTGTAGAGATTTCAGCTTGATCGATTGTCTCGACTTCGAAAATCGGAAACTAACAGCAAAAAGGAAAATGCATACACTTGAATCTCAAGTCGATTAAAATTTCGATGCAAATCATGTGAACTGAAAGATTCTTTCGTAGATTTTCCTTGCAGTTTGTTAAGATGAACTAGCGTTCAGTTGAGCTAGTTGGCATTTTTACATTCAAGTTATGCTAGATGAAAATGAAACATAACTTGATATGCATAATGAAATCAGTTGTGTACTCTGATCTTTTTAGTTTTGAAATCTCTTTTTAGTTTTGCCTGAATTTCATTCAACTTCGACTATCTTATAAAACAGACAAAAATAAAAAGAAAGAAAAATGTGAATTGCATTTGTACTTTATAATCGATAATGATATGGAGTTAGACATGATTTATTAAGATTCATTTATAACGGAAATGAATTTTGCTTACATATTTATTCAAATAAACGTCACGATTGATGATTTATGTCAAGATAAATTTGTAATACTATTTTAAGAATTAATATTAATAAATAATGGAAGCACAAAAAGAAAAAGAAAAGAAAAGAAACGGTGGTTAGCATATTTTCAAAAAAGAATCTATCGATATCATTTATGAATATCTATTAGAATTTGAATGAATTATTTTTAGTTTACTTTATTCAATTTTGCATAAATGTAGCAAAGAATCTTTATTATTTAATTTTAAGAAAAAGAAAGGAAAGTCCAACAGTCAACTAAACCGAGAATATTACTTTTAAAATCTATGAAAGTATCATAAATTTTTATTGAGAATCACCCATTGAAAGAATAAAAACCAAGTTTCGTTTTTGTTCAAATAGCGTTCCTGTCAGAGCAACAACAGAGCTAACAACAAGTATCTGTTTAAAACTATTTTTATTAACATATTATATTTAATAAAGTATCAATGATGTATGTTGAACTTTCATTTCATAGATTATTTGATAGATCTGTAAGTATGTTCGAATTATAATATAATTCTCTTGTTTGAATGTCTAATTAGGTAAAAATAGATTTCTTATTTCTTTTATCTCAACCATTTAGGTATTCGTGCGTAATCCATGATTTATAAATTAAAGAAGACAATTGTTCATAGGAATTCTATTCATAGTTCAAAAAGATTTTCAACTAATTGTTTCATAATTTTCTTAGATTGCCTTTCCATTCTGAAAAGTATACAATGTTAATCAACTTCAACTAGACATAAATTTGATGTTTCGATAAGAATTCATAAAAGATATTGTCTAAAATTATTTAGTTCTATATTTTTAAAAAACAGGAACGTATGTAGAACAAATATGATAAAAAAAAAGAAGAGGAAAAGTAACGGAGTTGTTTTTTTTTGTATGTTCCACGTTAATATAATATGATCTTTTAAAAATTTAAGAAAAACAGTAGAAAATAGCTACTATCGTCAACAGAATGCTGTATGTTACTGATTTGGCAGCATTTTTTTTATCAACATCAATCTGAGTGGAGTCGGATTTACCACGGATAATAATAATTTCGTGTTGCGCGAAATGAATTGGCTGAAGTAAAAATTCATTTTCATTGGGAGTAGATAGTGTTTCATTCGTTCGAATTGAAGTTTCTTTGGATAAAATATTATCTGTTGTATTCGCAGTGTAATTAGTTGCCACAGCAGTTATGACAGTTGTAGTTTTTTGGCAAACTGGATCAGTACTTACAGCTGGACACACTTCACTGACTGATGCTGATGATCGAATAGGTACTGTTTGAACAAGATTACATGTACGAGCTAGTAATTGATTCATTGAAGCACCGTCAGTATGTATTTCCACAAAATCAGCTGGTATAAATGTTTTATTATCAGTTATGTTTGCTGATAGTGGTTCAAGAAAAGCTATCGAATAACCATGGCCAACAGGAAATTCTTGACAATATTCTTTACCTTCAACATGACCTAGAAAGCGTTTTAAATATTTTGATTGTGAGATTCTCATTATAGAAAGAAGGTTTTCTTTTTATTTACCAGCACTTGTGATATTAATTTGTCGTAATGTTGCTGGTCCTTTTAAAATACAATAAACTTGAAAGAAAACATGAAATGTAGAATCATTTTCTTCATCCAAAATTTTAGCCATAGCTTTTCCATAGACAACAATTGACGATTTTGCTACTTTAGTATCAAAATCGATTGTATCCGGTGAGCATTCTCGATCAGTTGTTGGTATACCATGACAAACAGATATGATGATCAGAAAAATAACTTTACTAATAGTTAACATTCTTAGTTAGAATCCTAGTTTGATATCAAGTCGATTTGAATGAACTGATCGACTAAATCTTGCATATATTTATATGTACGCTACAGAAAAGTAAAAATACACAGTCATCATATGATATTAATGTTTATCTGATGAGCAAAATGGACGATGATCATAGAAGGAAAAACATTTTTCTCTTTCCATTCTGTTCGTCAGAGACATCGATCTACATGACTTTGATCATTTATAGCATTGAAGAAGAATTCTAATGTTGCTTTACGTCTGTTAAATGAACAGCAAGAACTATTATGATAATTCTGTTTTGCTTTACTTGAAACTTATGCACTTAAAAGTCTTCTAAAATAATGTTTCGGTGAAACTAATTTTATGTCCTACAAAATACATCGAGTGCACTTTCAAAAGGCGATACATGTTTTCATAAGTAATTGAATATATTCACAAGCTGGTTCTTTTCATCAAATAGTGATGAATAAACATTATTTTTCTGACGTTTTTTACATCAAGCATCAAGCAGCACAATAGAATCATACATAATAATAAAAAAAGAGAAACAGAGATAAAGGCATTTTTTTCAAAAACATTTCGCTTTATTTGTTCATTGCAAATCTTCATCAACATTTCTATCAGTTCTTGAATGAGATCGATATGAAGAATCACCAGCGGCCGTTTTACGTGCTGATAATGATGGTGTTCGTCTATTTGAACGCGGATTAAAATCATCGTCCTCATCATTATCATTATTATTATCATGTTTATGGATTCGTTGTTTTGAAAAAAGATCTTGTTCTTTTGGGTTAGATTTTTTCCGATTTTTAACTAAATCATCTTGTTCATTTTCATCATTAAATTTTGAACGTGATTTCTGTCTTGCTGACGATCTTCGTGATGAACTTTCACCACCACCATCATCATCATCATTATTATTTAAATGCGTATGTCGAGATGAGTTTTTATAATCGTCATCCATTAAATTTTGATTAGTATCAATGTTACCATCATCATCATTTTTTTCGACACGTTTCGAGTAACGATCTTGTTCTTTGAGATTAGTTTTTTTTTGAATTTCACCAAATTCATTATCTTCATCATTTAATTTTGAACGTGAATTTGATTTAGATGTTGATCTTCGTGATACACTTCCACCATCGTTATCATCGTCACCATCTTTATCTAAATGCGTATTTCGTTTATCACGCGATGATGTTCGATAATCAGCATGCGTTAAGTTTTCTTTAGTGTCATCATTGGCATTATTAGTTCTTGGTAATTGATTTGCTCTATCATGTGTAATTCTATTTGTTATTTTTCGATGAGGAGATCCAGTTCGTTTCGATGATTCTAATGAATCATATTTTTCTTCGTCATCGCGTTCTCCGTCGCTAGTAATTGTTGTTAACTTTTCAGCTTTAGAATGTGGACTTGGACTTGTTATAGCCCATTGTGCTACAAGAGCTTGTGGGCGTGGTGTGCCAAGAGGTGGACCCTTGCTTTGTGGAAAGTCATCGCGACGAGATGATGCAGACGAAGGAGCTAATGGAGGCAGGTTATCACCATTTAAACGACTTCGACCTGGTCCAATTACTTTTTTCTTTTTTCGAGTTATTGATCGAATCGTTGTTTGTTCATCTGTTGAGTCGATCTGTTGATTTTCATCGACGTTTGATGTGGTAGATCGAGCTACCGGTGATTCTTTTCTTCTTGGTGAATTTTCTATACTATATCGTCTTGGACGGTTTTCTCCATCACTATTGTCATCACAAGCAAATGTACGAGAATGAGATGAAGATCGGGGCGCTGGTATTGGTGGAAGAGATGCATTTTCATTTACTATTTTCGATCTTATTCTCTCATCGTTTGATAATCGATTCGATTTATCTTTTGTTGATTTTTCTGGTGCATTACGCTAAAATGAAAAAAAAGAAAGTTCAAAAGCAATATTATTATTTTAATCATTTTAATGAAATATGAATAATTCATTTCCGTGACAAGTCATGCTTTAAAATAGATCGATGTATCTCAAAAATGAATTGAGCATATTAAGCTAAATATTGGAAATAAAAACAGATTAGCAAATAATAAAATCGAAATCAAACTGTTCTTTGTTTATTATCATTTGACATAAAGACAAAAAAACATATGTATATATATCACAGACAGCAGATAGTGTGCAAGTTTCCTTTTCTATTTTTCGCCATCAACAGCAGTAGGAGCAGCCGTAGATCTTACTTCAGCATTTTTGACAGCATGTCCAATGGGAATAAAACCATTTTTAATTGTATCGTCATCTTCATCATTATTGTCTTGCGCACCTTCTTCTTTGTCTCGTCTACAAAGAAAAAATAAACACTGACTTTTATTTAACTGTCCTATATATATATATATATAAAGTTTGGGAAACTGTACTCTTCACGTAATTTTTTGACACGTTCCTGTCGTTCAAGTTTCGCTTTTTGTTCAGTTTCAGTACGCTTTTGAACATCTTGTTCAACACGTCTATTTAGTGAATCAAAATTTTCATAAACAACTTTAATAAGCCAATCAAAACCGTGTCGAATAGATTCATCGATTTTAGAATTTTTTCCATTACGACTTAATGATTTAGCTGTACATAATTCCTGCATAAATCGAACGAGAAATCATACATTCAATATTTTCATTTTCTTTTTGTACTTACCACTCGACATAGCGTTTGATTTTCGTTAACAAGCCGTTCAATTCTTAAATCTTCAAGAATTGTATTCTTATCAAGTGCTTCAGCTTTATCTTGTTTATTCGCCAAACTAAAGCAAATAAAAATTGACATAGTTAGTTCAGAAGGCTTTTCTATTCATCTTTATTTAATACATGAGAATGGGTTTTCCTTTGACTTTTTCTTCTTGTAGAAGTCTTTTTAATACATCACGATTTTCACCTAAACGATTTTCTTCACTTGAATCAAGAACATAGACGAATCCATATGCATCATCGTAATAGTGACGCCAAGCTTCTCGAAATGTGTTTGCACCACCCAAATCAATTAATTTAATTTTTTCATTTTTATGCGTAATTTCTGTTTGAGAATAGCCCACCGTCGGTGCAACGGAATCGACTGGAGCTAAATATTAAATACTAAATATTACTAATATAGTGTTAGAGAATTTCATTACCTTTTTCAAGTACTCGAGTTGTTGTTGTTTTCCCTAAAGATATAGAAAACAAAATAGTTCAAGTTTTCTTTTAACTTATTGATTTTACCAGCATTGTCTAAACCGAGTATAGCAATAGTGATTGGTCTATAAGAAAAATAAATCACAAGTGAAAGCAATACTTTTGTTAACATTAACAATTTTTACTTGTTAGTATTAGCTGACCCTTTACAAGGTGTACTACCCATGACTCGTCGATCTTCTTCTTCTCTTGGAGAGATGTAAATACAAATATATTAGACAGAATATTAGGCCTGTTGCTTGCGTTAAATCAAGTCAAAGAGAAAAGAAAAACTAGAATTCAGCACACTAGCTGGTAGGAAATAGGAAAAAAAGAGTTTTTATATTTATTCTGAGGAAGGAAGAAAAAAAACAAATTATCATACGTCACCATATAAATGTTTTGCTTGTTCTTTTTACACTAGACATAAGTCCATTGTGTTGCTAGGTGTTGAACATGTTAAAAGCAAAAACTAACGTCGCCCTATGGCACACAAAAAAAGATGTCGCTAACAGCGATAAAACAATCTCAAGTATTATTCTGTAAAACACAATTTTGACAATTTTTGGAATAAACCTTATGTCTCCTTGATGTCATTAGGCCATTTCTTAAACTTCAACACAGCGTCCCTAAATATTTTAGCAAAGATCATAGATACACATGTCATCTTGATCGGTCACAAAAAAGAACATAGAGTAGAATTTTGTGTTTCAAGGGTGTTTCTTTTCATGGTTTCACATATTTTCTTAAAGCTTCCAAAATATTTTCCGCTATAAGTCTCCTCCTGTTTTTTCATTTCTATCATATAGTGTATCATAATTAGTTAAATTATTCGAATATACATACCTGTTTTGTTTTTCTGTTCGACTTTATTGTAAATTTTACAATTAAACATATTAGTCATAAAAAAAAGAAAAGAGACTAATAAAAGAATACTTTTTATCATAAGTCAATTTGATTGTTAAAGTCAGAGAACACATTGCGATGTAAAGAAATAAAAGAAACGCTAAACAATGAAAACGAAAACTCATGTGTCTCGCCGCTTTATGCTTGCTGTATATTGTGTTTGGAGAGAACGAAAACAGTATGCAGATTGAAAATACATGATTCGCATGCTATTTTTTGTGATAAAAATACAATATAGAAACAGTTTATGTACCATCACGGTACTGGATGTAACAATATGATCGAACTGTAGTCGCTATAGATTTGATCACGAGAAACGGTTGGCTGTCTTTTGTCGTAAAATTCTTATCTTGGCTAAGCAAGATGTGTCTCAGTTACAATGTGCTATTTGCAGAATGAATCAATTCAAATAAAAACTGGCTGACATTTACTATTTTTTTCGTGTCGAAAATTATCATACTGAATGACTCATCATGATATAAACAAGAAATGTTACAGAGTTTTACTTAAAGTAGCAGTATGTTGTCTATAAATCTTCGTAGCTACTTGCTTAAGAGGTTTTTTTGATTCGAAATAAATTTGTTTTCCTCACTCAAGTTGGTTCAATTTCATAAAAAAATGATTCCTACCTTTTCGAAATTCTAAAGTTGTATATTTATCTTATCTTAAGAACCAATCTATTTAAGCGAACCACTTAGAATGTCGACCCAAGCATCTACTTAATAGATTTGCGAAAGATTTCAGTTCCTATCAAAAAAATTTCAGTATGAATACATTCCATGCATAGAAGCAAATTCAACCGATCAAGGTTGTGAATACCATAACAGTGTCTTGTTTATGGTAGTTTAAATAAAATAAACGTCTTTCAAATCTAAAACGATGTATCTGAACAATCAAATAGAATATTTCTACTAAAAATTTAAACATCGTTTTGTACACATCTTTTTCTCATTAGGAACAGCGACGGCGCGAACGGGGGGGGGGGGGCGGCCCCCCCCCCAACTTTGGAAATTTTTGTTTCAATTTTACTCCGATTTTTGAAAAAAAACCTCCCGTTTTCAAGTAACCCCCCTATATTTTTGTTGCTTCGCGCCGTCCCTGATTAGGAAAAACATATTTTTGTAGAAAAAATGTATTATTTTTTACAAATTGACATACGACTGATAATAAAACATTCAACAAAGTTCAATTAGATAATTGTATATTTTAAGACAATAGAAGTTCGTTCTGCATGAAAAGTCGAAGACGTGACAAACAAAAAGATACTTTTTGTCTGGTGGTGAAAATCACAATAAAATCATGTTTTAAAAACCGATTTATGGAAAAAATTACGTTCGCAATCTAAAATCTAAATTGTTGTTGAAAATAAATGTGTATAAAAAGAGTAGACATGTCTCTATCAGTTTCTAACATTTCTATTGTAAACTAATTTACTTGTCAGTTAATATGTATAACGTTTAAATCTGGATATCTATAAATTCGTAATATATTTAGTTTTACTTATGAGATAAAATTTCTAAATTTTGTCTATACAAAACGGAATAAAACTATAACGTTGCTATCAGTCAAATACAATTGAATAGTTTTCATTCTACAATATAACATGTAGGATATTTAAAAAAATCAATTGAATCAAATTAATAATAAGAATATATGATAATCCATTCGTTCCATTTTGACGTGCTTCATCATCAGAAAAAAGTGATCTATGATTTTGACCTTGAAAAAAACTGAGACTAAGATTATTTTGTTGATGGTCATCTAAAAGAAGTGATAGTATAGCAAGATCAAGTGGGTCTTTTCGTAACGTAGTAGTAGTGGTAGTAGTAGTAGTAGTAGTAGTTGTTGTTGTTGTTGTTGTTGTTGTTAAAATTGATTCAGTAGATGTTATTGTTGTCGTTGCTATCGTTGTTAATAATGTAACAGTTGTACTTGGTATTTCTATAAAAATAATGCAAATTATATAAAAAAATATTTCGTTAAAACCTACCTGATGGACAATATACAGAAACAGTTGGTGGACATTTATTAGTTAACGCTGCTTCACGATGATTTATTTCTGTAAATGGATATGTTCGTGATAGGCCACATGTTTTTTCCAGTAAACCATTGATTTTATTATTATAAGGAACTTCTTCAAAATCTGTTGGACGATAAGTTCCATCGAAAAATGGTTCAAGAAAAACAATATACCGTTGATTAATATTTAATCGTTGACAAGAACGGCGACCAAGAAGTGAACCTAAATTTAATTAGTTTTAAGAGACTAACACAAAATGAATTTTGTTTCCTACAAACCTGCTTGAACAATATGAATAATGCGTTGGGTAGGTTGACCTTTTAAAATGCATGAGACAAGAAGTGTAACATTGAATAAATTTCGAATATTAACATCATTGTGTTTCTTTAATGAAGTGCCAAAAACAATAATAGGTGATTCTTGAACTTTCGTACTAAATGGTACGTCTTCATTAGAATTTTTATCACATTCCAAAGCTAATATCAAATTTATAAGAATAAAAATAAGACAAACGCTAATGTATAAACGATGATTATTCATATCTGTCACTGAAAGAAATGAACTGATTTGAATGACGATGGTTTTTATTTCAGGTCCTTTCTTTTTTGTTTATCAACGAAATTATCGTAGCTCGAATTACTTCTTCCATCGGCACTATAAAGGGGATCGAGTATCAATCTACGTGATTATTAAAAATGAAAAGAACAGAAAAAATGCTCATAATGCTTGTTTCATAATCGAGAATGTGCTTGGTTAAGTGATTTTCGTTATAGAAAAAAGAAGAAGTTTATCTAATCCTTTTTTTATTCTTCGTTTTATCAGGCATCGAATGAGCCTATACGTAAAGAAGAGTTTTTTATGATTAAAAAATACTCGTGAATGACATAATCAAATAAATTTTCATTCTAGAATAAAATCTTACATTTTAACAGTACGTTTTTACTTGCTTCAAATAACTACAATAGTTTCATCGTTGTAGTCAACAACGAAAAAAGACCAGAAAAAGTTTTAATCTTTGTAGAATGCCCTGTAAATTTATGTTTCATTAGAGGCTCATGATTATACTTATGACGTGTACCATTCAGGATCGATTCCAGACGTCAAATTCTATGTCATACAAAGAATCAAATATTTAATATAAAAAGTAGAGAAAATGCTCGTGAGATTTTCTATCTTTCTGAAATGGTTATTTTAATAAGTCTAGAAGTTCGATTCAAATTAGAAACATTCTCTCGATACATATGTGATAATTCATACTCCGTGATCTAAACTGGTATTAGTTATCACCATGTTCTTTCTAAAGGATTGAAACCGATTATCAGTTTTTATTAAAAGTCAAATGTTTTGTAACAACTGAAATGAGGGTCGAAGAGAATAGTTATATTTCCTTTATCGATAGAAGATTTCTTTTTATTGAAATTTTATCACCGAATCCATTTCTCGGGTACAGAACTGGCTCCGTACAGTGGAAACTGGCATAACTCTAGTGCTCTTACAGCATCATGTCTTAGATCTTGGTTGCAAATCTCTTCTTCTGTCGTTTCCAAACATATTTTTATTGATATACTCAGAGGATTGACAAAATAAATCAGTTTTTATCACTTCATATGTTCATATGATTAATACAAACGTACATATAATCTTAACGTTATCCATAGACTACGATATGATAAATTGGTTATGAGTGAAGAGAATTCATCATCGGCACCCATGTTTTAACTCTTCCTATTCAAAGAATTCTTTTCTTCTTGACTTAAACATATGACACTAAAAATTTTTTCTGGTCGAAAAATTTGCATCACTTAAACATCTTTTCTTGATTATCTCTCAATTAAAAACAGCTACAATTCTCGAATAAAATATCAATAAGCAGATAGTCATGAAGAAAAAATTCACTATTTAAAAAGACAACTTGTAAGAATTTTCATAGTCCTTGCCCAATCAGGCCCAAACCTCGCCAACTTTCTATGCAACAACTCGTCGCTACATCGTTAATTGAATCTGTGACTAAATACCAATGCAAAACACATATCCACTGAAAAACATAGAGTATGTACATATCCTACAATTTTTCTCGTGCATCTACAAGACAAGGCGTGCATCTAAGACAAGCAAATCATGTCAAACCAAGACGACACGACCCTTGTCAAATTCGTCTATTTTCCGATCGCTATGATAGAGAGTCGCCAGAGTTCGCAAGAGTTGAGAGCATAGTTATCAACTTAACCTATCACTAAGCAAATCATGTACCGCACGTCATCAACATCGTTATGCGACATTTATCCATGAGATCACTAACACATAAAAATCGAAATGATTAGCGATGCGTTTGTTTAGAAACTACAGATTGTCGCAACCAACAACTATTCATATTGACTTTATTTAATGCAACAAGTGAAAAATGAACAGTTTTCATCAGAGCTTATTTCGCATATATAATTGACTTAGAATAAAACATATTACAAAAAACTCACACGTAAGGATCACTAAAAAGAAAAATGATTCTCGCATTAAACTGTCTTTCAGATACTTCTCTTATGAGTTACACAATACTTCTACAAGATTCTGTACTTTTTGATCATCGAAAAAATAAATTATTCTCAGTAGAATTCATTTCAAATATTTTCTCTCGGACGAAACAATCGCTTTCGATAGAATGACATATTCGATGACGATCTAATAAACGTAGAAGTCTGAATAGAGCTTATTTCTAAAAATCGTGCTATACGCAACAAAACATGTATTTTATTTCATTTGTAATAACTCTCTAAAACATGAATGATTTTGAGTAGGATTTATGTAAAATATTTTGCGTAAATAAAATACTGTAATATTAATATGATTGTATTTTTCATGATTACGTAAAATGCAAATAATTCTAAACATTGTTTATACCGAATATTTTCCTTGCATCAGCTAAAGCGCTTCGATATGATTTGATCTTCGCAGTTTACGTAACAATTAGATAATACTAAGCAGAATTACCGGCAAATATTTTTCTCATAGAAAACGGAATATTTCGAAACGATTACATAGTTGAGGATCACCTGAAAACGGACGGATTCTCATCAAAGCCTCTTTCACATATGTCTGTCGCATACAATCAAAGTATCTGTGGAAAATTTCACTCTTCGTGATTATCGAAAATATCAACACTCATTATCACAGGCTAGTTCATGTATCCTTTTATTACACGCATAGAAATCTATCAATATGAGTCTATCGTTCATGGTCACTTAGAAAAGGAATAATGGCAAACAGAGTGTATTTCAAATATCTTTCTCGTATGAATATAGACCATTTCAATGTGATTCTATCCTTGTTCATTAGCTAAGAAGAAAATAGTTTCATCACTGTATACTTCAAATATTTTATTTCGCATAAATGAAAAACTTATACATATAATTGAAATATTGATGATCGCTTAGAAAGGAAATAATTTGCAACCGAGTGTATTTCAAATATCTTTCTAATACAACACGAAATACTTCGATATGATATTCTTATTGATTGTTACTTAAAAAGAAAATTGTCTCATCATAGATTGTTCCAAATATTCTCGTTCACTAAAACAAAGCACGTGAGTACGATTTCATTCCTGAATAGAAGCTGAAAAATGGATTTTTCTGAAAACTGTCTATTTCCTATATTTTTCTGACGCGAAACAAGATATTTCGATATGATTCGATCTTTGACAATCAAGCGAAAAAAGAATGGTATTCATCAGAGTTTATTTCAAGTATTTTTCTCATTAACAATAATAAAATCGGATTCAAATTCATCTATGATAATCACCTGAAAACTAAATAAATATGACCATAATCTAGTTCAACGAGTATTGTCATCTAACACAAAATATATTGTTATAATGCCATTGTGAAGGATCGCCTAGCAAATGTAAAATTCTTACTAGAGGTAATTTCATATATTGTTCTCAAATGAAATCAATCTACTCTATAAAGTTTCATGGTGAATAACCACCCGGAATCTGAAATATTCTAAAGAGTGTTCGTTTCAAATATTTTCTGTAAAATGAAATCGAACTTTCAACATGATCACATTCCTCATGCTGACGTGAAAACGAAACTATGCTGAACAGATTTTACTTTAAGTATTCATCTCACCTGAAACAAAAATTTTCCACACGATTACGTCTCTGTTGATCACCTGAAAAATGAACAATTTTAATGATATTATCCTTCAAATACGTTTTTCTCTGCGAAGTCAACCTGTTTACATATGATTCTACTCTTAATGATTGCTTAAAAAATGAATTATTTTCATCAGAATATGTTTCGAAAACTTTTCTCACATAAAACGAAACATTGTCAAATGATCTCATCCTTGATGATTACTTAAAAACGAAATAATTCCATCAGGGTGTGGTTAAAATATTATTTTCATCTGAAACAAAGCATCTCTACATTTTAGGATCGTTCCTAAGCACGTGAAATCAAAATAGTTTTTATCAGCATTGTTTCAAGTATTTCTCTCACGTCAAACGAAAATTTTCAAAATGATGACGTCATTAACGATGACCTAGTAAAAAGATAATCCTGAGCAACGTTCATTTCAAATATTTGCTTTCTCTGAAATAAAACATTTCGATATGATTTCATCATTTTTCGACACCTAAAAAAGAAATTAGTCTCATCAGGGCTATTCCAAATATTTTTACCACACATAAAACAAAAGTTTAGCTAAGCTTCTTCCGTTGGTGAGCACATTAAAAATAAATAATCATTAAGATAGTTTATTTCAAATATTTGATTCGGAGTGAAGTAAAATAGTTTAATATGACTCTATTTTTAAGATCAACTGAAAAAGAAATCGTCGAATAAGAATTCTTTTCAAGTACTTTTCTCATATGCAGCAAAATATGACATGTTGATTCTATGTTTAATGATCACCTAGAAAATGAATGATTATCATCATAGTTTATTTAGAATATTAATGCCACATGAACAGAAATGTTTTGGCATAAATCGAATGATGATGATCACGTGAAACATAAATAGTTCTGACGAGAATTGTTTCCAACTGTGCTGCTCACGCAAACCAAAACATTTCGATATAATCATATCCTTGATGATCACCTATAATATAAATAAATCTTATGAGGACTCTCTTCAGATATTTCTTAGTAGATGTTTAATAATAATCATAGGCTGTCAGACGGTATGAATAAATGCGACATTAGAATGTTTCTGAGCATAGTTCTGTACTCGTATCGTGTAACTTTACTATCGATATAGAGTTTTTGTACTTCTAGGAATCATGGGTGTGTTTGAATAGTGTGCATTTGGTTTTGGAAAGGCAGCTTTGGTCAATTCAGTTGCTAGTTCGTGAAGATCTGTTCCTATTGTAAGATGGATATAGATATATTTATGCATGCATAAGTCAGTAATGTTCACTTAAGTTTTTGATTATTGTTGTTAATTAGTCTTGTGTACTTTAAGTTAATATATCTCTAAAATTCTACATTCGGTAGAATTTTTTTTCTGTAGCAGTTGAATTCGAAATGTAAAATCACATTGTTTCCACACGAATAAAACAGAAAATTGAAGAGTTTTAAAGGCCAAAACTCACTGTTAGAACATCTATTAAATTCAAATCTATTCTCATAAGACTGTGACAGATTTAGGTTTAATTCTATGTTAGTTGTTTATCTTGTACTGACCAGTAGAGGCTATCGGTTTATCAGCAGATGAGCGATATAACTATTGATACTGTATATGTTTGATCTTGAACTTTGGGTTCGTTTATTATGTTTTGCTACTTCGATTCTCAAGGATGCAAGTTGGCGTCTGGGTAAAATATACCAATCAGAGTTTTCCGTGATCTTTATCCTGAACATATTTAAATATGCTTTAGGTTGCTCAAAAGACTTCCAATCAAAATCGTTTTTACTGTCGCATTAAGACAAAGAATAAATCATATAATCGACTACGATGAAAACTCAAACAGAAGTAAATCGATTGGGATATACGTGCTAAAACCTCGAGGAAATTAGACTGGCTAGAAATGATCTGGAATATCATTGATATCTTCTCTGGTTATGTATATAAGGAACGTTGAGATTTCAAGATTTTGCTTTCTGGTACTGAAAGAACATTAAGAAGATATGAGGCTGTTATAAAAATCAGTGAAAGTCTAAATCAATTCGTATTCATTATTTGATGATTAAAAACCATGACAAAACATGAAAGAATAGGTTCGAATCACGAATGCAGAATATATCAGAGTTTGATTTGGATCGCGTTATTATGGAACAGATGCACCTATTTCTTGCTGCAGAGTATTACCTATGACGTATCTTATCAATTAGCATATTTCTTCGGACACTGTTTCATTTAAAAATATCCTTACATTACGTTTTGTCAAGGGAATCGTTTCCTTTTGACATTTCAATGTGGATAATAAATCTATATGAAGTAATCGATTATATCAAGCATAGATAATGAAATACAAAGCATAGTAAACTGCGAAAAAATTCAGAAAGCAAAAGAAGAAGATATTATCAGTAATATAAATAAGATTTTGTGTCAAAATACTCAAAATTTCTCAAGTTATAGTTCATTTGTTTTAGCAGGATGTGCAACGCATGATGTTCTACTGATGTTTCGACACTTAATCAATAATAATATATGTAAATATATTTTCTTTTTACTTAAATTCTGCTTTCATTAAGACGAAGCTTCTATAGAACAAGCGAAAAATTGCAATTCCCTCATACGCTACTACTTCAAAATCATCCTTACGAGTATATTATCATTTTGAGTAGATATTTGTTGTAAGTTCTGTTATAATACAAGAACATTTTTATTATAAATGGCTATTTTAAGAAGTATGTTTTTCCTCCACAGTTCAAACTTTCAAAAGAAGAACTTCTGATGTCTACAAGCACTTTCTATTAGCAATTTTTAGACTTAAGATTCGATTTTAGACAGCCTGAAAGATTCTTTAAACTCATAGAATGAAAATTGCCGTAAAATCTTCATCACTTGAAAACAGAAAAATGACCAAAAAATATACAAGAAAATTTCTAACGCTTCATTAGTTGGATTGAATGTACAAGTTTCAAATCAAAAGTAATTCTCGCAATTTCCTACGTTTACTTCTCGGAAACTAGGCGTAGGGATTTATCAGAAAACGAGGGTTAAGTACTATTGAAAACTAGCTGAGAAGGAGGGACATATGAACTTACGACTGAATTGTTGCATAAGACTTAAGTAGATATAATATTTCTTTGCGTTTTCATCGAATTTCATACGATCAATAGTAAAGCAAACACCTGGGAAAATAAGTTCTTCTTCTTCGTCAGGAAACTTGGAGTATGGTTTAAGATTCACAGTAAAGCCATGCTTCATTGTCATTATAAACAAGACATTACCGTAAACTTTTGCTATATTCTTTTGTCGACTGCAAGAAGTAAACGATTGAAACGAACGTCGGGGTTTCACTTCTTTGTCGCAATCGTCTTTGAAAATTGAAATCAAATCATCGTTCAAGTCAGCCCCTCTATAAAATACTTTTCCTCGTGGCGCTGCTGTTTTGCTAAATGGGCTGTCCCATAAAAGCAAGCAGAATGGGCCCAATAGTCGTACTTTTTGTCGCCATTCTTCTTTGTACTCGTCGTCTCCAACCAATCGCATAGCTTCATTCATTTTTCTATACAAAAAACTATCCAAAGAATACAGAAAAGCGCACTGCTTCCATATTTCTTCTGTGCCTGCGTCTTTTTTTTCTAGCAACCTTTCAGCTAAATTTTCGCCTTGACGTTGTTTTCCGATCAATTTAGATTGTTCAATGATACCAGCAGCAGCTTTTGCCACAATCATGGAAGCAATGTCTTTATCTTTTGAAGGCAATTGGTCTTTCGTGATCTTCAAATATTTTACTGTTTCTTTTATGAACGGCGGAATCCATCCGTATAAACCAGAAAAAGGACGTTTAGGATTGATAAGATCGAAAGCAAATCGTTCTGCTCGCATGGTCTGATCTTTTGTGGTGCACTCTAATCGTTTAATAGGACGCTGTTTGTTTTGATCAATATTGCAAATTTGTATTTGATGTTTGAAATCGATTGTGTACTCGTCCAAGATTGCATGAGTTTCACCAGCTCTGAAAGCATCTTCAATCATGATGTTGTCTACATTATCATAGTATCTCCATACGGCTGGTTCACAGTTAGAAAATGGATTTAAGCTTGCATTCCACATCCAGTGGAAGCAGATGACAATTTCCGAACACTTCGATGTTTCATCAGCGATTATGTTCATTTTTTTGTAAGCCCAACTCACTATTAAAAGGAAAATGAAGTTGGCACATGCATATGTAAACAATATCGAAAGAAACAAAAAAGGAAAAGTCTTTCTTTCATTATTATTGTTATTACGAGTCATAAAGAAGTTCCTCGCCTATTAAAACTCAAGCAATATTCTCAGTAATTTTTGATTACACGACGAACATGCTTGTAGTTTTTCTTTTGGTAAATTTCTATAAAAAAAAATCTTTCTAATAATTCAATAGACAGGCTCGATGATTTTGCATGCCTTTGATAGGTTTTCATGTTTAAAATAGATGCGACATATCTTCAGATATAACCATATGGTGAAATTGATAAATAAGACTGACTGAGCAAGATCGATTGCTCTGGATATGAAAAGACATATCAAGAGTTGTTAAGATGAGAAAATTTTTTAACAACCAGCTTAGCAACTGTATCGAGCACTTATTCTCGAGAAATCAGCTGAAATGTATTTTTCAAACGTAGAATTTCTCGAGTAGTAAAATCTTTTTCAGTTTCTTAAATAACTCAGTATAAGATGTAAACATATGTTTTATTAGTATTCACATCGATTGTTCGGTGTAGTTTTTTACTTCTAATAGATGTGGATAGGCTGAAAAATCACTAGGAAATACTTCGAGGTTAAAGATTCAAATTATTCGGTCATATTCTAGAAGGGGTATCAATAGAACTGGACCTTCACTCGATTTCAATCTCTAGTCTCAATTAAAAAATAATTAGACACTGGCAATATTTATCTCAAGAGAAAATAAGCTGTCCAAACTTTAAACAAATTCAGTCAAAACAAACTATCCGTAGAGGAGTCATACATACGATTGTTTCCATTTATTATTTCTAGTAAAAAATCATTCTAAAAACTGCAAAATGACTTAGAAATCCAAAGATATAGAAAAGAGTATTTGAATAAATCAGATACATACAAATATGGTTTAGTTTTAAAAGCGGCAGTCACACAAAACTTTATATAGTGGTTAATAAAAAGCAAAACTAATATATTACTTAATTCCGGAAAGAAAAATGAATATAGAAATTCAAACCAGAGACGCACACAGGACATAATTTTTTCTCGTGTCCTTGCCTGTCCTGTTGGCTACCTTGGCCCTGACGGGCGGCAAGATAGGACAAAAATCTAAATCTCATCCTGTCCTATAGGACAGGGCAGGACAGGACAACAGGACCGTCCTGCCCTGTGAACGTCTCTGATTGAAACCCATCTTGCAATACATTTCACTCGATATTGTTTTGATTCACTACTATGTCGACTAACATACATTTGGAACTATTTATACATATTTTTTCATTAAATTGTGCAGTGCTAAATTTTTATGAATTATGCATTCTTCCGTTTATTATACTCTGAAAGCAGTGATCGAACTATAAAATTACTTCCTCAGAATAAGAATAACTTAAGCATAAATTGATTTTCATGGTTCTTCACAAATATTCGTTTTCAACAAATAGCGCTTCTTCATGTTCAGTCATAAAAAGAATATAACGATGTTATGACGCATCGTGAATTGAAATTGAAAATACCTGTCTTTTTACTATAATTCGCTTTTTCATATTCACTTTATGTCATGAAAGAATCTATGCTATTGCCTGTTTAGTGTTTTGTTTTAAGATTCTTGGATTTTAAAACAAAATTGATCACCAGAGAATTTTTATGTTCGGTCCAATTTCATAGAGTAGACTCTGCCAGACAAAGTTGCTATTTAGATGTTCCCTTAACATTATGAAGCAGACATTAGTTTATCAATAATAATTTATTTAATTCATTCCTTCTAGTATTCAATAGTACAAGTATCTTTCAAGATGATAATGTACTTCAAAACAATATAAAGTCTTCGCTAACCGTTCTCCATGAAGATGAGTTCGTTTTTTTCTATCTAGACTAGTTGAAGATCGTTGCAGCGTTGCCTTTGCATTATATAATTTTGATTAATCTTGAAACTAACAACGTGATTCTTCGATTCTTTTATATTCTCATTATGTAGACTCACCGCAGACAATAGCAGAGTCCAGAATGGCCGCATGATTTGTATGGTATTCATTTCTGACTCTGATATAGTAAAGTATTTAACAAAAATCTGTTATCACCTTCAGATAAACCGAAGTTACAGATGCAAAAAAATATTAATTGAGGCAGTTTTTGAAATTACATTCTATTTGAACAATCAAGTTGTTTTTTTCATGCAAATAAAAATAATACTCGGACTGTTTTAGTGGAGTCGAATCTCCTTGAATCTCGATTAGCTCATCAGACTAAGGATATTGAGAAAAATTAATTTTTTTCCCTGGTAAACAAAGAATAATTTAAAATTGAAAGAGGAAAATTTTTCAGCTTGCTCAATTATCGACAGAACAATATAGTGAGCAATTATAACAACACATCTTTAACGTGTTATTTCCTAGGTCGTTTAATATTTGCCATACGGTACTCTTGCGCAAGTAACTCAACGAAAATAAAACCACATTCATTTCCGTTTTTTAAACAACATTCGATGAAAAGTTGGAGAAAATATCTAGAGCAACTTCCTTTTAAACATCGCATAATCAATAACAAAAGTGACTCAGGATGAGTCAAAGTTGCTGTCTACGAAAAGAAAAAATCAGTATTCTTGAATATTCAATCAACGAATAAAGAAGTAGTTGAATATTAAGGCTAGCTATACAGTATTGTGCAAATGAAAATAGTCATATATTTATGACATCATATATTATTTCCGTTTCTTTGATGATGAGGTCGTGAAATCTGTAAATTCTCGTTTATGTTTGTACAGGAAAATTTAAATATTCATGTATTCAATGATCTTATTGCCATTTGAAAATGTTTCTTTTTAAACGTTTGGAGTAAATCAGAAAGTTCATGGAAATTATTCTTTTGATTTTCTATCAAATATAGTTTTTCGACATGTAAAACTCAGTCTTCATTATGCACAAATCAATAAAAATAAAAGTATAGCACAATTGTTACTGTCGTAAAAATTGCTTGCCGTCGTTTTTAGAGCTTAAATATCGAGTTACACCAAATAAACATGCTTTTCATTATTCACGAAAAGAAAATTTCTTTGGAAATAAAATTAGGCAATGAAACTAAGTTTTTGCTGCTATTCAAATGAATACTTTTTGTAGATGTTATACCTTTAAAATTTTAAATATTAATTCATAGGAATGAGTTTGTGAATTGCGAAAATTCACCAGCATTAACTGATTCGATTGATGTAGAAAATATCGTACGATATTGAAAAGTGAAATACAATAGCCGTATACTTTGTTGAAAGTTTTCGTTTCTTTTTGTTGCGAACGCTATGCATCATATGAACACAGCAAAAACAATTCTATCAGAAAGCTTGAATTTACCACACTAAATGCACGAAAGAACAAGAATATTAAACGTAAGCGTGATGCTCAACTACTTTTAGATACCTTTAGTTTTTCTATCGATGTGAACAGGTCATCTATCAAATTCGAAACAAAAAAACAGAAATATTATATTCCAGTGCTAGACTAAAACAATTTGTAACTACTAGATCAGAAAATAAAAATCATGTGAATTTTACCACCATATAATTTGATCAACACTAGAGAGTTATATTCAAGTTTAAGGTATTTGCAACCTGAAGAGTTGATCATGATTGGTCATTATTGTTTTAGAAATTCATACAGTTTTTCACGTGAATCGTCTTATTAATAGGATTTACTTGTACATACTTAGCTAGTATTTGTTTTACGTCGAATTATAATACTTTCTGGCTAATGAGTCGCATACTTTTTATTATCAATCGTATTTTTCATTGTTAATCAATATTTCTATATTCTGAATCATTTAGTTCTGTGAGACAATTCACAACGAATACATAAAAATTTAATATTTAATATTCCATGAGAAATAGACGATCAAACTTATTAGTGAAATGTTGATTATCATCAGTATTTCGTTGTTGTTTTTTACAAAGCTGTAGAATATCTTCAAAGAAATCTGTATAAATTTGAGTTTTTTTTAATTGGAAATCTTCATGGTCGATCATTGAATTCGTTTTATCAAAGCGAACCTAATGATCGAGATCTAATTTTTCATAAAATATTTTGTAAGTTCTCTTTTTTGATAGATGTCAGCATGTGTCAATGATAAAAAAGAAATAACATAGAATTATGAATGATTAAATCTACGAAGATAGTAATTAACATAATATATTTCGAAAATATATAAACTACTTTTATCGTGAAGGAAACTATGCAACTTGTAATTTTGTATCCAATCAAACAAACTAAGTAGTAGAACAACAATAATGGTAACTGGAAGAAGCTTCTTTTTTCTTCTACTGCAACATCATTTGATGGACCTAGTACCGGCCGTTACGTTTCAGTCAACAAAAGTAATTATCATACCTGTTTCAGTCATATATGCTGTATGTACTGCTGAGAAGGTTTGTAGTATACTTTCTCATTGTTCATTAAATATTATAATGTTAATTATTACGCAAACATATATTGCCAATGGATACGTAGTGTGTATTGAATGAACAGGCAGATCCTATGTAAACAATATAATGTAGTCTTTGATAGTGTTGGCCACGGTCAAATACGAAAGAAAAATTTATACCAATAATTGAAATCTTACATTTTATCGCGTGAAATTGTTTAAGAAAATGAATTCACGTAACTTTTTTAGAAAAAATCGAATGGTTCATGAATTCGTAAACATTGATTTGGATGCGCTGAACTAGTAACAGCAAATCTAATTGAAGCTGGATCTTGAAAAGAAGAAAAAACATTCGACGGAATCGAATAATATACCTATCAAGATTGAATAAGATCGGCGTAAACAGCTGACACATGCGATCAATGTATGTGGCTTCCATGTTCGGCCATCATTCTAATTGTAACTTTATGTAGAATAGAAATTCTTTTTTTTTCTTAGAATAATCTCAATACCAGTTCCATTCGTAAGTATATTGATGCTATTGGCTACGGTATAGATTTGTTTTCAAAAATCATCACGATATAAGATCTAGTAATGAAGATGAATTGTTTTTATACTTAGATTTATTCCAATATGTTAGGAAATAAGTATTGCATTTTTTAAAGCTTAATTACATTGAAGGCATGATTCGTCCTTGAGTTAGAAAGAGAATCCCAGTCTCATTACGGAGAAAAATCTTAGTACAGGCCGTTCTATGATAATTTCACTCTTAATAGTTATGAGTACGGACGTACGAATATCTAGGTTTTCTAATTGCCGATCTTATATTCGTAGTAATAAAAACAACCCATTCATGCTAAGCATCCAACGGCGACCAAAGCTGGCTAGTTGACATTGGTAAACTTGACCACATTCGATGAACCTAACTACCAAATATATGTTATATTTAGTGTGAAACTTAGGAATTAGGGCATTGCTATTCATCTGATAGATAAAATATTTATATCTTCAAGTTATTCTACTACTGAACGTCTTGAAAATACAAGGAGGACATTTGAAAAAATATGTCATGGAACAATTTCTATTTTGACCATAACTGTAATATTAGTACCATTACACAGAAGCAGTTACTTTGAAACCCTTATGAACTATACACTTCTCTAAGACGTTCTTTTTTATTTTCAAAAAATTCTTCAGATACAACCTAGATGTATTTAATTAAACATCAGGTTTACTTTAATTTCAGATATACATATACAAGTAATTTTATCGTCATCTATTAAACAATCAATATGGCTTTACGTGTACCAAAAGCACCAGGTTTCGCTTCAATGATGAAAGAAGGTTCAAAATACATGCATGGTAAGCAAGCCAATATCTATTTTGATCGCTATGATAAATCCAAAAAAGATGCTATTGATTCATTAAGCTATTGAAATTTTTGTTCATTTGTAAAACCGTTTGCGACCGATGAGAAAAAATCCCAGGATCCATCATAGGCAGAATTGTAGTGACTTATATGATCATAATTGATCTACAAGACCAGGGAAAGTCAATTGATATTTGAGGAATATTATATTGTTTGAAATTGCAATTTTCTTACATCGATAATTTCATCAATATATTGCCAAAAATACAAATAGTTAGTAGAATGAGAATAACTTCGAAAAGATAGCCCACAGAAGCAAAACCGTATATTGACATGTTTCGGCTCTTCTCATATAAAAAAAAATGTTAATTTAACTTCGGCTATTCAAAAATAAAATCTTTTTTTGAAAGAAAAATTCTAATTATCTTAATAGATCTCAGCAATTTTTACTATGTTAAATATAATTTAAAATAATCTTTGTGTTCGTATTTTTTAGGTCTTGAGGAAGCTGTCTATCGTAATATTGGCGCTTGTAAAGAACTATGCGAAACAACAACATCAAGTTTCGGTCCAAATGGTTTAAATAAAATGGTTATAAATCATATTGAAAAATTATTTGTTACCAATGATGCTGCATCAATTCTACGTGAAATTGATGTTGTTCATCCAGCAGCCAAAATCTTAATGTTAGCCAGTGATATGCAAGAGAAAGAAATCGGTGATGGTACAAATTATGTGATACTGTTCGGTTCTAAACTACTTGAAAATGCTGAAAGTCTTCTTCGCATGGGTCTATCACCAAGTGAAGTTATTGATGGTTATAATTTAGCATTAAAAAAAACACTTGAATTCTTACCAACATTTGAAATAAAAGTTAATTTAACAAAAGAAAATTTACGTGACAATGAAAAGGTGGTTTCGAAAGTTCTTCAAACAGCTATTGGAAGTAAATTATTTGGTTATCATGAATTTTTAGGTGAATTAGTGACAAAAGCATGTTTAACAGTAACTGGAAGCGATTCATCAAGTTCATTTAATGTTGATAATGTTCGTATATGTAAAATCTTAGGTGGAGGTTTACTTCAATCAACAATGATACCAGGCATGGCATTAAAACGTGAAGTAGAATCTGAAATAACAAAAGTCAATCAAGCAAGAATTGCTGTATTTAGTTGTCCAATTGATATTCAAGTAACAGAAACTAAAGGAACAGTTTTATTAAAATCAGCTGATGAATTATTAGCTTTTTCAAAAGATGAAGAAGCAAGTATTGAAATACAAATAAAAGCATTATCTGATGCTGGTATTAATGTTATTGTTAGTGGAGGTAAAGTAGGTGAAATGGCTCTTCACTTTTTAAATAAATACAAAATAATGGCTGTACGTTTACAATCAAAATTTGATTTACGCCGTGTTGCAAAAACAATTGATGCCGTAGTTTTACCAAAACTACGTACACCAACACATGAAGAAATGGGTGCATGTGATTCAATTTTTGTTGATGAAATTGGTGAAACGCATGTTATTATTTTTAAACATGCTAAATCACATATTGCAACATTAATTTTACGTGGATCAACTGATCAAGTAAGTTGCACTTGATAACAAAACAAAAATAGTCTTAAAATCTAGTAGTAAAAATTTGGACGTCCCATAGACACTAGTCCCAGATCATCACAGACTTAGTTGATATACAATTCAAGATTGTATATTAATAACAGGAAATACTCGTTGATACCACTTCCCTATGACTAGTAAGAGCAGTTACATTGTGTTGTAAAATTAAATATTCGAGAGATTGCACTAAAAACTTTTTTTTTAAATTTTTATTTAGATTCTTGATGATTGTGAACGAGCTGTCGATGATGCTGTCAACAATTTCAAAGCTTTGACACGCGATCCAGTTTTATTACCAGGTGGTGGTGCAACGGAAATTGAATTAGCATCTAAACTTACGGAATATGCTCGTACATGTCCCGGTATTGAACAATATGCTATTCAACGTTTTGCTGAAACATTTGAATACATACCAAAAATTCTCGCTGAAAACTCAGGTGTTAAAAGTACTGAAATATTGGCTAAGCTTTATGTTGGCCACCATGATAATCCAAATCTGGGCTTTGTTGTTGGACAAATGCAATCTGAAGCAACTCAATCAAATGATATAACATATGAAACAGGTGATGTTAAATTAAATGAGTTATATGATTTATATGTAACAAAAAAATGGGCCGTTCTATTTGCAACAAAAGCTGCTTGTACGGTTTTAAGTGTCGATGAAATTATTTGTGCTAAGCCAGCTGGTGGACCTAAGCAAAAAGAGAACAAAGGATGGGATAATGATGATTAGATGAACAATCAATAGTTAAGAACAAATAGACATCAAATATGTGTGCGTGTTTGTGTGTTTGCAACTGATGCTTCCGAAGCGGATGAATGACCTTGTTATCATTGTTGTTGTGTTTTTAACGTTATTACTTTCTCTTGTTTTTCTATTAATCTACTGCACTGTTCTAGGACATCATGTCATCACCTATTATCTTCTCTCTTTCTTTGATTTGTTCTAGAAAATACATTTTTAAACATCGGCGAAATAAAATACTTTAACTAGTAACCGAGAACTAATATAGGTAAGCGTATGTAATGTTGTCTGATGAAAAGAAATAAGCAACTTTCATCTTGAAGCAATTTCATCATTAAACGCACTCGTTGAAAAGGCAAAAATTTAAACTTAATTGTATTTTCATTGAACAATCTCAATTATTGGACACAGATTTAAATAAAACAACAAGTTTCATGATTTTCTTTTTTTTTAATTGAGTTTGATGTCACAGTGTATACTAGAACAATTTTAAATTTTCGAGACTCATTCGAAGAAACTTTCCTGTGGTACTCTCGTTCTCGAATGGATAATGTTCATATGCATTCGTATATTAACATGTGACAAAAGATCTTAGTTACACTTCGTTGAAATGAATATATGAAAAAACAGCTATGTTATACTGTCGAAGATGTATCATCGGAAATGTCGGTATATTTTAAAGAAAAATCTTGAAAGTGTTTCAATCAATTGTTTCTTCGTGTAAATCAAGAAAGAATTGAATTATTAAAATGTTAACAAATCTATCGAATGCTAGAGCAAAAGAAACGATTCTTCGCTGAAAGACAATCAGGAAATCAACATTTTATACAGTGTCAAGGCCAATGAAAACTGAATACTACGCTTTCTTTTACAATGAATTAAAAAAAGAATCAATTCTTGTGCAATAATAATATTTTCTACAATGCTTAGAATATTCCAATCTATGTCTCAATTTAAAACTCTGACTTTTTAGAATAATATGAAGACGAATGTGAAACTATTTTTTTCTCGTTTAATGTTGAATTTCATAACAAAAAATAGTTTTTCTGTTGCTAAGTCTTTTATATCTATGATTTTTATTTTGTTGTACTAGAAAAATTCAATGTCTACTAATCAAGTGACAACCAATGATGATGAAGAAAACATAGTAACATGCAGTGAACTACTTGAACAAATCGATGATGAAGAAGCAGAACTAGATCGAGAACGTGCACTCTATGGTAATTGTGATACGGATACATGTACATACTCACAGGTGATGTATACTTTAAAAAACAAGTAGAATCATAGTAAAACTAAAATTTATTGTTCTTCAGGGATATGTACACCGGCAAGCTTTATTTGTTTGCATGACTTGTTATAATAATAATAATGAGCAATTAGCTGGTGTTTGTGCGGCATGTGCATTTCATTGTCATAGTAATCATGAAGTTAATGAACTATATACGCGACGGTAGGCAGTTTACTTGATGTTGGATAGGAATATTTACGGAAGAAAACTTCCATTTTTTAGATTTTTTCGATGCGATTGTGGAAATTCAAAATTAAGTCATCAACCCTGTAAACTTTATCCAGTAAGAAATCTCTGTTGCAACAAATGAATGCTACCATGAAACACAGCCAAAAACCAAACAAATTTTTAATTAGCTATAGGAGGAAATATTCTGAGTCAACTTGATATTCTATATATCAATGACTTTCCTATGATATTTTTGAAGGGTTGATTGAAATAGCCGTGAAATAATTTGTCAGAATACATATAGACTAAAATAAACCTTCCTTTAATTATGAACAGCAGCTAAATCCTGTTTTACATCTCCATACTTTAGGATTATTTCTATGCAAATATCTTCATCATAAAATGAATTTTACTTTTTAGAATAAAGATTCAACGAATGCAGCTAATAAATATGATGATAATTTTCGTGGTTTGTATTGCACATGTAAACGTCCGTATCCAGATAAAGAATCAACGGTAGATTATTTACTAATTAGGATTACAAATAAGCTTTCTTTTATTCATAATAGACAGGTGATGATGATGCCATGATTCAATGTATGATCTGTGAAGATTGGTTTCACAGTCAAGTAAATAATATCTTTAGATGTCATTTTCTATTAATCAATTTCAAAACATTACTTCTTGTTTAAGCATTTGGGCGTTCCATTACCAATGGAAGAAAATGAAGCTGATCAATCGGACATGATATGTCAAGGATGTGTATTGAAATATCCATTTTTAATTCATTATGATGGTAAAAAAAAAGAATATAATATAATATGGAAATATTATTTTCTCTTTTAGAATCTCTTGCAATTACTTCATCTCCTGTAGAAAACAATGCTGGTAACTTCTCCATGCTATTTTCATTTCATTGAATTCCGTTGTTATTAATCTAGCTGCTAGTAATAGTCCGTCATGTTTACTTGTTTCAAACAATAATAATAGTCGAGAACTTCGTACCATTTTTCTACGTGATGGTTGGAGAAAACGATTATGCCGTTGTGTTCAATGTCAAGTAAGAGTTTATTTGTACTAATTTCGTTTTCTTCTTAAATTTTCAACATTATTAGAAATTATATGATGATTCAAACCTTATGATCGTATTTAATGATGACGATGCTATTCAAGAATACGAAAAGCAGTCATTAGCGAAAACTGAAAATCTAGATGCAGATAAAATCTTAACAGAGTCATTGAAAAATCTTGATCATGCAAAAAAATTGGAAGTTTTACATGGTAAAAAAGAGATTTTATTCTTCATAATTTAAAAAGGAAAATTTCATTTGAATCGCCTTTTTTAATTTTTAGGTATTCATGAATTTAAAAAATCGCTTGGAGATTTTCTTCGCGATAAAGCAAATGGTGATGGAGTATTAACAGCTAGTGATGTCACAACATTCTTTGCTGGACTACAAGAAAAACGCAAAGAACAACAACGTACAACATTTATGCCTCCTGATAATTGTAAATTTTAAGAATCTCGAGAAAATCAGCTGTAGCATTTATATATTTTTTTCCTTTTCTTTTTTGTTGTTATTAATTTCGCGTATTGTCAGCTTTTCTTGAAAAACATAAAATATACAAGAAATATTATGGAAAACAATATTAGTATCAATCAATTTTGTTGAGGGGATAGTTACAATGCATTTATCTTATTATTATTTTTTTCTCTTATTCTAATTGGTCATTAGCAAAGCAAAAAGAATGTTCGAACTGCATATTATTTTTATCGCATATAATTAACAACTCTAATTAAATAGTATTTACTGAAAACAGTTTTAAATTTCACTTGTATAATATTTATAGTAACTTGTAAATATTTTTATTGTCATGGAAATTTTAACTGGCTCAGCATTCGATAATCTAAGCAGTATATTTCAGAATGCATGAACATTCTTATTTAGTAAAAGTCAATTTACTTATTAAACAATTTTACACACCGAATAGAGTATAGAAAGCGAAAAATTGATTCGAGTTTATTTATTGTTTGATCAACATAGGGAAAATTCACTCGATGAAAACTTGCCGGCAAGATGTTTACTCCATTTTTCTGTATATCAGCATGCAAAAAACAGTATATGGATGAACAGAAGTACGTATGTTATTGCAGTCAAAGAACTTTCGAAAATGAAGGATTTGCCGATCAAAAAGAAACCTAAAGCAATACATCAGAGTCCCGGAAAAGGGTGCAAGTTCATTCAACCAAATAATCAAGTCATATGCTAGCTAAATTTTCGACTGATAAAAAAACATTTAAAAAAGACTATTGTAGAAAAAATTAAGGATCTCAACATACTCTAGTTATTGGTTCATGCTGTAAGGAAAGATGGAACTGTGCAAAATGTCAATCAAGAAATCTATACTAATAAAACTGTTCTATTCTGCTCCAAGACTACTGAGAAATATACAACCGACTCAAAGTGAATCACATACGAACTCATTTAAAGATATTTTTTTGTCCGCTGATGATAATAGACTATTTGTTTAAGGAATTCAATAATTCGTTGCATAGAGATCAAATTGTAATTCTAAATATATCCGAATCTTTATTTTTGCGTTCATGCTCCTTGGAATATTGGTTTCTGTTTCATCCTCAAGTTAGATACGGATAGAACAACGAATATAATACATAAATGAGAATAAGATGTACGTGTTTAACGTATAGATAGAAAGGCAAAAAATATATGGGAATGAAACAAATGATGGAAACAAGATAACCGTTACAGAAACATACTATTTTTGAAGAAGAAATAGTTTTCTCTAGTTTCCTTTTAAACACATAGCATACACACAAAGTTAGTGGTATGTTTGATGCAGTAGAAGACGAGTATTCGTCTATGACAAAAAAAGAAAACGAGGAAATCAAGTTCACACAAACAGTATATCACACCAGTGAGATAAACAAAAAACATGAAGAACTCAGCAATTGTATCAACAAAGATCGATACATCGTTGTAGTTTAATGGGAGACATGGAATAGAACAAAGAAAATCAAAAAACAACATCTGACATAACACAAAAACAGGAATTTTTAAGTTTATATTTGTTTTTCTCGTTCTCATATGAACATAATTTAGCTAAATTGTTCTGGAGAATAATTAACTAATATCCATACGTGAATCATCAGTTACCTTATCTAAATATATTCATCATTGAGAGAATAGAATATAGTAAAGTTTAACTTGTTACCTCCTCTTAGTGCAAGTATTTCTTTGGCCATATCCGAACCGATTATTAAACTATCATCAAATTGATTACTGTTCCCAGTATGGATGTTCTAAGATGAAATAGAAAAATAAAATAACTAAATAGTGCCAGAAAACATACTTTAATATGACCGAGTACAATTGATGAAGTACTGGATGAGAATTTTTTACAAAATGGGCAATGATAACGACGATTTTTACCAAGAGTTTCGTGAAAAATTGTTGAAACAGCTAAGATAATCATAAAGCAAAAATATTAAAAATTTACCATTCGAAAGAATCGAAAAACTTACCGAGATGTTTCAAATTTTTTGTGTCAATATGCAAAGATAATAATCGACTTGAGTTTGAATGTAACATATTATGTTGACGCTAATGTCACAATAGAATAGAAAATAGAGCAATAAAGTAAAGTAGCTAACTTACTGTATACAATAAAGAGTTCGATGCAAATGTGCATTGATTACATTTATACAACGATAATGAATTTTCTTCATGGCATGATCGATGATGATCATGCTCTAATACTGACGTTGATACATGTGGACATTGAGTGCAATAAAAAACTCGAGTATGCATTGATTTACGATTATTCAATTGACGTTCAACGAACGATCGGCGTAAATTAATTTGTTTGATTGTGAAATCAGCATTAGGATGATACTAAATAGAGTTTAATAAAAATATAGTTGGCCTCAGACAGTGTGAAAGAGAATGCGAAATAAAATGTATTCGTACATACAGTGCATGATTTAGTGGTCGATAAACTCGAGAACTTTGAAAAATTAGAATTCGGAACTAATCGCACATCGAACAGCAATTCAATCATACTGAATATATTTTAGTTGAAAACTGCTAACGATTATCGGAGATTAGAAACAGGAATCAAGTGACGATATCCCAAACACGGATAGAGCTGATGAAAATATCTATTGGATAAAGAAAATCATTTGAATTTATTCTAGAGAATAGATTCGACATGTTCTGATCGTCTTTCTATAGATGTGAATCATTGGCATGACATCTAAAGCACGAATAGCGTCGATGTTCATTGCAAAAGTTGAGACATCAATCGTATCATTATTAGAATCTACCTTTTTCAATTTTTCAGTGAACACCAACTACATCAAGTCGTTAACATTAGTAGTCGGTAAAATAAAACAACACATTCTCAGATGGAAATATAAATTATTTAACAGTTATTATCTAGCTATTTCGTTTGATTTATTCGTCATTGAACTACAGTGAAGAAAAGCATCATATCTATAAATCACCAACAACAAAAAATTTCGTTTCATCTTTATCAGATAGATTTATTCTAGCGAAAACGTTTTTATTTATAAGTATAACTACTAAATATACACGTAAATAAGAAAATCTTGCTTTATAGACATGACTTTTCCTCATCGATTGATTGATTTTTTTTTATCAAAGATATCACTCATGTTCAAACTACACAGTAAATTTATGGTAACATCAACTTTTTCGATTGGGAAATATCTATTTAAAAACAACAAATGACTACATCCTTTAGAGCAAAATGTAAAGTGTGAAAACAAAGTCTTTGTCAAACACGAAAATTGTTTTTATTACTTTGGATTCCAGAAAGATGTTTAATTTAGTTTCGCAAAACTTGACTAGACTCTTCAAATGTTGTTGGCGGCCGAGAAAACTCAAAGTTAACCAAAACTACCATCGCTAAAGATCAACGATCCGCTCTATGATCACCAGTGAACATCTAGCTAGTATAGTCTTCTCTGTACAAAGCAAAGAATATTCATAACTTTAATTATTTGTACATACCTGTGAAGAAATAGTTGTCGTTAATGTATTATTAATTGGATGATGTTTAGCAATATGTACAGTTAATCTATTTCTCAGAGTATGATTATAACCACACACTGAACAATAATAAAAACGTTTCATTTTTCTATTTTTTAATCGATGTAAATAAATATGTTTTCGTGCATAATCATTGTATATTGTTCGATACGAACATTCTGAACATTGATAAAGTGAAACACGAAATTTTCCATGTGGTTTTTCATTTTGAGACTAAAACATATAGATTAAGAGAATTTGGTTTTCGATTAAGGACGCAAACTTACTTTTTGTATTCGTTCACAAATGTGTTTATCTAATTCAACAAGTTTGTGCGAACGAAATGCACAGTTCGTGCAAGCAAACATGCGTTTTGGTTTTACAATTGTTACTTTATTTAATATCGGTGTTACTATTGGTTTTGGTGGTAGATTAGGAATTACATTTGTTGGTTCAGAATATTTTGTTTCAGAATAATTATCTGGTCGTAGACGGTCATATATAATTTGTTCGTAACCTTGTTTATCTTTAATTTTTTCCCAAATTGATTTTTGTAAATCATTCCATTCAATATGACGAAAATCAGTAAAGCGCCCTAAAACTTTTTTTGAAACAACAAAACCAAATGTACGTTCATATTCAGCATAGGTTTGTTCAGCTTCTTCTGCTGTCATTTCAAGATAACCATCTTGAGTAGGTTCAATTTTATGACGTGCACGAATATGTCGTAGAGAATCTGTTCGCCAATTGGTTCGATAGAAACAATATGGACAACGATATGGCTTCAAACCAGTTGACGTGCGAGCTGCTAATTTTGATGTATCATTTGATAATAATGAACTTCTATCTTTCGATTCATTCGAATTTCGACGATCATCTTCAAATACAATTACTGCATCATCGGGATTATCATTAAGAATAATTGAGCTACTATCTGATTTTTGTGGTTCAATCATTAATAAAGCTGCTGCTTCATCTTCGGTAACATCAACCGTACGTGCATCATTAATACTCAATTTAAGTTCATTATCTTGACTTTCTTCACCTTCATCATCATCAGTTGTAGCACCACCTAACATGCGTTCATCGTCGAAACCATTTTCTTGTTTTACTGAATAATGATTATTTACACTTGACATCGATGCTGATATAAGGCCATCGACTTGTGGTACATATTCTAAATAACGAAAATTTCGATTAAATTCTTTGTTACGACGTTTTACTGATTTCGGGCTCATAGACAAGCCCCTGGCCGCTTCAATTTCAGGTGATTCATGCGAAGTTTTATGATGACGTTTAACATCATAACGCCACCGATAACCACGATAACATAATGCACAATAAAATAGACGATTTGGATTAAAATGTGGATGTGAAGAAAACTTTGGATAAACAATTTGTGATGGATCAGGCAAACGCATAGTGCCATCAGATTGTATTAAACTTGAACGATTATAAAGTGTTTGAGATTTCATTTCACATTTATTTTGTTCATCTTGATAATCACCATTTAATTTTTGATAATTTGATTTTATTGGTGGTTTAATCATAAATTTTGAATAGATTTTATCATCATGATCATTTTTATGAGTTTGTTTCGTTGTATGACCATTCGTTTGTAAGAATGAAGTTGTTTTATTGTTTAGGTGCTGCTGCTGCTGCTGCTGTTGTGATGGTGCTGTTGGTAGTGTTTGTGCTGGTCTTTTATTTACAATCATTTTTGCAAACGATTTATTTGGATGATTTGTATGAATATGCTGTTCAATGAATTTTGGATGACTTGAACGAAATTGACATAATGAACATTGATAGTAGCGTTTTGAATCTTGACCGTTAAGATTCAATTTTGAATCAAGACCACGTTCTTTCATATAAGCATTTATTGTTTGTTCAGCTTCTTCGTGTGATAATTGTAAAACATCGAAATTCATATTTGGATGACGTTTTTTTGCATGACACTATGAAAAGAAAAATAGTTAGTGTATAAGAATGATTGCTGCTATGAGTCCTACGTCATATGGAAAAGTTTATTCGAATGCTATAGCTTATTCTATGCAATCGACAACATTTGTAAATAGAAAGTATCTTCTGAGTTTTGCACTTTCTAGCTTCATATCCCAGTCAGATAAGCAGCGAAAAATAACGTGTAAAAACGAATAAAAACCGCACATTTTTGCGATTTTATTTTCGTTAAAAATTCTACGCATTTTTACGCGTTATTTTATTGAAATAAGTGACTTGGTAGAGGAAAAACAGTTATAATCCGTACACTTACATTGCTTACGAATTATCTATATAGTTTTAAACAAAATGCGTAGAATTTTTAACGAAAATAAAATCGCAAAAATGTGCGGTTTTTATTCGTTTTTACACGTTATTTTTCGTTGCTTGTCTGACTGGGAAGCTTTGTTTTGAATCAAAGAATAATTCCTTCTGTTTTTATGTCACAAGTCAATCAAAATTTTCTTTGGAGATTTCAGTGTATATTATCTTGAGTGTGATGAAGCTATCTATATTCCAGAAACTTGTACATGTTGAAACAACATTAGCTTCACAAGTAACAAGGATAGACTCAATACAACATCGATTCTGAAACACATATTTTAGTCGGTACTGACCAGCTATACATTTTATTTCTATTGGTTCAATGTGAATACAATCTTCAGATTTTAGTAAAAAAAATCGTATTTGAATAAAAATTTACTACATTTATAAATTGAAATCAAGTGAAGTTCATACTTAAAGAATGCTCTTAGTAGCAATATTGGAATCACTGTTTAACTACAAGAAATACACTTGTATTTGTAATCAATATACTTGAATCGATATATCTAGGGATGTTGCGATTGAAATGTAGAGAAAACATCAATTTGCATTTCTAAGTGATCCTTCAAATACCAACAAACGCAATAGGTTCGAATACAAAAATTGCAAATATACGACAGACGATAAAACATTCTTGGCCTTGACAACCTCAAACTAGCATTGATTTACGAAAAAATTCTATGTTTTAACATACCTGAATATACCAACGAAGATTAGCACGCCAACCACATATTGAACACATAAATGGCTTGATATTTATATGTGTTGCAACATGAAGTTTAAGTTTTGTCAATGTTGGCGATCTAGAATTGAAGTTCAGTTAAAAAAAAATCAAAAACATATCAAATAACATTTAACTTACGCATGTTCACAATGTGGACAACGAAATTTTTTAAATTGTTTGGCAAATAAATAATTTGAATTATTTCTGTCATGGTTAACAGCTGTTGTGATGCCCGATTCAGACAAATCATTTATTTCTTGTTGATATTTCCATAGACTAAAGAATTATAAAAACCGTTAGCGAATTAAAATACTCACATCTAAAGTCTTACGCATCGTCTTCATCATCATCAATATCATGGCCCATCATCATTTGCTCATCTTGACTGTCACCATCTTCATAATCATTTCCGTTCGAACTATCAATAGTATCAATAACTTCACCAAAAGCTCGTACTGGATCAATTAAAAGTGCTGATAAACCATTATCATCATCAATTTCATCATGAAATTGATTATCTTCGTGTACATAATCATTTTGTAAAATATGTGGCGGATAATTTGAATGTACTATCCGTTGATGTTTTATTATTTCTTTTGACCAATGAGTTGTAAATGAACAATATTTACATTGTAAAATTTTTGTTGAATCATCGTGCGCCATTGGCGTCAACGATGTGCGTTTCATTGTTGATGTAGAATTCGCTTGTTGTGGTGGTGGTAATGATTTACCTTTAATACGAAATTTATAGTTTCCTGTTGCTGATGGTGGTAGTGGTACGTCTTCATCAAGTTTGTCAACGTAACGACCAGCAAGTGCATGATCTATTTCATGTTTTTTACGTATATGAGCTGTACAATCATGAAAATTCTATAGAAAATTTAAAAAAAGTTACTAACGAGTAAAAAGCAAAGAAAACGAAACAGATAAAATAAAATATTTTCATTGAACTTACTTTGTAAGTTAAACGACACATTTTACATTGAAAATTCTTTTTATATGGTTGCATTGAATGATTGGTTGGTAAATAAAATGAATTGTCTATGCCAGGCGAGGAATTTACTAATGGTAATAATGATGGTGAAGATATTGGTGTCGCTAAAATGTCATGAGTTTATTATTCCAATGAAACATTCCATGTCGTTTTTTTCTTTCGGTTTATTTTCTTTTTTTTTACCTTTTGTCGCTGTTGGTGATCCATTTTTCGGCGCAATCGGGCGTTGTTGACTAAGAATAGAATGAAGTACATTCGGGTTTCGTTTAGCAGCAGCAGCGATTGAATTTAACGAATCCTTTGAATTGACATTGATGTTTGTATTTTCATCACTAATCATCTGTATCGATGAATCATCAGTAACAGTTGGTATAAATTTTGTGCCATTTCTTTCTGGTGTTGAAATGCGATTCAAAAATTGATTTGGGTCTAATTAAAAAAGAATGTAAATTATATGAAAATAATGAAATAGCAAGAATAGTTACCTGACTCAATATTCGATGGTGTTTGCTGACTGAATAATGTTGATGATTGACGAGGTACTTGAGAAACAATCTTTGTTTGTAAAAAAAAAAAAGTATAACGAACTTTCAAAGAAAGAAAAATAGACGAAGAAATAGTACCTGATGGCTGAAAGCTGGCTTACGTCTAGATCGCTTTTCAGGTTTTAGTAATGATGAAGCATTTTTTGGCGGTGCTTCACTTCTACTAGCAGTTTCTATAGGACGAAGAAAACAAAAATAATGTAAAACAAAAATTACTCTAGTTGACAGATAAGCTAGTAATGAACTAACCTTCACTGTGTGCATCATTCAAATGGCTAATTAGTTCAGGTAAGCTTTTTCCATTGAAACTGCACTCAGGACAAATGAACGCCGTACCGTCAGTATCGACGGTCGTGTCCATCATCATTTTGTTGGAACGTATGCGGATTTGTTGATTTAATCTAAAATATGCGAGGCACAATACGCTAGAAGGACAATAGCGAAATGGAGTTGACCGTCGATGCAGTTGCCTCCTTCTTCTTTCTCTCTTTTCCGATATGATGACTATGCTTATGTACGTGTATATGTGCCGCGTGTATGCTTCTGCTGTCTGGCTTGTCGAAGAAGGAGAAAAAAGAATAGAAGCATGTGCGTATATGCGCGTCGCGCTGGTGCAGGCAGACTAAACGACAAGGCAAAAGCATCAGCATAAGAGTCTATAGTGTTGGAATCACCCTTCTATATATAGAACTAGAGAAAGAAAAAAAAGCAAAGTATAAGAGCGTCTATTTTAAATCTATATGAATAGCTTACTCTATTTGAAAAAATGCATAGTTTTTGTTAGATAGATAACCGTCGCGTAGAAAGATAACGAACTAACGCATTCTTATATATCCTCATTTGTGCATAGGCGAGTGCATCTTTTCTTCATCTTAAACACGTAACAGACATACCTTAGTAGTTGTTGTTCGGTCTTCTTGTATATTTTTTTACCTCCTTACATGTAATACAAAACGAGCATATTTGGTTTCTCACAAGGTTTGCGCGTAATACGCTTTAGCACCCTCGGCAACCGCTTCAGTTTGCTTCAACAGAAAGTACAGTCGCTGATTTCTTGCCTGTTCTGCTTTTCTGTGCATTTAGGGAGCACTGTGCAAATGTAAGCATAGAAATAGGCGCGAATCGGTTGAAAGCATCGCCAGAAAAAAATTAGTATTCAGGCCCTACATCATACGATGCTGATGATTGAAAGTTATGAACCTAGCCATATTGTGGCTTCTATTCAACAGAAACAAATATCAGAAAATCGAATGATTATTTTAACTATTCGATATGTTTTTTTTTGGCATTGCAAAAGCATGATAATCAGCCAGGGAGACATATATAGTGCGAAAGATAGATGCCAAACTTTACAATAAAAAAAAATAGAAATTCAAGCAAAGGATAAAAAACACGTCACTAGTAAGAATAGAAAACACAAGAATATCACTATTAGTTATTTTACACACTGTCTTTCCTTATAATGAACCAATCGAGTATATCTGACTGGACACATAAGAACGAATAATGACAATAAGAAGAACAACAACAACAAACATAACTAGTTACTATCATATCGTTCCACTTTTTTCTATTTTGATCGTTCTCTTTCTTCTCTTTCTGATTTTCTTTCGATTTCTATGCCTTCGCCATCACGGATAACATATTACTTATAGCTATGAAGAGGTAGAAAAAAAAAACTTTCTTTTACTTAATCTTGTCAACAATCTATACAATTATTTTTCTCTTCTTTTTTTGCGATACTCGTTTGTCAGTGGTGTTCACTATGACATTGTAATCAATTTTCTATTTTGCTCTTTATTTTCAAACTGTGCTAAAAGAATTTTATCGAGAATAAAAAAAGGGCCACAAATGCTAAAACTATTTGGTGAGATTGATTACAATCTATTACTTAAGTGATTCCACTGTTCATTTGCAACATGACGATATACGCGCCTACTCTGCATGAATCTGTATGTGAAGATACGCATTTTGTATTCTTCGAAGTAAAGGTCGCGATTGCTACTGTTGGTGGCTGACTGAATGCGTTCTCTCTCGCCCTTTTTCTACTCCTTTCGTTCGTTCGCTCATCTCACAGATTGCTATTGCTACCACAAAAACTACTACACCATAATGGGGGTATGCTGTAAAGTAAAAGAACATGTGTCTTCATTCGCTAGTCTACAAGCACAAGCATACACTCGCATACACATATACTAAAATGCGATGCATGTGTTTCGTCCGTTCGTTGTACTATATGGACGACCGAACGAGCGAATGAATCGGATGGACGAGAGAGAGAGAGAGAGAGTGTGTGTGTGTGTATAACTAACGAACGAACAAACAAATGACTATTATCATCCTGTCAGATGCCTCCCGAAGCAATGGTCGATAGACTGACTGAAAGCGCATATAAAAAGCGTCAACTTTTCTCTTTTGTTTGTCCGTGTTCTCGGCTCAGGTAGATGTGAATGAGTATGTGTGTGTATGTGAGGCTATGAGAATAAATCGGTATATTTGTATGAGTACGTGCGCTGCTACATGCAAAAAAGAGAAAAATTGACGAATCGAGCGATCGCTGACGATCGCTTTAATGCAAGGCATTGGAAGAAACAGTAGAAGGCGGCAGGAGGGAAACCAAAATTCACCTTGACAATAACATGAAAAAGGAAACTAATATTAAGAAAAGCTGTATTCTGTACTAGTGACGTATGCGTGCAATAGACAAAATCTCACCTTGTATACCAGTGATTATGTCTTAGAAACGAGAAGAAAAAAACGTGCTTATATCTATATATTCACAAGCAAATATGGAATGCCAATCAAACGAAATTTATATATTGAAATTCTTCCTTTGAATCTTTCTTTAGACTATAGAATCATGTTTTCATGTATTTCAAAGGAGAACATCTTGGATTGTATGTTAATAATTAAATAATATTTCTAGTATGAAATATTTTCTCGATAAAGAGAAATTCCCTTTTCTAGGATAATTGGACAATTGTGCATGATATCTAATGGTAGAGATTGATTCTGTCTTAGTAGAAACATGAGCAAGTGATTGAAATATTTCTGTGTTCAATTGGCATGAGATAATATCCAGATGTTAGATTGATTCGTTTTGATTTTTTCAATAATGACAAATTTATTTGATTTTATCAAAACAAACATGAAAATCACATCTAAAAATCCGTATCTTTGTGTTTTAATAAATAATATCAAAAAGAAATTGTCCTTGTTTAAAATCAAAACCAGTACTAATTTTTAATTTCGTGCCTGATTGCATCTGAATTGGTGTCGGTAGAAGATGAACACCTTGTTTTGAATAATTCACCCAAGAATCATTCTCATGTTCAATACCGGTTGTTAACCATATGTTTTCATTTAATTCATAATCGATCCAAAAAGCAATACCATTACACGTGCCATTTGCAGTAATTGGAATTTCTAAGTCTACTTTTTCACTTTTATCATAATAATTTCTCTTGAAATTAATTTGAATAAGATCACGAATTGATGAAAGTGTCGGTTTCTTTGATGAATATTCAAATAGTGATTGAGGTTCAATTGTTTCATCAACATCTACTGACGCTTTCAAAATTTGCTCATCAAATGGTGTTAAATCAAACTGAGAACATTGCCGAACTGGTGAACGAATTTTATGTAAATTATCGAATTCTAATGCTAAACAACGTATACGTGCTGTTTCTGGAAATAATTTTATATCTGAACGAAATTTTGAACGATATTTTTGAATAAGATAATAAAAATGAAGATTATCCCATGGTAAAATCGATTTCGTAAAGAATGGTTCCGACAGAATCATATCGATCGTTTGAAGATCTATCGTATCTTTATCTAATGATGAAATAATTTGATAATTTAATTTAGTAGATGAATTTGATAGTATTGCTTCAAGATAATTAGCTAAATGAACATTTGAGGATTGTAAAATAGTTAACTCAATGTTTGGATACATCTCAAGAATAAGTAATGGAAGTAGAAGACCATCGCCAATATATAAACAATGTTTTATCGATGAATTAGAAAATGATTTTTCTAATGCTTGCATATATCTATGACGGCGTTCGTCACAATTGAATGCGGCCATTGCTAAACGACTAAGAACAGCTGGTGTAAACGAACGAGGAGAAAACGGAGATGTGCCAACGTCAAAATAAAGACTATATTCATCATGAAAACAATATAAAGATACCTAATAAAAACGAAACAAAAATTATTAAAATATTCGCCACGATATTTTCTATCCAATCTTTTGGCAATTATGAAATCATAGGTTATCAGAAGACTTTTTCGTCTATAGTAATTCAGATTAATCATCTTAGAAAATAAACAATCAAATGAAAAAAGCCCTACGCAGTCTGACAGGAGGGAAAAAAGCATTTACGAAACATTCAGTTTCTATGTATGATGACATTGAGATTTGAAAAACTCAAGTCTAGTGTTTGTGTTCACACTTTATTTTAATGATCCTCATTGATAATAATACCTGATCCTTTGCTTTAATAATTTTTGGTTCTTGTGGATAAAAAATACCATGTATCCAATGTTCTCTCCATTGAACATTTTTAGCTTTTTCTGGGTCATCGTAACACCATGTTGGTATTGTACCTAGCTGAATTTCACCTTGTTCGTCCATGTCAAGATTCCACCACATAATAAACGCATCTATTCGTCCATCATAATCACATTGAATATTTTCAAGTATTGTTTCTTCCGTAAAATTATTCGTTTCATTGAGATTTTTAAAATTAAAATTAAATACTGGTATTGGTTTTGATAATGGACGAATATAATCTTTGACTTCATTTATATTTAAATCAAAGATTGTATTACCAGCTAAATGTCGACAATCATTTGGAATATTTATTCGTTTATTTTCACTGGAAAGATTTTTTAATGTATGAAATTCTTGCAGTTTTGAAGATTCAACTAATTGAATGTAAATAGTAGCACGTGCAGGTATTATATGAAGATTTTCATTATCTATCGTTAAATGTTTACATGCTTCAGAAAATGTTCGTAATCCGCCTTCACCAATTAGTTCCGTATCGAAAACTTCAGCAACAATGATATTGATTCTATCACCTTGTAAATCTTTTTCTAAATCAAGTTCAGTTGATCGTTTATCAATAACATTTATACGATCCGATAGACCATTTTTTTCAATACATTTTTTAGCAATTTTAGCCATGGGTCGAAAAACTTCACACGCAGTTATACGTAAAGAACAATCGGTATTGTTTGTTTGATTTAAGGATCTTGCTGCCATCATAGAAAGAAGACCTGTACCTGTACCAATATCGAGTATATGGATTTTCTTCGTTGATTTAGCAAGATTTTGAATAGTTTTAACAATTGCTTTTTCATATTGTACATTACGTTCATGATCGTGAAGCATATCAGCAAATGCCGAACGAGCTAATTCTTGTTGATAATCAAAATTATCATCATCGACGAAGACCCATTCATTATTGCCTGTAACAATATTTGATCGCGACGTAAATGTAGACATGGTTTGCGATTGATAATAGAAACGAATAGTTTTTTTACTAAAATGAACAAGTTGCTTTAATAACATGTAACAATTATCAAAAGTCTAAAATTATATGTAATTCAGTTTGTTTTTTGAAAATTCTGACTATAAAAGTATTTTCTTTTTAAATGCCACACCAGCTATCATCACGATAGACAATTTAAGAAGAGCTAGTTTCAAACTGAACAATAGAAAATCTTAAAGATCAAGTATCTCTACTGTTAGTAATCTTTTTTTTACGAAACTTAATGTTCAAAAAGTTGCGAAATAGAGTAGTGTCGGACTTTTCTCCTGAACAGTAGCAGTTAGAATGAATAAGAGAAAACACTTGATTTTTATTGAAAAAGATTATCTACTAAGAGAAGTATTTTGTTAAACTCATGAAAACTAAGACACTGGAAATGTGTTTTCTGTATTCTATATCAAATAAATCATTTTACAACTACATTCATTTAGTAGCGAAACTATTTTTGAAAGCAAGTTGATATAATGAAAAATTATTTTCATTTAAGGTGTTTCATTTTTTAGGATTTATTTAGAACAGTTATCATTCGCTGGCAATGCCACTACTTCGTCTAGTAAAATCTCTTGTCTGTTTTTTTTTTGTAGTTGTTAACGTTTACGAGAAAGAAAAAAAAGAGAAGTCTTCATTTCTACATATTTTTGTCTTTATTTTACATAACAGTTAATAGTTTTCTTTATATTTATGATAAATATATATATTTCAATCTTGGATTTCGTATTTTTTTTATTACATCATAGGTCCACTGAAAAATAGTCTAACACTAAGGATTACTCATTTTTGTGACTACATTTTTTTCCCTAAATAAAAAGAAAATCATTATTTAATCGATTGTTTTTAAATATAAAAAATCAAGGCAACAACAAGAACAACTATTAATAATTAATCAAATGCACAATACGGGATTGCGTAGTATTTGTTTTACATAATGGACAGGTTTGATTTTCAGCAACCCAAGTATGAATACATTGCCAACAAAAAACATGACCACATTCAGGTACGAGTGCAACATTTGATATAGCTAATTCATAGCATAATGGACATCGAACATAATCTGTTGACGATGTTATATCTTCTGATACGATTTTCTTTTCTTTTTCTTTTTCTTCTTCGGCTATCAGATTTAATTGATTTCTATGTTGACTGATAGATAAAGCAACTTGTTTCAATGACGTATAAGTTTCAATAATATGTTGAATGCAAAGACATAAGCTAAGTAATTTAATTGTTTTGTTCATATTTGATTGTATTTCTATACTCTCGGATGTTGATCGACTATAAATTAGATAACGAATACGTGTTAGAATTTTACTTATATTATAATAATAACCAGTTAAATAAAAAGATATTTTATGTGTTCTTTCAATGGATGTAATTATAAAACGTGTAATCAATTCAATGGTTTGTAATGATAATTTTGGATGAAAAAAATCTTCTGCGATTGGACGAATTAGAAATGTCGTAAGAAAATATTTTGATATTAAATCACCAAATATTCGAAAAAATATCATGAATAAGCGACGCATTAATGATGGAATTCGTTTTGTAATAGGATCATATTGTATTAAACAAACATATTCCTCGCCAATGGTCTGTCGATTTGATAATGTTGTCGTTAAATAATATAGTAGTTCACTTAAACGATGTAGATACGGTTGATAAATATGAAAATTATTTAAACCAAACAATTTTGTATAGAGTTCATCTAATTGTTGGGATAATTGACTTATCAAATAACGATCTTTTTCTTCGCTGCGAATTATTTCGAATTGATTTGCATATCGAAGTTCTGCTGTGGACATGTTGTATATTATTTTACGATGTCTAAGAATTAAAGTAATAAAACGAATGATAATTCTTCTTAACACATGAATAATAAAATTGTAAACATATTTTAATTATTCACTAGAATATAATTAGTTTCAAAAACAAATACAATACATTTGGTATATTCATGATAACAAGAAGGATTCGATTGTGAACTCATATTCGACTTCATCAAAAAAACAATACTAACCAAAGATTCTCTTGTAAATATCTTATTTACAGATAATCTGAATTTACTCAGAACCATAATTCTGAAAACTAGATACATCAAGGTTTCTAACTATATCTTCACCTTATCTGAAACCACAACTAGTCCAACATTGAATCATCAATAGAATCTATCATTTACTTCTTTTTCTTCTTCTTGTCAACTCGAACAATAATTCATCTGAAAGACAAAACAAATTTTTGTTGTTTTTCAAATGGACGTTGTCTGTCGTGTTCAATGTATTTTTTTCTAAAAAAAGTCCGAGAAGTAATCCATAGGATTCAATTATAAAAATTTGAATATAACAACAGAAAAAAAATTGAGTTTTTCATTTATCTTCTCTCCAATTGACAAACGTAGCATCGGTACGAAATCGTTGTGAACATGATGTTTCTTCTAATGTCATACCCTTACGAGTTTTATCAGCACGAAACATTTCATAGCCAGCTTGTGCAATCATAGCACCATTATCAATACAATATCGTTCATCAATAGCGCATACAGTTGCTTGTCGTTCGTTACACATAACACCCATCATTTCTTGTAAACGTACATTACATCCAACTCCACCAACAATAAGTACTTGATTTGAACCAACATGTGCCAATGCACGTTCAGTGATTTCAACAAGCATTGCAAATAATGTTTCTTGTAATGAAAAACAAAGATCTTCATTGGAATATTTTATTTTTTTTTGTTCATGTGCTTGCGTTCTAGCTTGTTTATGTCCAACAATAATAGTTTTAACATGACTTAATATACCAGAAAATGATACATCCATTCCTTTAACTGTATATGGTAATGGGATATAAGTATTTCCTTTCTTAGCTAATTGTTCAATATTATAACCGGGACTTGGATCATTGGATAATTTTAATAAACGAGCAAAACGATCAAGACAATTACCAACTGCAATATCAATGGTTTCACCGAATATACGATAACGATGTTCAGAATAGGCGATGATTTGTGTGTTACCACCACTTACATAAAGTACAACTGGATTTGCTGCACCGGTTATTAAACGCCCCATTTCAATATGTCCAATGCAATGATTAACACCTACAATAGGTTTATCATAGAGTTGAGCAAGTGCTCGAACAACAGTTGCTACGACGATTAATGGACCACCCATACCAGGACCTTTTGTAAAACAAAAAACATCAATATCAGCAAGTGATTCAATATTTGCTTCTTTTAGTGCCAAATCAATTAAATCCAATATAGCCGATTGATGATGTTTAGCTGTTAAATTTGGCCGAAAACCTTCACCAGGCGGTGTTATGTAGGTGCGACGTGGATTTGAAAGAACTTGTCCATCGCGAATTATACCAATACCAATTTTATTGGCACTACCTTCGAAACCTATCGATGTGATAACCATTGATCTACAAATAAAATGAAAATAAACGGAATTATTTTGTTTTTAAAGAAATAAATCTCTATATTCGGTAAAGTTAGTGTTCAAATCATTCTTAGTTCACTTATGACTGTATACTAATGCAAAAATATAAACTCTACTCATTTAATCAGCATGTATTTATCCTGCTTTATATAAAGTTTATTTCAATAATTAGTCATAAAAATAAAACAAATTTTTAGATTTCAAATATTGAATTGCTTCGAGCTTATTTTCATCAAGTACCAAAAACACCAACAATGTAAACATGATCATGATTTAATGGAAACATTCATTTATGAATGTGTATGTAATGAAACATATGTATATGTGACAAGAGTAATATAACTAATATTAAATACCATTTTCAATGATAGTACATGATAGAGACTGATTATTGAATGGTGAGAAATATTTCCCAAGGGATATGTATATTATGAACAGATGCATCGCTTGATATTTTCAATGTAAATAACATTATAAATTATATCAATAGAGAAGTTGCAATTTTGCTTGGCAACTGAACAAAGTATTTTGAAAAACTATGATTAAAATAGGCGTTGTCAATAGGGGCACATACAATTACAGTTAATTAGGCACGAATAATACGATAAAATCAATTGAAAATAGAGACTCACAACAGGGAACCTTCTCGCATAGACTCGTATTGGCACGCTTGTGCACTTCAGTATTAGACTACTTGATTGTTAACAAAGAACGTTTCTCTAGATTTGACATGTCAATGTAAGAGAATTGTTCTTGCGTTCTGAAATCATTTCCGACTGAATTTCTACCACTGCCCCGTAAAAATATCTTGAGATAAAAAGAAAATTTTTTGATTAAATTAGTTGAAACATATAAGATGGATAATGAATTTTACTTGAAAAAAAAACGAAAGAAAAACAGATTTAAATAAGATATAAGATAAAGAATTCAAACACCCTAATGTCTGTCTGTCAATTATTTGATCTTGATAGAATTGTTTTTTCTAATTTAAGACGATACAGATGGTTGATAATTACGAACAAGACGATCAAGTTCATTAGCCTAAAACAAATAAAAATCATATAAATAAACTTCTATTATATTGAAATGTTCTAAAAATACTTTGTTAGCTAAATCTCGAACAAATGGATGATTTGCATGTGAGTCTTTCATTTGAGATATATAACGATTTGAAACCTCAGTTGGTTTAGCTGTTAATTGAGAAAGTACAATTAAATTAATTAATGTTTGAGGATCGTTGCTATCCTTAAAATAAATAAATATTCGCATATAAAATATTCAAAAAGTATCTTTTCTTCGAAAAAACGAAATCTTTACTCGATCAAGTGCTTCTTGAAGTGCGGTTTGCGCATCCTCATATTTTCCTTGTGCCATATAGCAAACAGCTTGTCCATTTAAAAGGAGTGGTGTAACTGTATGTTTATCAGATAATTCTTGAAATATATAATAAGCTTCTTGTAATTTTTCTGAACCCTAATAATCATACAAACATGAATAAATAAACAGTTAATAAACAATAAATCATTAACATACTATAGCGATGTTAATCCAAGCGGTTGCTAATTGAGTTAATACCGAATCTTCATCTATATCTGTCATTCGTTTTAATTCTTTCCTATAAAAAGACAATAGAACAATATTTCATTTAGTAACTGAAGCAAAATTATTAGTTTAGCTCATCAACATACTTAGCTAAATCAAGACGATCCATTTTTAATAATGCTTGTATAGTTAATGCACAACTAAAATAAAAGAGAAAAAAATAAATTCTAATTAAACTTTAATAATAGAGTTTACCATTCCAATGAATCAGCATTATGTAAAACCTTAAGGGTAGTTTCATAGTTCTAAATCAATAAAATAGTATTTAAAAACAAATGAACCAACTCGATAATTTTTTTACTTCACTAAGATAATACATATAAGCAGTTACAAGTAAACAAAATGAATTTTTAACATTGCCACCCATTTTACTATCAAGATCATGTAAAATATTGTCACTAAAATACGAAAAAGTTATTTTAGGAACTAGAAATATTTGAAAAAAGTATAATTACCGTTTAGATTCACTTGCCATAAATTCAGCTAGTAGTCGAACAGCAACTAACTCCTCTTGAGATGTTGATGGACGAATGTCATCTAGTACAACACCATATTTTTTCTGAGCTATATATGAACGATACATGAATAAATCTTTTTCTGTTTGTAAATTTTGTGGAACCTGAAAAATAACAATTAAATTCAGAGAAAACAGCCGTAGTATAACAAACTTTGAGTTTTGTTGCCTCATTAATCGTTTGTTGATAATTGCCTGTATAGAAATTTGTTCGAATTTCAAATAATTCATCTGGTTCGCGATCTTCATGTGGCATTTTATATGATTATTTCAAATATTTATCGACGAGAGTGAGTAGAGATTTATTAAATATGAATAGTCAAATGCATACGAACACGTTTTAATCAGTTATCATTGAAGATCAATAGAACCATTAATATTCTATTCATCATATAAAGATGAATTATTCTTATGTTTATAATAAATTAAAAGTTTTTGCCCGTAAATATATCAAGTTTTAAGTGTATTTGAAAAATCAACAAATAGATGTCGTTAGCTTATTGTCTACTATAAGTGCCTGATTATATAAAAACTTCTTGTTAAAATGCGTTTTCTTTGGAATTGCAGTGTCATTATCTACACTGAATTATGTTTCATTATAAATACTACTTCAATATTTAACTTCGAGAATTGCACAGTTGTCATTAGAATCCAAGACATTTGCCATAAATGACAGAGAATGACATTATTTTGTCCATAGAATATATTAGATATTGATATGTGCAAATCTAGTATCAAAGTAAAACTCAAAAGTAATCATGTACACATGAGAAAAACGTTTCTGATTGCGCAGTCGAAATCACTCATTTTCTAAAGAATTGAGAATAAGATGAAATAGCGACACAAATCTATTTCGACAAAAATTAATGACTTGTTTTAAGAGAGTCAAGAGTCTTTTTATTTATAAAGCAACTTTAAAAAAATGTCGTCATCTACTTGTGTGATTGATTTAGATAATAAGACAGAGAGAGTTAGTGATGGTTGAGAGAAGAAAAACTTCCCAGTGATGAAAAAGATGAACCAACACAAACCGATATAGTACCGATATGTAGATATTTTTCTAGTCAATGAGGAAACTTGCTTTTTCAAAATATTCACCGTTTGATTCTCTAGAAAAATGAACATGAATCTCATAAAAGCTAAGACTAACACTTTACTGGAGTATTAATGCGGGATTCATGTTTCAACTTGGTGAAGATCTATTTTATTTTTATATTTAAGAATTTTCAAAATGCAATCTTCTCTTGTGAAATTTTTTCTTAAAGAAAAAGAAAAGTATTTTCTTTAGTTAGATAACTCTCCTTGTATACAATAAGCTTTCGTCATGAAAATCCATCGAAACAGGACATCAATATTCTATACATGCAATATTACTCTAATAAGTATATTGCTAGAATGAATTTTTTGTAATTTGTTGTATTGGATTCGTTTGTTGAGAATTAGATGGTGTATCTTTTCGAAAAAGATCCAGTCGAAATAAGTGACAATAATAAGGAGGACATCATTCGAACATTCCCTGATACTACAGTCCATTGCTGATATGTTACAAAACAATATGGTGATTCGCATTTATTCATCATCTTCCTTTGACTTATCAACAACTATGGAGCCCAGCAATTTGTTAGTGTCTTACAAAATAATAAAGTAAATAGGACTTCGCATTGGTTGATCTATCCCCGTGTTTTTATACGTTTCTATCTTAAGACATCGATGAATACTGATTTCAATAGAAACAGCATTGCAGAGTCAATATGATACCAGTCTGAAGATGACTTTTTTTCTGTTCAAAACATTAACGCATCCTCTTCAGTATTAAACGCTAGCTTACAGCCAGAACTATTCATATCGACAACAAAAGAAATACAAGATAAATATTGCCATTGTTCAGATCGTTTACCGCAAGAGCATCCACACAGATATTGTGCATGTCCTATTTATTCATTATAAACAAAATTAACAGTTTCAAGGGCTATGGTCGAATTGCGACCGAAAATTAAGTCAATTAAGAAAAAAAAATGGTCGCAATTTGGAATGAAGAATTTTACGTTGACCTCATTTTTTATGCGATTCCAAATTGCGGCCACTTTTAATTGATTAGTTATCAGTATATATGATGATGAGTTGTACTGTAATGACAATGTTGATATATAAGCGTGAAAAAAAAGATTTCTAGTGAATATCATACAATGAATACGAACTTTACTTGGTCAACTACCGAAAAAGGTTAAAAGGCTATTCTATACAATAACTATTTATTTCAGTTAAGGCGAGAAAATAAGAACAGTTCATCACTTTATGTCTGCATTAATAAGTGGTGCTCTCGTTCTATAGCATTGAAAAATAATGTAATTATAAAATCAAATGGTGAAAATCATAAGCATGAACCGAAATTGCCAGAAAATGTTCAAAAAGTTTTGCGTGCTATTTTTCATCGCTACATCCACATTATAAAAGACAGTACTGATGAGGAATAATTTTCTGTAGTCTTTTCTTCAATAATTTTTTTCAATTAAAAGTATTGATTGATTGATAATTGACAAGTGGTCGCAATTTGGAACCGAATAAAAAAAAGAGATCAACGGAAAATTCTTCATTCCAAATTGCGACCGTTTTTTTCTTAATTGGCTTAATTTTCGGCCGCAATTTGGAAGCTACGATATATGAGAAGAGCTGGAAAGAGAGCAGTAAAGAAAAACATCAGTTTATTGAGCTCCATTTTATTCATCGCCAACTGTTTTCAAGACGCGAGCTCGTCTTTGCTTAAGTGGGCACGTAAATGTTCGACGTGCACGTATGTCATTGTTCTTTGTTGTTTCAAGTCGTAAACCAAATGATGCAATCTTGTGTTAGTCCTTGCACTACCAAGTCACAATCCTGGATGATCGATGCATATCCAACAATTATTAATTAAACAAGAAGCAGAACAAAAAGCGCAAGCTCAACATATTCAACTAATTATCATCATATGTTTTAATCAAGAATTTTCTATTATTTGATGCCTGTGATATGCTTGCAGATATTTTCATATTTGATTGTTTCATGAAATTATCGATGCTAAGGACTAGTTTTTTTTCGTAAGAACTTGAATAAGAACTGAATAAAATCAATATGCCATCAAAACAGAAAAATGAAAGTCCTAGGGTATTAATGAACAAGCCTGAAAAGCATTTCATATTTTGAAAAGCTAGATGCATCGTTTTCATGATTGCATTTCAACTTTGATTTACAATACTCGAATAGTGTTCCTTTTTATTTTTAACTGATCGTAATCGTCAGACTTCACATTTTACTTTTCAGATAATAATAAAAAAAATGATTTAATATTCAGAGCAAGTGGACACGATACAAAAGTACGGATTAATTGTATCACAAATTATCAGAATTTTGATAATAAACATGCCGAGCAACTATTCTTCATAAATAGAATTATTTCACGTTGTTTAGCTTCGTGAAGTTTTGTATTTATACGATCTGACCAATATAAGATACGTTCGAATAATATTCTACTGAATCAACATCTTGTATCTTTTTATTCAAATTTTCGTTATAGAAAAAACAACGAAAGCGTTGATCGTTTCTTCAACAGTGAGCAAAACGAACATTTTTATCTGATTGTATTATCCATTTTCACGAAAACTTGACAACCGAGAAAAACCTAAAACATATTTCACACCGTTGGCCTTGAAGTTAGATAGTTACCATCAATATTTTGTCTCATTTTAATAGCAACGATGTTTTCAACACTAATTTATTTTCTCATGCTCGTTCTATTCAGTCAATTCACGTTTTACATGACATAGTAATACAAAAGAAACAAGGATACCGGTTCTATAATAAATTCGCTACAAATTTACGAGAATGATACATTCAGAATCGTACGAAATAAGATCGGTTGTATTTTAAGTGTAAATTGTTTACATTCACAAAACTCAGCATCAATAAATAAACATATTCGGTCTTTTATTTGAGTGATTGAATATTAAATATTTATTTAATTTTAGGCTGAGGAATTTATGAATTTAATCGTCAACTTTTTAATCAGCTAGTAAAAATAGTTATTACATTGGTTTCGACTTATATTGTAAATCACAGTCGGTCTAAATTGTTTACGATGAATCACATGTAATTTTTACGCAACGGATAAAGACAGTCACTGATTTAAACTAATTTTAATTATGGTTAAATCAACGCCAAGCCTCACTACATGGAATCGGCTAACTGAAAAATATTATCCATCTTTTACTTTGTACAAACCAAATTCGAAAGGACAAATCGAGCAAAATTTGTATCGTATAGAGATCTTAATGTTACTAAAAGTGTTTCAACGAGCATCAGGTGAAAATTCGTTCTTGATATCATCGTGCCACAAAAATGCTGACATTGAATGCGTACGCGACGGATTTCATAAATGCTTTGCTTCACATCGCATTAATAACTTGATTGATATAACTCTTCAATTCAACAACAAATAACTTTAAAAATCTAAAAGAGTAGCAAAAGAAAGAGTACACGGTACCAGAGATGCCGCCAGGCCGGCCTTAGCGTCCTGCAGGTTAAGACTTTTGTACCCTAACCCTGCCCTATCGTAAAACTTCGTACCCTTGTCGTACCCTGCCCTACGGCGTTCTTACCCTAGCCCTACCCTAGCCTATAGACTTCGTAACCTTGCCCTACCCTGCCCTAGGGGCTTTGTACCCTTACCCAACCCTACCCTATCACAGAGATTTTTCATTTTACACCCTATCAGATCCTTAGAGTTTCAGGTCCAAGTAAAAGTCAGCATGAAGTTTTTCTTCATTTTGTTTCAATATAATTTATTGATTTTCAACGAGAATCAAATACAAAATTAACTAGATGGTACTCGAGCTTTAGTCGACTACGAAATGCGGTGCGAAGCACAGGTTCCAGTATTGAGAACAGCTGCTTCCGCAAATAAAGGGGCGGCTGTGGGTGTTATTCTGTCTAAACCCTCATCCACATCCACACCCACTCCCACACCCCGCACCCTCACGTTTTCAGTAGAAATCTTTTCGTTTTTCAACTTTTGACAATGCTGATTTTTTCGAACCATCAGTCTTGCAGTAGTATTTTACTAAATAATTGAGTTGAATTATTTACAGAATCGTTTCTCGTTGAGATTCAACAGGGTTCAAACTCCTGAGTGAGAACGAATATTATCTCTTGATTAAGTGAGAGAATAAAAAATAGTTTCTTTCAAGTTAAATCTTCGTTATCGTTAAGTGAAGATTTTAATCGATTCTAGGTAAAAAAATTTTAAAAAGTCGAAAGTTTAGTGACTTTAAAAAACGTAATATTTGAATTTTGTTTTTGTTTAGTTGTGAGCGTGGCGAATAGGATCTAGAATTAAGAAAAAAGAGCTAGCAATTGAGAAAGATGATGTATGATAATATTTTTTTAAAGATAAAGTTAATATAATGATTAATAAGAATTAAGTGATGCTACAGTGTAAATGAATCAGAGAAGCCATCTGAAGTGAGATATCGATAGAGACTCTTTGAAAGCTTTGATATCGATCTTGAAAACAAGTACATATTATCTGCTATACCAAGGACGAACATTACAGTGGCCGTAAACCGCCTAACCGTCAGGGTTACGACCGTATACGGGCCGTAAATAAACCGTTTGGTATGCCCCGTATTACGGCCGTAACCCACCGTGACGTAAACGGTGAAACCAAACTACCGTAAACGTTAAAAGCAGTGCCATGACACGGTCGTATTTTGAACGAAACGACAGTTTACGACAACGAGTATCGCCGTATCTTAACATACACAGCCGTTTACGACCACCAAGACTACCGTACATCAAAGTAAACGGCCGTTTTCCATTCGTTACTCTCGATGATTTCACCTGCAAATCAAACAGATTTCATTCGGATTTCAAAACGATTTTATTTGGATTTGAAACGGATTTCATTTAGATTTCAAAAAGATTCCATTTGGATTTCAAAAAGATTTTATTCAGATTTGAAACGGATTTCATTTAGATTTCAAAAAGATTCCATTTGGATTTCAAAAAGATTTTATTCAGATTTGAAATGGATTTCATTTAGATTTCAAAAAGATTCCATTTGGATTTCAAAAAGATTTCATTTGGATTTGAAATGGATTTCATTCAGATTTCAAAAAGATTTTATTCGCATTTCAAAAAGATTTTATTTGGATTTGAAATGGATTTCATTTATATTTCAATAAGATTTCAAAACGATTCCACTTGGATTTGAGAAAGATTACATTTCTGGGTCAAAAAGACAGTGCATTTCGGCTTGAAAATCAAGTGGTTTCTGAGAGACTGGGGATTCGCTGGAACATAAATAGGGATTTAAGAGAAAACCGGAAAACAAACTGAAACGTGAACATGTTACTTGACTTGAATCGGGAAAGTGGTCAAACAAGATTCGACGACAAGAACTCGAAGATAAATCTGATTTCGGCTTTTAAATCTATTCCTCAACTAAAGAACTAAAAGCGAAGGAAAAACAGCCTATATGTAGAAGTTCTCGAGCGAAACAAAAAGGTGAATGATTGCGTGACATGAAATCAAAGATAAGTCTGATTTCAGATTTTAAATCTATCACTGAACTCAATAACTACAGGCGAAGAACAATCTGCCTATATATAGAAATTCTCGAGCGAAACAAGAAGGTGAATGATTGCGCGACACGAAATCGAAGATAAATCTGATTTCAGATTGTGGATTTTAAATCTAACCCTGAATTGAATAACTAATAACGAAAATAAATCTTGAGGGCGTGGTTATGGGTGTGGGAGTCCGAATGTGGATTAACGGAAAATAGCGGTTTTACCCAGATCCACCCACATCCACACCCTCAAGATTTTCAATGGCGCCAAAAAGTTATCAAAATCAGTAGAAATAATTAGAAATGATCAAAAATCATCCGGATTGTGTGGTAATCGATAGAAAGTTTAAGAAATCAAAGAAATCATGTGAAATCGGGCTAATTTACTTGAAACCTTTCAGATCGTTTGAAATTATTTCGAATGATTTTTAGCTATTTGAAATAATCCCTTTTGTTTTCTGATGATTTCCATGATTGCCAATGATTTCCAATGATATCCATGATTTCTACTGATTTCGATGATTTCGTCCAATTTCATGCGATTTCGATTGATTTCGCCTATTGAAATCAGTTTGTTTCCCCTTGTTATCGCATATTCTAAATGTCGTTTACAGTCACCGTATTTTCACGGTAGTTGTAAAAGTCAAACGTTTACGTTCACTGTTTACGATTAACGTAATACCTCGTAAAACTTCGTATATAACCGTCGTCTACAGTCGCCGTATTTTCACGGTAGTCGTAAAAGGCGAACGTTTACGGTCATTGATTACGATTAACGTAATACACCGTAAAACGTCGTATATGACTGCCGTAAACGGCCACTGTAAACGAATGCCGTTTTCCAACGTAAATGATTGGTGTACGACCGTTTACGGTCGGGTAGGAACGACCTGGGTAGAGGACTCTACTTTATTATTTATGTGTTTGATTTTTTAGAATAGGATCCATTTATAAATGTTGATCTAAAAGTGCCTAACTTTTAGCGTTTTGATTTTCGTTTTAATTATGTCAAAATAAAATTTGATCAAAATCCTCTTTTCGGGAATCAATTTGCGAGTCAATGGAAGTAGCTATAAAGATTTTTGGAAAAAATGGTACATCTATTATCTCGATTCTTTCACTTCACGTTTTAACCAGTTTTTTCTGATGTTCGGTTGTCTACATCATCGCGTCACAAGTTAGCAATATATAATCTGGATGTCGAGTTTAAAAAAAAGGAACAAAGAAAGAAAACTCGCGCAGGACTACATAAATGCTGTGCTTCGCACCGCACTAATAAATATTTCGAAAGTTTCTTAAAAGTGAAATGTCATTTACAACATCACCACTTAAATTTTGCCTTCTCTCTTCCAAAACTCGCCCGTTTGTACTAACAATACGTTGATGTCGAGATGATTTCGAAGATATTTTTTATTACATTTACATGCACATTTACTAGACAAATAATCAAAAGTGACTGAACTCGTCAGTTTATGTAAACATAGTACTAAACAATAGGCCATTGTTTTCCGTTCGTTGTTACTCTACCCATTCGATTTAGATTATGATATCACTCTTTATACGGTTTTTGATCAAAAAGATGTCAGAAATATGTATTAAGTTCTACTCTATAAAATTTTTATTTGTATGAGCTACACCCTACGTATACCCTAAATATATTTTTTTGTAACCTTACCCTACCCTGCCCTACGAGCTTTATACCCTAACCCTGTCCTGCCCTACGAGTTTTGTACCCTAGCCCTATCCTGCCCTGCAGGGCAGGGTAGGGTAGGACAAGGTTGACCTGCAGGACTCTAGCCGGCCTGCAGGCCAGCAAAAAAAGAATTTATTTTTAAACTGTAGCCTCTCCTGATCCGTCCATATAATATTTACCAAGGTTAACAGACTATGCCAGTTCAAAGTTATTGACCTGATTCAAGTCTTTTTTGTATGATCTTTTTGTATCAATTTAATAGTAAATTAATAAAAAAAAAGACAAATTATCATCAATATTTTTCATACAAAAAAGTCTTGAATCAGGTCAATAACTTTGAGCTGGCATAGTCTGTTAACCTGGTTCAATATTATATGGACGGATCAGGAGAGGCTACAGTTTTAAAAAAAAAGTTTTTTTGTGCTGGCCTGGTGGCATCTCTGCTCGGTACTATTGTATCGTTTAATGAACATGCAGTTCTTCAATTTGTCATCATCTTTCAGTTTCTTTGATAGAAAACACTATTACAATGAAATTTTTCTCATATTATTTAGTTTACTTTTCAGTGCATATCATTTTGTATATTCATTTGAACACTGTTTACGACGAACTGCATTGTGTTAGTCAAATGATAGACGTCAAATTGAAAGATAACCGATGTAAAATTTATATAATTAACGATGGCCTTATAGATTCATAGTCTACAAGATGACAAATACAATAAGCATATTAGATAGAAGCTCAGTTAAAATGAAATGAGAATTCTGACAAAAAACAATGCAGGAAATCTGGCTAGAAACTGGTCTTTGTCATTATCAAAGAAAGATGAAGTATATAGACAATAAATGATGTTTTCTAGACTATTGTTTTACAAGAAGAGATATTCCTTTCAATGATTTGTTTGATAGCTATTATAGTGTCAGTGGTTTTTTTTTCATACTCTAAATATTAGAACATTTTATTTATGCAAAAACGAATATCTAAACAGAACAAGATTCTTTTTATCTTATCTACTCATCAAACAACAAGCAATACAAAATTTGAACTCGTTTATGAATTAGTTATGAATTATTTTCTGTTGGTTTTTACATTAATTAATGCAGTAAAAATGGCAACTCTTACGTGATTACAATGCCCTGACAGAAGAGCCCATGAGCATTAAATAGCAATGAGAAAACTAAAATTCTATCTCGTGACAACATCCTTCAGACACTAAATTATGTTCCAGAAAGTGCATACTACAAGTTTATAATGACAAAATGACGTAAATTTATGTTGAAAATTCGTACAAGACAAGAACTTGGTAACTCATAGATACTGATAAAAATCTATTTTCAATAAAGGTTATTCAAGAAAAAACAAAATATGCTTTTTCGATGACGTTACTCGCCAACGAATAAATATGATAATTAGAAAACGTTTATTTATTCTTAATAAGATACAACCTAATGTCGCCTTCTATTAGAATATACAAATAGAAACAAAATCTTGTCATTTGATTCTAGTTATTGTTTATACGTAATAAACGTATAATATATATGATCCTTCTTTTTTTCGCAATTTAATTCTCAATTATATTATAATTAAAATTAAAATTGCGCTCGAAGAGAGCTTAATTTCTGATGAAGTTGAATCAGTTTAAATAAATTTTGTCTATGAAGTTTTTCTGCTAATGATTGTGGTGTTTCACTTCCATACGTCATGTAAACTATACCATCATCCGATGTTGTTGTCCTTAATTGATCAAGTAAATTCCATAGATTCTCACCATTATCATTACTTTGAATAGCTTGAAAAACTTGCCATATAAGATCCGGTTTATCAGCCATTAGATTAAATATTGACACTAAATCGATATCAATTGAATGAAGACTAATAATTGTGTATTTGATTGATAGTTAATCGTTTTCAAAGTATTATTTCATGCTACCATTCGATTGCAAAAATGCAGCATTTTTTCCTGTCGTCTATGCATCGTACAAATCTTTCTCTTGGCAGTTTTTTTCTCTTTATAACAAACTACATTATTTATTTTCATCATTCAGTGAAACGATGAAATTATGCTGTACGACGATGTGAACAAGGTCAGGACCAGTGTTGTCGTTGAGCATATTTAATCACGAAAAAAAATTACACCAAGGGCATTAAGTATATCCTTGAACATAGGAATATTTAAAAGACATTTATTAACATTAACAAACAATACTTTTTAAAATGTAATTGACTGAGATGAGTTCATATTTTCATTAAAATTTAAACTCAATTTGAGCGAACGACATACAACTTCAGAAACAAGATATGAAATTGAACACTATAATTACAAGTTTACTCTACAATGAATTAAGACGATAAGAAGAATGAAAGAAAAGCAAATATTCGTGTACAGAAAAGTCCCATTAAATATAAATCACGCAACGAAATAGTCTAACATGTTTAGGGATAATAATGTATGAAGATTAGCGGAAAAAAATAATTCATAAAACTTTTATAACTTTATAGATGTATCGAATTAACTAAAGAATTATTTGTTGTTTTACAAATTGTCTTTTACAAACATTTAAGTTGTTGGTAAATCTTTGAACATAACTAATTTCTGTATACATTTATTACTTTCATTAATTAATGTGATTGTTTGTTGTGGTTGTTGTGATGGTGATATTGTAGTTGATTCTATGTCAGACATAATACTATCAAGATTCTGACGAGACGATGCATCAATCATAAGATTATCATGATTTGAAGATGATTTTACTGCTGCTGATGTATTGATACTTGATGAACGTATTCGTAGTTTACTTGTACGATGATTGTATTCTTTTCTCGAAGAATTTTGTCTACAACGTGATACAATTATAGTCATTGTTTTATAGAATTCTTCTCGAAAACGTCGATTTGTTAAAACGTATAAAAAGAAATTGATGGAGAAAAATGTTTGTTGTAAGGTATCAAAAATTAAACCATAAAACATCACGTTACATGGATCTGGATTTGGATCGTGAAAATGCTTTGCAAATGTTTGATGAAAATGAAATGGTGAATTTAATAATAAATAAAAAACATTCAAACTAATAAGCATTGCCGATAAATGTATATCACGTGTACGTCTTGAACGATGACTTCTATTTATTATATCAGACGTATTTTTTAATGCCACTTGTAATTGATTCTCAATCGATGAATCTGTAGTTGATATTTGTCGATCAATAGCTGCATTTTCTTCACGATATTTATGTAAACTTTTTTGAGTTCTACCCATCTTTAAACGTAAACGTGTATGTCGTCGACATTGCATTTGAAAACAAAAACATGAACGTATATGTGTTTTACTTGCTCTTGTAGGCAAAATATAAGATAATATTCCTTCAGAATTGTGTTGCTTTCTATTCTCTGAAAGACTTCCTTTTGATGGTCGGTATTTTTCAGCAGTACGCATTCGTATACTTAAACTTCGTATAATGATTATTGTACAAACGATATTAATCAAGAGAGGAAGACCAAAAAATACGACCAATTCAAATGGTGGATAGATTGTTGTAAGAAAATAAATATAAAGTGTTGCTCTTTGATTTGCACGATAGTCACATACTACTATTTGTCTTTCATCATCGGAAACTAAATTGAGATGAAAAAAACATCTATTGAAATGCTGTTTATCGTGATTGAAATTCTTTCTAATGATGCGTGGGTTTATGAATATTTACTGCTCATTAAATTATCGTAAATCCTGTTTTTATCTTTTTCTTTTCTATTAAGATGACAACATCTATTTGCAGTCATATGTCTTATTTAAATCTGGCAAGGGTTAGCCGAAAAATAGATTTGTTAAATGACAGAAAGTAATTGCTAAATCTTTAATAACAGAAGAAAACAACGTGAATTATTTACCTTCAGAGCCATATTTAATAATCCAATGAAAATGAAAAACACACAAAATAGTTGCAACAAGAAATTCTTTCATTAATACTAAATGAAATTTTGATTTGGGATATCTTCTACTTGGACAACTTTTGGTTACAGTTCGAGCTCGATCAATGTTAACACATATTAATGTAAATAAACTGAAATGTGTTAAAAAATCCGATAGAAAACGATCGAAACGACATGTTATTAAAAAATTTTCAGTTAAAATATGAAAATAATATTGAAGCATCCATTTGGAAAAATGTACTAATGATAGTAAACCATTTGATAGGGATAAAAATGCTAGATAAGTGAATGTCGAATGGCATCGTAATGCACGTCGCATAAGGATAACAAATGCAAGAAAATTGAATATTGAACCGAAAAAGAATAACGCATAATTATGAACAAATAAGAACGGTCGAGTAATATTGCGTTGTCTTGGACATGGATTTGCTGCTGCTAATGATATTACTATTGTAGCATTGTTTAAAATGCTGGTATGATTTGCTACGAGCACACTCATTTGTAACCAGTTTTCTATCTAAAATTATATTATTAAAGTTATTTTATTTAATTAAAAAGGTACTTTTCTTTTCCGTGTCATCATAAAGCATGTCATCTATTAACATATAAATGTAAACTAAATGATATTCTGACATTATGCACGCATGTATAATTATATAGAGATAGAAAGACAGGCCTGAAGGAGCAATAAGAAGCGAATGACATATTAATAAAGAGAAAAAAATGGAAACTGACAATGGTAAGAATAGAAATATAGAGAAAAATCTGGTGGAGACTTGAAATCTTCACATACTAATAGTCGTAAAAGGGCCTTGTCAGAGATGTTTCTTTCGAAAATAATTATCTTGTTTTCTTTTGAGAGAACTTTTGTTGTTAAGTTAATGATGACGACTTTTTTCTCTCTCACGCAAACTATGAAGTAATCAAGAAAGTGATAATTTCAATTTTTCTTTTATAAGTAATCTTTTCGATGAGTAAGCCAACGAGAAAATATTTATAGACCGGTTGCAATACGTCTCTGTTAAAATTCAATAGAACTGCAACAAAAAAAACGACACCAAGAATTTTTAATCCGATTATCAACTAACTGAATACATCAAAAGAAAATCGAAAAAATAAGACTTCTATGAATATTAATGAACAAAATTGACGAAATCAAGAGTTAGCAAACGATGCAGAAAAATCTCAGATGATTCAGTAAAAGAAAAACTATTGATAAAAATGATTAACTAAACAAAGAACTTGTCAATTTATCAATTCATCAATTTATTATAGCACTCAACAATATTCCGTTCTATGTATTGCGTGTTTGATTTAATCTTGCCTGATTCACCTTTATTCTTAAGATCATCATCATCATCATCATCTCAAATATCTTTATTATTAGGTTAAGATTGAACTTCAGATTAGTTTAATATATCGTGCTAAAGAAAAATGAAAGCAAAAACCTCCCGACAAGTTCATTGTGGATAGAATTCAATCAACATATTGTTACAATCTTTCGAAGCACAAAGGCAAAACTTCGCGTTGTTCTTATGGCAGAGAAATATTTTATTGCAAAAAAAGAAGGTTGTCTTTCCATGATTTTACTTGTCATATGTAATAACATCTTGAGAAAATCTTTTGTGCCGTGGAGGGACTTTAATTACCTACTGGAAGTAAAATCAGATGACACTACTTTTGTATGTGAGATTCTATAAAAGTGTAAATTTAGTAGACCATTATAATATATTCACAAAATACATACATTGGAACTTCATTGAAAATGTAATATTTCTTTCTTATTCCTAATGCGATACGAACGGAAGTCTAGTTACTAATTGCTAAAACTCCGTTTATACGCATATTTATTACTTACTTGCTTAATTCGAATGTAATACTGTTGCAAGTAGCTTTTCTATGTTTTTAGGCTTAAGCATACATTTAGTTGTTGCACAGTGGAAATAGTTACGAAGGTGACCAAAATAAGTATAAAATGATGATTGATATATCTTTACCAAGCATATTCACATTTCCTTGTCAGTTACTCTTACCGTGCTTCCGCAGCAGTTCTAACATCCATAATAACATGAAACTCATACACGAAAGCATAATCAAAGGGAAAAAAAGGAAAAAAAGATCGCCCTTTTCTTTTATTTATATATATTATTGTTTTCATAAAACACAGAAAAAGAAAAAATAATGTCACAGAACGGCAAATTTTCTCACTTATGGATAATAAATAGCATAACGAGTCAAACGAGTGCTGCAAAACAAGTCTAATTTTGATGTTTCCCACCGATATTCATTATTCAATCGTGAAAGAGAATAAAAATGAACTGACACATGTTCCATTTTCTTCTTCTTGTTACGATCAATCATGACAGAAAGCATACTGAGATAGTGAAGAAAGGACTCAGTGCCTTTTGTGGACTCGACCAACTGTTGAAAAAACGATAACGCTTGGTGACAGAACTGCACAATATCTGCAGAGAAAATGTCAAACATCATGCAACGAAATCAATCTAATCTAGAATAATGGCTTCGAAAGAAAAACACTGTAGTTCGAATTGAATTATAGTCTTTGTCACGTTAATTGTTCAAAAATACTATTTTCATGTTATTATTACAGACAAACTATAACTAATTACATTGATTCTAAGACCCTTCTAAAAATGTATACTATCAAGATTTTAGGGAAAATATTCAATATAGAGAGGAGTACTTACCTATCGAAGATGTGTTTCTAGCAGAATTCCTTTTTTGTTTCTATGAACATCTCGTTAAAAATAAGAAGAATTCGGTACTACTGGCTGCGCTACTTCACCTATTTTCTATACAATTATCAAAAAATGCAGCATTACTAATAGCTGAAAGCCAATTAACACTTAATTATTCTCAGGCGTCAGTTCCTTTCTAATCCCATTGTAACCCTGGCTGCTATGAAAGGAATCGTTCCATACCCTCCACGTATGTTTCAAATGTGTGAATATAATCTAGCATCTGACAACACTTCTAATTTTCATATTCCGACTGAATAATGAAACTTTTTTCTACTCATTGCTTGAATTCACATCTTGTATATCTTTGTCTTCCTCAGACAAGATGCTACATCAAGCGCATCTAAATTTTCCGGAGATCTTAGGAAGCATAAATTCAGTGATCTCTTGAAGGGCTCAAGGCCACCGCCTGTTTTACAATCAGTTGAAGCTCACTACAGTATGCTAGAAAATAGAATCCGACAGATTCTTTTTAATTGAGTTAGATACTTGAAAAGTTTTTCATGTTCAATTAATTTCTCAATGGTCTTATTCTTTTCGAACGACGTGCGCTTCTTGTCGAAAAAGAGATCTTTATGTTAATACCCACAAACACAACACTTGAATAAATCTATTATTTTAATTAAGGCTATTATCATGATAAAGTTAAAGTAGATCACGGGAGAAGACAAACAGACATGCACATAAACTAGATGAAGAAATACAATCATTTAATACAGAAAAGATAGACAAAAAAGAAAGATTAATCATTTTCCTGGTCAAAAGAAATCTAAAGTTAATTTATTCAGTGCACATAAGATTATTATTATTATGACTTCCAATGGATAGGTTCAATGGATGATACTTTTGACATCCTTCCCATTGTTCCCGATTATCATTAGCATTGTGATTTGAAACTGGCGATGATGAACCAGAAGAACCTGAGGGTGAATGTTGTTGCTGATGAATATTTTCATTAGGAGTTGAATCTTTATATTCATTTGTTGTTGTCCATAAATGCATAAGACGATCAAGATCATGTATTGTATTACTATTTCTTCCTTGTTGTACATTGCTCATCACCGAATCATCTTCACGTGTTAGTCGTTTACGTTTATTTGGTTGCCGCCGTTTCAATTCCACAGGATACTTTTTCCGTTCATTACAAAACTTATAGTATAATTTTCTTACTAATAACTCAATACTGCCGATAACAGAAATACTATTAGGGTGTCGATCAACAAGACGACTGACAATCGAACGTAATTCGTCAGCATTTGGATAACTAAAACAGTGATACGTCGAACAAATATGTCTTTACAAGGAACAACTTACAGTTCATATTTGACAATTTCTTGATAGAGCGCTTGAACAAGAGCATTCAACTGATTAGCATCACCATTACCATTCAAGAATGCAGCTATATGCGGTGGGAATCGTGGAATTGGGATTCCATCGCTTGGTTTCGGTAATAAATCATACATTATATTGTGTTGACTACCATTTAAATTGTCAATTTGATGCATTGGTGAAACCCTAAATATGAAACATTATGTTTCCTGTCCAAAACGAATTGATTAACCCACGTGATACCAGGTTCCTCATAGGACTTTGATGGCAAATCTTCATCTCGGTGATTGTCACTAAGTGATGGTTGTAGCGGTATGGGTGTAATTGAGCGAACCATTGTTGGAATTGTTGTTGAAAATATTGGTGTTGTTGGACTTTTTGATGTTACTGATGGTGAATTCCCAGTTGAATTTACCTCTTTCTCACTAGAACAGACATATTTTCCTGCTTAAAAATCGTAGCACATAATAAAGATTCATGGTTGACATCAGCATGAGATTACTGAATTAATTTGCTATTCACACAGGCAGTTGTATGAAATAACGACTCAGTGCACCTTTTGACAAAATCTTATCTATCTAATTACAGCTCCATAGTGATATTACACAAGAAAAAATTTAGTTTTGTAGAAAAACGCTTTCTAGTGAATGCAATTATCTAGTATAATTAGTTTTTACAGGAAGCCATCTATTATGCGAGTTTTTCTTCTCTACTTAGACATCTCTTGGTCTACTTATTTTCCATAAAACGGAAGATGTGATGATATTTGAATAGTGAAATAAAAACATCGAAACTAGTAGAACATTGTCCAAAAGTCTGACAAAAGACTTACATCAATACTTGAAGACGCCCTTCGAATGGAAGTTTCTTATAGGATTCTATGTCAATATACTCTTGATATTGTTCATTCCATATTTGAATAATTAAAGATGATTTTGGTATTTGAAATTCTTGAACTATATTTGGAAAGAAAAATGTCACGTATAATTTTCAATTAAAAAAAAATCATTTTTTTACTGATTAATTGTTTCAAATGTTCGTGCGCAATACCATTTTGTTGACTGTAATATTCACTTGATGTTGGTACTTCGATTAAACGATTTCGTTGATTAAATCGGCATAAGTACGCCATCGATGTGCATCTAAAATCGACAAAAAAATAAGAATCGATCTAGTTTTTATTTACGATTTTCAAATGAAATTTTCTACCTTTTAGCTGCACTTTGGGCTTTCAAAATCGATAAATTATTCAAATTAGAACTGTTAAGTAAAGATGAATTATCAATAAACGATGAACTATTTTGAGTGTTATTATGTGAATTGTTATTAGTATTAGTATTCGTATTATTGTTGTTGTTGTTGTTAGCTAATGTTTGATAAAATTGTAGTAATGCTGCAACATTATCTCTATCGACTGGTTTCAATGCAGCAGCTAAACGAAGATTCAGTGCTTTTTGTTGTTGAATTAAATTTGGATCATTGGGAATGTTTTCTTTTATTGATGATGTCGACGGTGGAGGAGCTGGTATTGGCATTTGTGAATTATTATTATTATTATTATTATTTACAAGTGCATTCAAAGTTTTTGTCAATAACAAATGATTTGTTATTGAACTTAATTCACGTATTGGTTTTTTATTATTTAATAGTGAGGAGGGTGGTGATGATGATGACATGATGCTGTTGCAGTTGTTGTTGTTGTCGTCTTTGTTTGCTCAAGAAATAAGATGTTACATGTAGTAGAATAGCAGATGGAAGTGAACGAAGAAGAAATTTGTCAAATATGTATTATATGGACGGACGAAAAAAGGAAAAAAAAAGGCGAAACATAACTGACGTAAACGGTCAAATTGTGTAATGTAACCGTATAGACAATGAAGAGAGAACACCACTGATCATATTGGCGTCTATTGTTTTCAATTGAACAATGTGCGTATACAGTTTAAGAAAAAGAAGAAAAAGAACGTTAAAGTCTACCATTTCTTTTTTATCTGATTGGTAGTGACGAAGATTTTAAGTTAAACAAGAGAAGAATGCCTTTGTGTATACAATTGAACTATTGTGTAGGATTACAATTGGTATTTAATTAGCATATTTGAATAATAAAATCATGGAAGCGAATCCAAAAGTTTAATGGAAATTTAGTATACATGTCATTTCAAATATCAGTAATTGTCTTTGAAAGATTGAATTATTATGTAGATGAATCAAAAGCTTTTCAGATGTAGGGAGTTTGTTTGATGGAAACATATTTCAGTAGAAAAACATAACATTATATGATCTATATCGCTCGAGTCATGAAAGGCAGTTACACTTAGAAAGCTGCTGAGGATGGTAGTATGAAAAATTGTACACGTCAATGAAAGTTATGATATACTACTATGATATGGTTCTACTAATTGAATTAAATTAAGAGTAGTTTTTTTTTATTTAAATAATTTATTTATTATTCATTAGAGGCGACAATTTTAAATCAAATAGAACAATTAATGAAAATTCATATTTATCATAGGAATGACTTACTTTAGATTTTTCATATCAATAGAATGTACTTGATAACGATTATTAGTTGATGTAGATAAAGTTGTTTGATGAATTAATGAAGAATTATCATTGGATGAAATAATAAAATGATTCACAAAAGACATTTTTCTATTTATTCATCTCACTATTCAATGTCAAATGAAATAGAAGAACCAGTTTTTTTCCATCGAAAAAAAAATGCTACATATGAAATAACAAACAGCGTATCCTTTATCGTTTTTTGACTGTATATTGTCGACATTGTTCGTGTCGTTAACAAATATATCTATAGCAATTTAATACATCCGACATTACCTGTGATACATGCATGTACAGAGGTAGAACTGTGTGCCAGAATAAAACCATAAGCAATGATGAGTGAATGACACGACAGAAAAATTCAACGAAAAAGGGGAACAATAAATAGACCACTACGTAATGTATGAATACTGATCTCAGATTTACATCTACATATGATTGAATCTAATATTGTAGGAAGAGTTTGAAAATTGCAAACAAAAATGAGCAGAAAATATGGTTTTAATGTAGTTTTATTTTGTCCAAAAAACAAAACGATATCTACGAGTTTTTTTTAATAATATTTTTCATTTATGCACTGCTTCGCTACTCGCAAGAATAAGTATATGATTATGTATTATTATATGATTTAGTCCAGTGGAATACGATGACATACAATCTATGAATTAAAAATTTCTAATGAACCGAGAAATGATGAAATCATTCGTTATTATTATTATTATTATTATTATTATGAATAGTACTAAATTGGCTACTTCATCAACAATAACATCTATAGTAAATGATAGTGATGTATCAATATGTCATGTTGTTTTTCATATACTAGTTATTACAGTTGAGAGTACCCGGAAATTTCGTCTGCATATAGTTGGTACCGGAAGCAAAAGTTTCTAGGTCAATTGACACATTGAAATTAATTATTCAATCCTGCGGTTACAGCTGATTCATATACAATTTCAAATCGATAAAATTATGCATTCTGTATTCCTGTCGAATCCTTCAAATGATTTTATGTATCCTTAATTAGAACATGACCAGCTAATAAATTATCTGATTGATAACCTACATTTGTTAGGCATGCTTTTATATTTTTAAATATCACGAAGACTTATTGTTGCATTGATATCAATGTAAAGAATAAATTCATGGATCTACCGGCAAACCATTATTCTCAATGAAGACCCTATTGTCAATATTTTGTTAAATATTGACAGATTACACTTATCGGAAAATCTGTGATATTCTTTATTTAATATAACGAGTAATTTCGCTTTTGAATACTATTTTTAACGTAAAAGGAAGACATCTTTGAATCGCCTTGATTAACACCAAAAAGAAAAGAATGCATTTGAACCGACAGAATTCACATTTACTACATTATTTATGTTAAAGGTATTTCTTTAGTCCAATAGTATAGATCAACATTATATAATCTTGTATGAGAACAGAAGCTCTAATAGGATTGGTTATAGTCAACATTGTCACCAAGTTCATTAGCATTGTAACTTGTTGATAGGATACATGTAGAATTTGAAGTCTAGACATTGAAAATAAGTTTAATAGGTACTTGAGAATGAGGTGTGGTCGTTTTTTTTTTGCATTTTTGACATTGAAAACTGCTAATGTCATAGAATAAAAATCAACAATTAATAGCCTAAAATAAAGAATACTATTTATTTGATTAAACTACGTCGATGAAGGTCAATTCAATACTGAGTGACAAACATTATCACACCCTTAAGTTGACTTTAATCAAAATACATGTATACCGATCGAAATTATTATGAACAACATCGATTCTGATCTGATAAAGTTGAATTATAAACGATTGGCAACATAATAAAAATAGGTAAATGATTTTATCATTTATTTAATCGTTGTTACTAATATACGCAGGCTCGAACAAACTTGTAAATATCACTAAAAACATACATCATGTAATTATTATGATGCCCTTGATAGGTGGTGGGTGCACATGAAAAACTAGTACTGAACGTAAATGAAACGTAGTATGAAGTCGGTCAAAATCATCGCCATACTTTTCATATATAGTTGTGAGTTTTATTATGATTTTCAATAGCAAACATTAAAAAAAGAACTGTTTAATTTATATAAATCATTTTAAATGTCTAGTACAGTTTTCTATTTCTATTTATAAAATGGAAGAAATGAAATTTTGTAATACAAAAAGAAAAAGTATTTCTATGAATTCAATATATTATGAATAAAAAAAAAAACTCAAATGAAAGTATGCAAAAAAATAGTATTTGCAATTGAATGACCTTTTCCATTTCACATTTACATTAAAAAAGATAATATAATTAACTAAGTCAATGTATATTGATTAAATTTATTCTGACGTATGTCCTTACAGATTGAATATTTTAAATCGCTTCATTAAGTCTAATAAAATCTTGATTGAATCATAAACAAACACTAAGATCAATCGGTCTCATGGCCCTTTTTTTATTGAATTGGAAGAATTTAATAAAAGCGCAACGATCATAATTTCATAAAAAATAAATAGTCGTCATTTTTTTTAAAGTTAAAGAGAATTTCACGCTTTCTAAGTTCACCTCTCTGAACGAAATCTTTGTTCTTAATAGACAACTGAATCAAAATTTTCCTTTCAATTATCCTTCGATATTAAGACATAGACACGATTGATAAATATGAATCTAAAAGATAGGTAGTAGGTTTTAAATTTCACTGATCTGCTCTTATTGAATAAATAATTATTTAACTGTTTTAATTTCTAAAATTTTTATTTTTCGTTCTTCAATAAATAGCGAAGTAAATATTTCTCTATTAGTTATAGTTTCGTGATGAATTCATTGATCGTGTCGAATAACTTGGAGGATTTTCAATCGGCTTCATCGGATAGTTAAAAGGGTATTTAATCAATATTTATTTCTATTTGATCAATAGTCTTTTCTTTTGGTTAATTGTTACCAAGGCAGACTACTCCATCGGTTCGGTGTGACCATACAAATAGAAGTCGACGCGGTAAGTATTGTTGATAAGCTTTAGCGTGAGGATTAACGTTTGTCTCTCTCTCTCTGTCCCACCTATTTTTGTCATTCAAGTCGTTCATACACGATCAACACACATCAAGTACTATTGAAAAGACAATATATTTATGTATATGGACAAGTTGTGACAGCTATATTATCAATATATTTTATGCAGGTTAATATATAAAATGTGCGCATACTTAATTTTTCTTTCTTTTTTGCGTATGATACACTTAGGTTGAAAAAGAAAATCGCTCATTTTATTAGAATAATTTTATATTCATCATTAATTCATATTTTGTCTTTTCGAGCGAGTTCATTTAGTTTTCATTTTTTTTTAGTATTTTCTAATAATTATAAACACAAAAATCAAGACGATTTTAGTTTATATTTCATCAAACATATATTATATTATGTAACAGTAATCACACAATAGATCTATGTGATTCTATATCTATCGATCATTTGCAATATACACTGAATATGACAGTTCACATGTCTGTCTTTTTGATCATATTTCGTATATATATTTTAAAATTTCTCGATTTCATTGCTTTTTTTATACCCATGATAGATACACTTAAAACTGTATGCAAACACCTTCGTCATGTTCTTAAATGCATGAATATTTGAATTGGTAACAGAGATTCTTTGATAATAAATTCTCAGTTATGATAACAAATATTTATGTATACATATTTGTAGATATTGTCCATGACTGAATTACATTTGACCTTCAGAGTGAAATGAGCCATTGAAAATACATATTAATTTTTCTTTTTTTTAAATATCGTTGTCTAATGATCTACAGTGTGTCTTATCAATATAGTTCGAAGGTAACTTACATCACATGCTGCTTTTTTTTTATATCAGAGATTTTTTTAAAGAACAGTTCTTTTTGTTGTATTTCAAAATTCGCTTGACCTCGTACGATTTTCGTTTCTCTTCTCTTTCAATGTGCAAGGTCTACAGAAGTGCATATATAATTATTTGTCATGGTCTTTCGTTTTTCTTTTCTGTCTTTTTTTACGTATTTAAAACATTCATATCTTCATTCATTCTGTACTTGCAAACTGAATATAGTGTTTTGTTTTCGTACTTTCAATCCTAAATCAACATCTCTCTCTCTCTCTCTCTCTCTCTCTCATTTACGCTCCTGTCTCTATACATCCTCTCAACATAGAGTTATCGAGCGGAAATCGTAAAATGAAATGTATGTGTGTGTGTGAGAGAGAGAGAGAGAGAGAGAGAGAGAGATTGAAGTTCGAACTCGCATTCATGTTCTTTCTGAAAGAAGAACTGCTTCTCGGCCGAGCAAACATTCAACTCATTTCCCCTCTCGTCTCTCCTCCCCTTGTACTACACTCCTGCTGCTATTTATGCATTAAGTTCATCTCTCCCCTGTCTCCTCCTGTGTCTCTCTCTCTCTCGCACTTATGTACCATGGAATCATAGGAACAAAAAAAAGAAGTAAAGAAGACAAAATCACAAGTCATCATCAAACAAAGAAGAAAAAACAGTGGATTTTTGACAAATAACAATTATAGATATGTAACCAATATAAATTTTCTCTTTCGTTCTGTTCTTATGTGTGCTCTATTATATTCGCATACCGAAAAGAATAGGCATCCGCCTACACTGCCTTTTCAAGTGCATAGATAAATATATTCAAAAGATGCACGAAATCGTTAATGCTTGTAGTACAATTTAAAACTGTATTCTATTAAGAGCCACCGTCGCAGTCGGTCTCTTTTTTTATTCTTTCTCAACGACGCTTCATACGATTATGTGAATGTGTATACGAGTGTGACGACATCAACTGATGTGAAGAAAAAAAAGTTATACACTGTCTCACATAAGTGTGTGAAAACAGTGGCCTTTGTTCGTTGTCGACAATGATGTCTTTAGTTTAGTAGGCATTGGAAGAGAAAAGGTATACCAAAAGAGAGAGAGAGAGAGACAGAGTAACTGGAGATAAGACGAATCTATCAAGTTTGTGTGTCTGTGTGTGGTTATGTGTTCTCTTTTTCGCTCACTAACTCTGCCCATTCACATGTAAGAATTAGTTCATAGGAAACAGGTCTTATTTAGCATCATACAAAAAACTTTATTCCTCATATAATTCTATTCTTTATTCACTTTCAATATAGATCGATAGGATTGTAGACTTTAAAATTTCATTAGACATCTATAAATAATCAATGGCGGAAGAGTCTACGATTGATCAAACAAGTATTATTACTACTGACGAATCTTCAGGTAATATCGGTGCATAGGTATATACATATATATATATATATATATTATTAAACCATTTGTAAAATACACAGTTTTGTGTGCATTTGTTTGCATATACTAAACGAATTTGAACAAGTATAATAGAATCATTTAATTATGTTTAAGTATGTATACTACCTGTAATATATGGTAGACGTTACCATTTTTGGTTAAAATAAAAAGAGAAACCTAAATATAAATTTCTGTTTTGCCCTAATCATATCGCATTAAGTGTCCTCATTTGAAGGCCATCAATGAGACAGCGATTACAACTTGCGTATATATTCATGGAGAAAAAAAAGAACAGTATTACTTTCTAATGTATACAAACAATTATTGACTAATAGCAGATAGAAACAAAATTCTAATACAATTCTTAACTAGACTAATTATAACACATATAATCATTTCATTTTCTTTTAAATCTACATACTCTCAGGTATTACCTTCAATTTTTTTTCGCTCAGGTAAATATTTCAGTCTGCTCTAGACTTGTGCATAAAAATCATCATCATCATCATACATATTTGTCATTGATTATTTTTCTCTTTCTTATTTATTCTTCATAGGTATAGCGCCGAGCAACAATTTTCTCGGTCTACTCCCGCCACCCTATTCAATGTCAAGTCTTAAAACTACATTAGCTTTACTTCAAACATCATCTCTATCCTCTACATCATCTTCTCTGTCCTCTTCATCATATACAAATAATACTGCGCAGCAAACATCAACGCAAAACAACAATAATTACAATCCATACTCTTCTTATCGTGCTAATTCAGCAACATATACTGATTCAAATCCTATTGGAAATTCTATATATCCAATGTCATCAACAACATATCGTTCGTCATCTTTTTCAATACCAAAAGCACCTATATTTAGTCAAACACGTGAAAAAGAAAAATTAGAATTATCAACTTTAAATGATAAATTTGCTGATTATGTTGAAAAAGTTCGATATTTGGAAGCACAAAATAAAAAAGTTCAAATGGAAACAGGTATTCTAAATGAAAAACAACAAGTCGGTTGTCAACAAATAAAAACAATGTTTGAAAAAGAAGTCGTACAATTAAAAGAAACCATCGAAGCACTATTTAAAGATAAAAATTCAATGAATTCCAGTGCTAAAGATGCACAGGTTAGTTCTGATTTATTTTTCTTCAAACACGATACCTATTGTGATCATGAAAAAACGAATAGAGAATAAAAGAAAAGAAAAGATTCACGTGAATCAATAAATTTATAATTTCCTTATCTATTCAGAATGGTATTCTTCCATTAAAGCAACGTCTGAATCAAACATTTAAAGAATGTGATTCATCGAAATATGAAACTGAAAAGGTCGAACGACAATTATCGTCTATTGAAGGTGATATTCTTATGTATAAACGTCGGCTTGCACATCAAGACGATGAACATACACAATGGAAACAATTGATAACTCAAATTCAACGTCTTCTATTACAAGCAAAAAATGAAACTCATAATGAAACAATAGCGCGTACATCAACTGAGCAAGCAACAAAACAATTACGTCTTGATATAAGTCAATTACGTGAACAACAACAGCAAAAATTGAAAGATGTTAAACAAACAACTTTGTTAAATCCAAGTTTAACAAATGATCGTTCGCATATATTTAAATCTGAACTATCAAGTGCGATTAAAAAAATTCGAGAAGATAATGAAAAACAAAATGAATTACAACGTAATACTTTCTATGAGCAATTTACTCAAGCATACGAAGATATAGCTCGACAATATCCTGATCTTGGACATTTATTTTTAAATGAACGTGAACAAGAACGTGTAAAACAAGAAGAAGATCGTGTACGTCAAGATATTCAACGTGTAAAAACTGATATTAATTTATTAAAACAGAAAAACGGTGAACTACGACTACGTACACGTGAATTACAAATAAATCTTGAAATGAGTTTAGAAGAAAATTCACGTTTTGAACAGATACAACATAATGAAATTGAACAATTAAAATTAAAACAAGAAAAAATTTCGAAAGACTACGATGATGTGATATCAAAACAAACGTCTTTAGAAAAAGAAATCGATACATACAGAAATCTATTAGAAGGTACTATGAAAACAGTTGTGGATACAATTACAGATGATTATAATTCAGCAACAACAAATCAAACAAAATTAAATCATCCTCATCAACAACAACAACAACAGCAACAGCTAAATTCATTGCCAAATAATCGTCCAACACGTTCAACAAGTGTTGATCGAAGTCCGTCATCACCTTATCTTTCTACATTAAGAAATCATAATAATCATACGAATTCATATTCTCGTTTTATGACATATAAATATAATAATGGTACTGATACTGAATCAATAGATTCTTCACCAGCTATTGATATACCAACAACAATTGAAAATGGTTTAATAACAAGTAAAAGTGTTGGTGATTTAAGTGTAAAAAATGGTATCCATCCTCTTGAAATTAATGAAGTAACAAATGATTCTTCGTCGCCCAATAGTCGACCTACAACTATTCTTCAAACACGACGAAGTTAATACGAATTTTAAGATTTTTTTTCTCTTTTTTTTATTCTTTTATTTTCAATGTTATTATTATTATGCCTTTTATTATTATTATTATTATCATCATCGATAGTCTCTTGGTTTAATGTACAAAGAGATCAGTTTTTTTTAGATGAGAAATGAATATTAAAAGAAAGAAGAAAGAAGAAAAAATAATAAAAGAGATTCTATAATATACTTGAAAAAAAAAAGAATTTTTATGTAGTTAATAATATTTGAAGTGTATCATAAAGACTAATTGTTTTTCTTTTAAATCTTATAATCGTGTGACTCATCTTTGGAGAAAAAAACAACATAGACTATGACAACTTTTATCTGATGCTCTTCTATTCATGCCAACAAATGTTTCATTTCAAATAGAAATAATATAAACATTTTCATATACATAAAATTCAAACAATTCAATCTTTTGAATCTATAGAAAACACTCTTTTTGCTATTATTTTAACAAAAAAGGTATAGAAAAATCAAGCATAAGTGTTAAATAAACGATTGATTGGTAAACAAAAAAATGGTAATTGCATGGCTTTCGCTTGCTCTTTATGAAAACAAAATCCTTTCAGGTGAACACATATGCATCGGTTCAATACTGTTTCAAATAATACAAAACGAAACGTTTTGACTTTAACATTTCATCGATAGGGATAATACGTAGATAGTGCCCTAAAAGTGACGACGACCAAACATATCAATTTCTTGATGTAGAATTTTCTTGAAAAAGTTATTTTCATTGAAAATTTTAGAACTACAAAATAAACATAATTTTATATAGCCAACATATCATATTTGAAATATATTTTTTTCGATTTTTTGGAAATATTTTGCTTGATAAACATTAGCACAATTGTAATTCTTCATCATTTTGCTATAGATTCTGATCTAGTCTTCTGACCAAAAGGCTACTCGTAGCTTTTAATTGAATTGTTTCCTAGAATTGGATAAATCACCTACAAAAAAAACATTGTAATATCACCAAAAAGCTGTAAAAAAATGAGATATTTATGATGATGCAACGATGATTGCTCTTGAAATAGGTAATACTTCAAAAATATTGATAATTTTGATACGGCAGGTTGTAAATAATCTTAATGGTCTCTTTTATAAACTATTGATATTGGTTTTACAATCACAGTGATGTCACAATCAAAATATTTGATATTTTGATGTCATTGAAACTGTTTCGTCTATGCAATTTATGATCGTTTTGATAAAGTAAACCTTTTTCAAAAAGTTTAGACTACTTTTGTATAACTGTTTTAAAATAGAATTCATTTTTACATTAGAATACTAATATAAAAAAAGAACCATTGAATTCATCAATCAAACCGTTTCAATAATTTAAAACTATTATAGAAATGAAGTTTCATCTGTTCTATGTCAAAACGATATTTATATTTAATTGAAAAAAAGGCTACAACGATTAATTGATTTATGATTCGTTGTTTGAATTATTGATATTCTCGTAATTATACGATTTTCGTCGATAAGCTAATTCTCTTGTATAATTGACTTACCAATGAAAAACTTCTTGATTTACTTTATTAATAGTAGTAAACTGCTAGCGACTTTCACATATGTTTTATCTCAAAAATTTATGTTGCGCACAACAATATTCAATGTTTGATTTCTAACAATTGAAAGGTAAAATAAGGTTTTAATTCAATAAGAACTAAATCAATTCTTTGCTTAAAAATATTAAAAATAATATCATTATCGTCGAATACAAGTGTGATAGATGAGACGTATCTAAAATGAATCAATCAACAAGAAATAAGTCTCTGATAATGCTTATTGTTATTTTTTTCTATTGCTGTTTTTCTGTTCAATGAATCTTTTTGATTTAAAATTCTGATTGCATAAACAAACAAAAAAACGTTTCTATGAAACACTACTTTTGGCAGTTGTCCAAAAAAAAATAATTAACTAGACGTCGGTACAACAACACAAATAGTTTTCAATATTCAGACTGTTCGATTAACAGGTCAATTTTTATGTCAAACATCATGGGCCATTTTCTATTTGCTTTGATCATTACAATGATAATCCGCAGAGAGCTTTACCAAAGCAATCGTCAAAAGTACGCTACATAGGAGAAGGAAAAAAAAACACTTTTCTCTTCACACGCAGTTTGGATTAAAGCCGATTCAAAAAACGAAGTGTTAGAAGAAGCCGCTATTTTTTTTATCTACGTTTCTTTCAGTTCAGATTTATCAGACACATGCTCTATCCGTAATCGCTTACGTATAATACATGTAGGTTAATTACACTTCTTCATTCTGTTCCTAGTTGCCTATCAAATAAAACGGTTGATTAAATACTTCTAAGGAAAAAATTAATAATCATAATCATACGAAAGTAATGCTTCTGTGATGTTCACTGAACTAGAAACGCATAAACCTGAACTTCTATATCCGCTCAGTATAATACGTAAGTTCTTATCTTGCATACGGCAAATATATCAGTGAATAATAATGATTTTGACGACTATATCCGCATTTTGAACATTAACCATGGCCCTGAGGTTAAAAGTAAGAGCATAACTTCGCGCACTTATGTAATCAACACGTACTGATCAATAAAATAAGTGCCTTTCGAACAATTAGATTTCGTTTTAAAAATGATTGAATCATAATGTCAATAAAATTTTATAGAATTAGTTAATTTATCTTCGATCAATGACCAAGACATTCAACATTTGTATGTCAAGCATATATTTAAAAAAGTAAAAAAAAAACAGAAGAAAGGTTCGACTGAGTAACAATCTCATAATTATTTGATATTTGCTCATGTATGAAATCGACAAATGAACAGTTTTATTCATCTTTATTATCGAATGAACTTTGCGTAATGGTTGTAATCTTTAAATTTAATTTAGACATATTTCGAATATTGAAGTCGTTTTAAACGGAAAGAAATTCTTCTTGTTGCTTTCTCGTTTCTCGTTTTTCTTTTTACCTTATGCCGTGTGTTAGATCGGTCATCCCTTATTCTTTTACTTTTTCTTCTTTCGTTCAATAGCATACGAGAATAGAGACACGTACCTACGGTCACAAACGAACGATCGTGTGTTGTTACAGTTGACCGTAGTGTGCATATATTTTTCTTTTTTCTGTTTTTTTTGTCACATTGAAGAAAACATCACATACAAGTGACCTTGACAAGCGACAAGATCACTCTTTCTTATACTTATTCATAATCAATTATGATAATGATTGACAAACATCATCAGCATGTATGAAAATTCTTATCTTTTTCATATCTAGTAATAGTTTTCTACTTTAGTCTTAATTAGTTTCATCGAAATGGGTGCATGTTATGGCAAACGTTCAGCATGCTATGATTTAAATGAATATCGTCGTACATTAACAAAAACCGAAATATATGAATTAAAACCACCTGAAACACCAGCAACATTACGTCGTTTTAGTAGTTTACGACATAGTATTAAAACAATTTCAGCCTTGGCACATCATCGGCGGAGTCTACGTTACAAACCAATAACCATTGTTATGAGTCCTCATAAACATACAACTTTTGGTGGTGGTTATAGTAGTACAAGAAAAAAACATTGGTGCATTATACATTACAATGAATCGAAAGAGGCACTTGTATAATAATAATAAAGAGAGAAACTTTTGTTCCGGTTTGTCCAATATAATCTTTTGAAACACATATGTAATACAGGTGTGATTTAATTTTAAATTAAGAGTATTATAACATTAGTTGCTTGTTTCCTTTTTTTGATTTTGTCCTTTGTTTTGTTTCTTGGTGTTCGTATCGACATTAAAAATATAAAAATATTTGTTGATCGAGAAAAAAAGAAAGAAGACATTTCATATTTCATGAACTGTTTAATTATTTTTTACTTGAATGAGCAAAAAAAGAAAGAGAAAAAAGGAAAAATTGAACATAAGAAATTTTGTTAGAAAACCAAAGATTAAAATGAAAAAAAAAAGGACGAGAAAAAGGTCATTTTATATAAATCGAGAGAAAAAAAGAAAGATAAATGCGTGTGAATGGTCGAAAATGAAAATCAAGGACGGTATTTTGAGAAAATAATAGTAAAGGATTAAAAAATCTTTTTTTTTTCTCCTCTCCTAATTTTACAGAGGAAGTACATAATTTAATCCTTTTGATTTCAGACGTTAAAAAAGCGAAGCTCTCAAGAAGAAGAAAAAACAGGCTTTCTTCTTATTTTTCTAGTTTTCAGTTATCAGGAATGATAATGAAGATATTTCATCTTAGTTCTGTTAAACTTTAACAATTTTTGAACTTGTGAATGTGTCGCGTAATGATATAAGATTATGTGCTAATAAACAACCAAAAACATTTTCATACCATTGCGATGATCGTCCACTAAAACAATCAAAAAGTAAATAAAAATTTAAAAGTAAAAACAAAAAAACCTTTACCTAAAATCAACAGATGCTACTTGAATAACTGTCGTATATCCAGGTTGAGTTGTTGATGGCGTTATATAATAATGCATATCTTTCGTTACACCAATACTACCCGGTAAAAAATGATTTTGCAAATGATCAATTGATACGGCACTAATTAACATTGCATTTGTATCAGGTATTGAGCGTGATGCAATCTTTTTTGAAAAACTAAATAGAAGAGAAATACAGTGTTTTTTCTTCTTGTACAATACAAGAAAAAAATGAAAATTACCGAAATTCACAGAATGATCGAACAGGTACAAGATCAAGGAAATTAAGTACGTATTGCACTATTTCTTTATCATCGTCAATTTTTTCCACTGTTCGACTTTCAGCAAAATGATTATCCCATAGATATCGTTCATGTAAAATTCTTTGGCTGACTTGTTTAACATTCGTATTTGGTATATCAATTGAGCATTTCCACATTGGTAAATTTATTTCATCTTTATCACAATCCACTGATGATGGTTTATGTATGGCTACATGAACACTATCTAGATTTGTTGGAACATTTTTAAATTTCGTATTCGATAAACGCTAAGAAGAAATAGAACGAAAATGAAGAAAGATACTATTGAAAAAAAAAACTATTTTACTTGTAGAAACTGTTCACTATCTTTTGCTATATATTTTTTCATATGAAATTCACCACTACATGCAGTACGAACAAGATCATCAAGACGCTTAGTTTTTCTAGCCGTTGGCAATTTAAGTTCATCAGTAATTGAACTTGGAACCTATATTTATGAAAGATGAATTAACGTTAATGGTAGCAAGAATGATAGGATCCTACTCGACAAAGTAAATCAACATTAAGTATCATTGTCATCAGGCACTGTTCAAGTGTTAGACGTTCGCTTTCTTGTTGTATGGCGTCTAATTTATCTTTTTTCCATTTCCACCAAAGAACTTTCGATGTTGTAGTATGCATATCATGATAAGATTGAAAAACAGATGGTACAAATATCCGTGCCAAACTTCGGCAAGTTGTCTATTTAGAATTAATACAAAAAGATACCAAATAAGAGAATTATGTAAATTCTACTTTATTTTTTTATCTATTTACCTGACTATTACCAGATCGTATTGAAACATCCAGTAAAAATCGAAGAATAGTTTCAAGTACATCGCGAGTTTCATCTGGTAACAATAGAAATGTATAACGTATTGCTAATAGCTGTTCTTCTGGTGATACACCTAGAAAATAATTTTATTGATATTGAATTAATAAAAGAATAGCTTTGATTTTTACATTTAAGTAAATCACATAATAATCGTGTAATTGATGGTGGCATAAGACATTCAGGTAATTCACGAAAATATTGTCGAATAACATCAGCAACAACAAATGGTTGGTATTCATCAAATTTAATTGTTTCTAATGACTCGCCACTAAAATCATTTGTTGTTTCAATTTGTGAACGTAAACGGTCGATTTTCGATTTAACACCTGGCTTACGAAATAATCCTTCACATTTGCCTGCATTCATACGAACATATTGTAATGCATTAGTTATAGCAACGGGAAGTATTTGTCCTGTTGTTTGTTGATACACGCGTAGAGGAACACCAAAAACACGTTTGCCTTTCCATGTTATTGATTTTGGAAGTTTATTTAATTTAGCCAAAGTTCTAATTAAATCAATTACAATCAATATAATTGACACATCTCTCTACAAACACCCACGCATACACTTACATAGTTTCATGATTATGCATAGCATCATGATTACAATTTTGTTGAGTTAATTTTAATAATTTTGACAAGGCTACAATAGATTTAATAAATTAAAATAACAATAAGAAATAAATAAATATATATATTTTCCATCAACCTGCTTCTCGTAAACGATTAATATCATTTGATAATAGTAAATGAATATTTATTTCATTGGTATTGGTTCGCATCGTTATGACTTCGTTTAACTGAAGATTTGTTTGATCAGTTTCTTCTCTAAAATAATATATAGATATAGATATACATACATACATACATACATATATATATATATATATATTCATAAATACTTCTATAATATACATTCATGACGACATATCGATATTCAACGAAACCAGCAGGTTCACTGAATGGATTAACATCGATTATGTGTATATATAGGGTGTGCGTGAGCGAACGATAGGGCGTATATAGTATATATCGGTTGTATGAGTCTCGAGGCTCGAAATTGATTTATGTATGGATAGGGAGGATAAAGAGAAAGAGAGAGAGGGGGACAGAGACAGAGAATAAGAGGGTAAGAAGCGATGACGAATAGCTCTACATATTTTTTTTATCACCATGTGTAAGAGAAAGGAAATGAACATTGATCTATAACTGTACTGGTTCATGATAGTTTTTACTTGTCAATTTTCTATTATAAATTTATTGAAATAAAAAAAGAAGCTTTCAATTCAATTCAGTTTAAAATTAAAAGAAAATCTATTAAAATCATATATTGACCTTGTTCGATCATATGCACACATATATATATATATATGTAGAGTAGAAAAGAAACCTTTAGATTGCTAAGAGATATTTGTATGAGAAAAATGATACGTATGTCTTCATGTCTTTTGGCAAAAAAGAAGTTTGAAGGTTTTCTCAACAAAAGAGAACAAATGAAATGAAGTACATGAAATTTCCATAGAGAATTATTTTTTTAGAAAAATCTAAAACGCAATTGATTGTAAGAGAATAACAGAAAAAAAGTATTAATCTTCGTTACCTCTGAATAATGATACTGTTATACGACTATAATACTACGTAGGATGTCAGTGCTCATGAATGTTGGCAAAAGAAATGAGAAAAAGAGAGAGAATTTGTTCCATCATTCTGTACGATTGACGACAGATCATGATGATGCAACAATTGCGTATGTATACCCGGACCGAGAAAAAGACGTCATCAGCGTTGGCGAATGAGAAACATAGAGATCCACTAATCGTTATAGATGTATTTGTATGTGTGTACACATTCGCATGCGTGTGTGCGCACGTCAAGTTTTATCAGACTGTATCGGTTTACGTCGTCGTCTGCGGCAGATTACCTTCGAACTCGTTGTTGTCGACCCGCACACAGCAGTAACAATGAAAGAAGATTATACTGATTGGTGTGCAGAGAAAATGTGCATATAATAGTTATACAACTTGTGTTTAGAAAGAGTATTCAATAAGTAGACGTTTTTATTCCCCCTTTTTTTCTTCTTTGCATCAGCACTAACATTATTCAATATATGTAAAAGAATTTGAACAAGTTCAATGAGAATGTCTATTTCTTCTACTCTCTTTTTTTTTTCTCATGTACGTTTTACTGAATAGATGTAATAATATGTGTGATTGAACTCATTTTGCTCTATAGAGTACGAGAGACAGAAAGAGAAAGACAAACAATTATAGAAACACATGTCACATATTCTCATATACATTAAATCTTTTGATAAAGGACTTGTCTTAAGATACATTGAAATATGATGAAATAGGAAAGACGAGACTTTCAATCTATGTTCTTTGTTCTATTTATCATATACAGTGACAGATCTAATTTAATTTACGCGCAATAAGAAGGTCATTCAGGCTAATATTGCTAAAGTTTATATCAACACTGCGTTGGTATATTAACAACCAATGAATTGTTTCAGTCGATAAATGCAGAGGAGAAGAAAAAGAAACTCGAAATTTTACAAATGTTTTAAATGGATTTATCAAGGTAATAATCATGAATTGAAGTAGCTTCTTCAAAAACGATTGCTAGTGATTCATGCAAACATTTACCTGTTGATGATACAACACTCGTCGATAGTGTTGTTGATGGATAAAGATGATCGAGAGTTTTTAAGACAAGCGATTGCTGCCAGTGTGTGTGTGTGTGTGTTTGACGATAAAAAGTATTATATTTGTTTTTCTTTAATATTTGTTAAGAGACAAATATTTACTTAGCAGTTTTTTTACTTTGTTTAGATAAAACCGTTCATTGATGATTATATACGAGCAATGAATGTAAAAGATGGGATAGCACATACTTTGACTTTCTCTCTCTTTCTCTCTCTCTCTCTCTCTCTCTTCTTCTTCTTCTTTTTGGCTCTCATATTTCCCCGGTTCATCAATACGGAAAGAGTCAAGTGGCTACTACTAGAACGACGACGACGACGACAACAACAACAGTAGTAGTAGTAATAAGTTAGTATGATCAACCAAAAAAAAACAGATTCTCTCGAGAAATTGAGCGCGCCTCGAATGCAAATGATTATATGTATATAGACAAAGTTAGTTTCATCTTCCGAATAAACTCAATCGACTCGTTCGGAAGGATAAGTAATGTCATATATAAGAGAAAAAAAACGGATGTTTGACAACAATCATCTCTCAATCGCTCAACACACACATATATACATAGACACATAGTATTTGTAGCACATCCATTCTGTTGGATAGATAAGACGAGAGATGATAAATCGATGAAAACTTACCGATCATTGATTTGTGGACTAGCGGCAAGGCCAGAGTCATCACTTGGATAGATATTTGTTTGTTGAATGAGATTCTTTAAATCATCTAACTTTGATACAGTACTTTCTTGATCATTATCATCAAGTAATATTGGTGTAGATGACGAATAACAACGTTCTTTATTATCATTACTATTATTTGTTTGTTGAATATTTTCACCTTCCATTTCAAGACGCGACAAAATAAGATCAATATCATTATTGAAACTAATTAATTCTCTTAGTACATTATCTTCATCAGCATATAAATTAAATCTTGAACTATCAGCTGACATATTATCATTGAGGCTACGACGTTTTCGTCGTGATTTTCTTATGGATTCACAAGATTGATCACGATGAAGCAATGATCGTGGTGTTACACCATTACGGCCTAATAAAGAATTTGTTGATGGTGATAATGAACGCTTTCTTGTAGGAGATAATGGTGTTTCAACTGTTGTTTTCGTACAAACATCGTTATAATATTCATTTAATACTTGCGCTTTATCAATAAGTCTTCGTAGTAAACTTTGTGTTGAATATGACGAAAGATTTGTTGCTACAGAAGATAAATCTCTTGATGGTAAACTTTTTGGTGTTCCACTTTGTAAATCATCATCAGTTTGACGAACTAAATCAGTTGATACGGATTGATGTTTTTTTATTATAGATTTAATACGTTTTCGTCTCTCATTTTCATCGTCATTTATTGATGATGCTGCTTCAATATCTGTAAATGAATATGAATCAACACCATTATTTAAACCGCGAATACCATATGGAATCGAATTAATACGTGTTGTTATATTATCATGTCGATTAAGAAGTAATGGTATTGACTGTGAATTACGCATTGGATGATGAGAATAATTATTATTAATAAATGATTCATTTTTATGTTGACATGACGATGATGAAATAATATTTGAACTATGTTCGTCACTGTCATTCAATAGCCTTTCAGGTTCAATTATGGAATGACCATTTGATATGGGCGATGTTGATCGAGTAGCTGAAATAGTTGCAGCTGCTGCTAATTGTTGTTTACGAGCGGTACTTTGTCTTTTTTGAGCTAAATTTACAGTAAACAAACAAAAAATCGGACTTTCATATATAGATATTTATCATTATAAAAATTCATTTTCAAACCTTTGAAATATTGAATCCGTTTGAAAAACCCTTTGTGAACATCACATTTTGTATCTTCTTTTGGTGTTGTTGTTCCATTCTCGGATTGCCCATATTTATCTATTGATTTAGATTGTTCACGTGTACGAGAACAGCCACAACAAGATGTTAGCAAAGAATTTGTTTTATGTTTATTACTAATTAGTGTTGATGACGATAAGCGTGTACATTTCATTGAACCAAGCAACGTTTTATTCAAAGAATTTGAATTCATGGTCAAAACGAAAATGATTTAAATACGAGTTTATATATATAAATATATGTATATATGTATATATATATATATATATATATATGGAGAGATTCGTACGTGACCCTTATGGCAAGTTATTATGCAAGCTGATGCGAAGGTACATTGTACAGCATAAAGATCTGAAAAACAGACGATAAAAAAGAAAGAGAATGAATGTATGAATGAGCGTTTAGAACAATTATTAAAGTTTTAACGACCGGCCACCCATTTGCCTACTATAACGTATCAGCACAAGACAAGTGCTATTATGTACGTTTAGAAAAATGATGGCGATGATGACCAAAAAAAAATAAGAATGTCGCATAATTTTTTCGTCTTATGTTTTATCGACCGATTAGCATTTTATTCCTTGTCGGACGTAGCTTAGTAGAGAAGAAAAAAGAAAAAATTTATTCGAAGAGTAAAAAAAACGAGCGAGAATTTTTTGTCTGCAAAACGTACCATAAGCACATTGACAAGAACGAACTTGTTGTGCCACAAAACTCCCCGTGGTTAATTTCACAGAAGAAAGACAGTTCATCTTCTCATATTTATTTTATTCTCATATGTGCACACTACCTCCAGTAATCAATGGTATTTTCTCTCTGTCGTTTGGTCTCTTCAATTCTTCCATTTTTTATGGGAATGAACGAACAAAGAGAGAACAAAATGAGATGGGTGTGGAATGAAAATATGTGACATTGAGCGACTATTACGGGGCTGACATGAATAGAATTCAAGATAATTGCTTCTATCCTTACCTAATCGACAAAAGTTTTTAATCATTCTTTCAGCTTCATATGTTCTTCTCAAGTCTTTCTTAATAGAAAAAAAAAATGTTTGTTAACAAAAAAAATATTTTACTCTACTGTCACCAACATATACATTTATGTTTATATATATAGAGGCGACGAATCGAGATCAATTGCAAGGTTTCATCAATTGAAAAGGTTTCAACATCGGCTGCTACGAATGCCACTGCGTTACTCCTATATACATATATGTATACAACGAGCGTGTCATGTGTCAGTACATTTCTTGATAGAGCGACAACTGGTAGAATCATATTTATGTGTAGGTAGTTCTCATCGAGTAACAAGAGTCATCGTCATCGTTTTCAGTCTATACACATGTCTCTTATTACCATGTCCATCTTGTTACGTATGTCTCGCCTCATACATAAATGAATGCATTCAAATGCCTAACTTAAAAATATCGCAGTTGCTACACACACACACACACACACACACACCTGCACATACACTTGAGTTGATGAACTGGAGGAAAACGAATGAGTGAACAATTCTGTTCTCATCTGTTTTTTTTTGTAACAACGACTGGCAATTAGTGTTCATGCAATCATTTAATTCTGCTTTTTTCTTCTTCATAAATATTCAACGACGCTTACCTTAAACCAAAACATTTGTTATGTTTTATTTAGAAGTTAAATCTATCTATTAAGGTTAATGTCTCTCTTTCTCTACTGACTTAATTGTCAAATATTACATTGTCTCGAATGTGTCTCTATAGACATCACTACATACATGACATTATTTCTTGCGCAACTAATTAAGTCTAAAAAGCCTACATGAATGGAATGAATAAGGCTATTGAAATTAAATAAGCTTTAAAAAAAAGAGAGGCAGGTAGGTAGGTGGAGAAGAACATAAACATAGGTAAAACTCACAGCACGATAATAATTGAATCACTTATCCCTTTTAACAATAGTATCCGCTAATCTAGTACATGCCAATAATAATAATAATAGTAGTCGTAGCAATCATGAAAAGAAGAGGACTAATTTTTTTGTTTCTTCTTAATTCATATTCCTTTAGTTGTTTGCCACAACTAATTAAAATGAAAGAAATGAAGTCCTATTCGTAGATACTACTAAACAAGTGTTGTTTATCAGACAGTAACTCGATCATTCACACGAACACATACACACTCACTCACTTACTCACATACACACAACACATGAAGATTAGAGATCATTAAATCTGAACGCGCCTGTTCTCTTTAGACACACATATACGTATAGATATATATATATATATATATATACAGAGATTACACAATCGATCATATACGTTAACTATATCTGCTCATCATCAAACAAGAGAGTCAAAGAAAAACACTTAATATCTCTCGTGTTCACCTAATAAGAAGGAAAAAGGGAGGAAACTGAGTTCCTCAATGTGTGAACATGAACGAAAGCATATACTTATTCTTTGTTTTCGTTGTTATATGCTAATAATGATATTCGTGCATAATCCATTGAAGGGGTATGAGTGTACAAAGCAAACATACATGTAAAATGTTTCTCATTCTACATCGATGTATTTTTTCTTCATGAGGATTAGTTCAAGTAGCAGTTCAGAATACATATGTAAAATTTTGTCGTATTAGGCAAGAAAAAAGGCGATTAACTTTATTTTTTTCTTCGTCTTTGTTTGACTGCTGTTTTGTTTTCGCGGCTAACTCTTTTCATATGATTAAAGTAGAAATAAGAGATTATTAGTGAAAAGTAATTTTTTACTTACCAATTCTAGGCCTTATCTATGAATCTTTTAGTTCAATGTTTGTATCTGCATTTCTATTGAATGAATTGTTCCAGATCGATGATGTAAAATGAAGGTATACCGAGGAAAATGAAGAACGAGCAGGAGAAGAAGGAAAAAAAAGAAGTAGTAGTAGTAGTAGTGGTAGTAGTAGAGGAAGAAGAATAACGTATAAAGCTATAAACAGACGAACGATCACTTCTACTTATGGAGGTGTTTTGTTTATTGGAGCTAATAAATATTTATTCTTTGAATAGAACGACGGGGCATTGATAAAGTATTGAAATTTGGTCTTTCATTATTCAGCAAATGCGAATAGTATTGATCGATGATCGTCAATATTAACGGGAAAGAAAGGAACCAAATGACAGCCATACCAACACAATTCATCATGTATTTGTAAGAGAAAGAGATGGAGAGCATAGATGAAAATCAATGAAACAATTTGTCGTTGTTATTCTGCAGACACGTATACGTTGCAATACTATATCTTTCTGTAGTTTTCAGCAACTCGACGTTTACGGGTGGAAATGACATCAATAGTTTCATCACATACAAGCAAAGCGGAAACGTTTCGTAGTGGTCCGTTCGCTTAGGTTTTTTTTCTACTTACCGCTTGAACACCGATAGCCTCTATGTTCGTTTAAGGATCATTAAAGGGTCCTTCGTTGCGAGTTGCATGGCGTATATATACATTTACATAACGGACCAGACCGGAAGGTGTGTGTATGAGGTTTTTCTTCTTCTCTTCTTCTTCTTCTTCTTCTTTTTCTTCTTTTTTTTTGTATTCTATCTATTTCGATTCTTTCATCAAACGCTAATTAGAGAAAAGGACGAGGAGAGAGAAAAAAGGTACTAGAACAATGAAAACACGAGCAAGAGAGCATGAATTTTATGATTAGACAGATCATTGTTGGTTGAATGAATAGAAGAAGACGGATAGATTTCCTTTATACGCCATGGCCAATGTGCTTACCAATGAAACAAATGAATGTTACTGCTTTCTCAACGGCTTCATTGTCGTTATTGTCTTTTCTATACTTCAATCATATTTTTTTACTGCTGTATTTTTTTTCTCAACAACAAGCAGTCATTCAAATAGTCAACCCCAAGCAATGTCAACGTTAAAATAGTTTCGAGCAGATGACAGTGACCTGTATGAAGTCAAGTATCAGTTGACCACTTGACAATATCCACTGTTAGACAATAAGGATTAAGAAAAATACGCCACTCAATCAATCATCCATTCATGGACAGGTATATTCACAACATACACATTGATATAGATATATGAATTTATATAAATATTTTTGTCATTTTTTACGGATAGTTTCTTTTATTTTTTCTCTTTATTGATCGTAATAATGTTGATACAATAACAAAACGCAAACAAAACAAAAAATGGTCTAAAATTGCATTTATTTGTAATTTGTTATTGTTGAATTTTTATTGTCGGATAGTTCTTAGAAGAAAAATCCGAGAACTTTGCCTCCTGTATGTTTTCGTCGGGCTTCTTCATGATCCAAAATACCATGTGATGTTGTTAAAACAACATATCTAAATTTAATTTAATTTTTTTTCGAAGTTGCAATCGAAAAATAAAAGACTATTTTATATACCCGAATTGACGTGATGGCAAAAGATTCTTTGTCCAGTTTTCAATATCACGAATGGGACAATCGAAACGAGGACTAATAACACCACACTATTTACACAAAAATAAAATATAAAATTTTACATGTAATAATATTTGTTTTACTTTATTTAAACGACCATTTAAGTTAACAACGATTTTACCACTGCGATGATCATCGATGAGTTCGAATTCACCAATATAACCTTGTAATAGAAGATATTTTTATTAAAACAAAATTCGTTTCAGATCAATTTACCATGTTTCATCATGACAGTAAGAAATTTGACTATAACTTTTGAGCATGGTCGAATAATAACTTGACGTTTGTGGCGTTTTTCAGCATTGTTTATTGATTTAAGCGCGTCGGCAAGTACATTCATGTGCACCATGGTGGATATTTATCTATATCTGTGTGGTTTAAGACACGCGAATCTGAAAAAAATAAGATTAATGATTTTCTGATGATTATGGTGTTCGAGACTGATTATTGAAAAAAAGTAAAATGATAAAAAGAAGAGACAGATTTATCGTAGGATAAAAGATTTTATCGATGACTAATGTTATGATGTTGTCAATATGATATGAATCTAGTTCACTTTTTGTTTTTCTAAAATAAACATATTTTTCTTTTTGATTACTTTAACATATAATTTATTTCAAAGTTTTATATAATCACTTATATGTTACTATTCTGTCAATGTATAACAAGTAGCATTAGGATCATCCTACATTTCTGCTTTGTATAAATTACCATACTTGTATTGATCCGGTACACGTATCATCTTTTGATGTGTTTTTGTGCTCTTCAATTCACGTAAAGCACGTATTAATGTCATTACGAACAAATACTGTCGCACAATTTACGTGAAATTCCGGTGTATTATAAAACATTTTTGTACATATTTTTTGATGATACTATTTTATTGACTTTGATTTCATCCATGTGTTCAATTAAATCAATAATCAGAGGTCTTACGTCATCGAGTTCGAGTGAAATAATATCTGAAGAAAAATATGTAACAACAATTACAATATGTTTCTTAATAAAAAAAAAAAATTGTTCGCTAAGTTATAAATACGAAAGGAAAACAATAAGAGAATGGAAATACAAAATAACAATTTGTACTTTAACAAATAAGAAAAACGAAAACATAAAAATTCTCGATTGTTGTTAAGAATGATATAGATTTATTTTTTAATTTTAAAAATACTAATCCGTTTTTGCGTGTTGTTCTGTAGATGTATCTGTCTGTGATTGTTCTCCAGTTGCTACAAGAGCAGAATCTGGTTCACCTGATGTACCAAACTCATTAAGACGTTTACGATCAACTGGATAGATATAACGTTGATAAAGATAAATAAAAAATATGATGTCTAAATGAAATTAAAAATTAGTAAGACAAAAATTAACAAGAAAAATCTTTTTATTGTTCTTACCATCACGGAAACACCCAATTCGATACATTGTAGGCATTTTAATAACAAAGGCAAACAAATCATCAATGAATGTATTTAATGCTTTGTATGTCATCATACGCCATGGTAAATGTGACACTGATTTAAGTTTATAATTAATAAACAATTGTGGTGTCATCATGATAAAGCCTTTAATAGAAAAACTAGAATTTTCTAGATACTTTTTTATTTTATTTTAGTTGAATATATACCGAATGTTAATAAAAAGCCGTAAATTGTACTTAAACAAAACGAATACCAACTTTTTTGTTCATGGTACATTAACAAATAACATGCATAACCAATAACTAATGGAAATAACATCCATGAAAGATATTTAAAAGCCATCTAAACATAAAACAATTATTTAGAAAATTATTATTAATTAAAATTCATCACAAACTCGATCATGATCTGATGTTGATGTATCTGTATAGGATTGTTTGTAAACATATTTATATTTTGGAATGAAACCTAGCCATGTTTCATTCGGTGCACGCTAAAAAAAAGTGTACATTGATAAAATTTCTATATAGAATTAGAAATGATCTTACTTCAAAATTGAGGACTTTTGGTACTTTCCATAATTCAATAATTATACCGACTGACACACTAATACGAACCATTGTGTTTGCTTCGTTATCAAACACATATAATAAGACAATAAAACTTTGGAATATATTGAAAAAAACGCTTCGCACAGATAAGCCTTCAAGAGATTTTCGTGTTCGCCAAAATTGAATATCTAAATAGATCATTTTATATTTTTTTAAGATATTTTTTATATAAGATTTTAATCTTGAACCTGCACTATTAAAAAATATGAAATTTATTCTACTTGTCTATAATTCATTATTTTTAGAACACGAGAAAATTCTCTGTGCTCTTTTATTCTGTATATTGAATTGATTTTATTTGTAGTGGAAAGAGCATTCCTTTTGTTTTCAAAAAGAAACATCATAATAGTTTTTGAAATTTTCTATTCTCTCACTTATTTCTATTAATTTCAACTAAGTTAATCTTTTTGAAGAAAATTTCATCATCTTAAAGCGAGCTATGAGAAAAAAACTCTCCTCGACTATTGCAAGCAATTTTAGTTTCGTTTTATTCGTTTCTCACAAGTTGAATAACTGAGCTTATTTTAAAATTAAAATAAATTCGAATATTTTCTTCAGGAAGAAAAATAAACGTATTTCAAAATTTTACAATTTTTCACAGAAATAAGATCGAGAATTCTCTAGTTTTTACTCTTGAGAATTCAACATATACAAAAACTGTGTATCTACCATTTTTAAAGGCCAAAATTTCAAAAATGGTATGTACGATTGATACAACAATAGTGATCACAAGTAAATATGGATTAGTTTCAACAAGTGCACGCTAAAAATGAATATTTTGTATATATATAGAGAGAGAGAAACAAAAGTATGTATTGTTAGTCTTTTACTTTCATAGCATCTTGATCGTCATCATTTTCTTCGTCGCCAAGTATATTTCCATACCATGATTGACGTACATTTTGTGAAACATACATTTGCCATTTCCACAATTGTATTGGAGCAACAGTAACTGTTAAATTAAGATGACTAAAAGTGAAGGATTTAGTAGTATAATAATTTCTAAAAGTCACATTTCTTACCTCATTGTATCATTAATTGGGTAATAGTCAGAAAGAAGATTCCAATAATCATTCAAATAAAGTACTGGATAATATTTACCCGTATAAATTTCAAAATCAAAAACTAAATTAAATAATAATAATATAATTATTGTCATGAAAAGATAGAAGAAATATGTTGATAATAAATTCAGTAACAAAAATACGCAGAATTACGAATATGGTCTATATGAGAACAAAAACGTGAACCAATGAGCAAAAATAAGAAACAATGTTCCTAATTTAGAATGCTGACCTCATCCTTATGTTAATTTTTCGTAACGAGTTTTGTTCTATGGATAACATGAATATACTAATGTTAAAATAAAATCATATCGTTATTTAAACTGAGGATATATATATATTCGTTGCTTGGCTGATAATTTTAAAGTAGATTCTGTGTACTATCAATCTTTGTAGTACGATTCAGAAAATATTTTTGCAATATATGAATAAAAACTGTAATTTAATTTATCTCGATGTAAGATCTAAGCTACAGAAATAACCTATGGGTTTATCAACAAAATTTTAAAACACACTAGATCAATCAAAATGATTCCACAGTATTCATGAAAGTATACGAAGTTGAATATTTTCTTACAACAAAATACATTGTTGAATTCTCTCTATAGTAATGTCAGTCAACGATTCTATTGAGTTTTTCAAATAGTACATAGCTGCAAATATATGTAGAATGATTAAACATTTATTATCATCATCGTTAGAGACATTAGCCTATACACGTATCAGCAACAAGAACTAAATCAATTATAGATGTATTTTTTCTCTGTTAGCAGCAATGTTTACTCTATCCCAAATTTTTGTTCAAATTAAAACCCAAATTATGTTTTAAAATTAATCGCAGCGGCAGTTCACCGGAGTAGGTTCCACATTTTCAACAGTCAAGAATTAGTCTCATTTCTGATCTCTCAGAGAATTCAACTGGATATTTTTATAAACAAAAATTTAATATTCAGCAATGTTTGCAGTGTCATAATGTAAATCTAAAGTAGTTGTTTAAATGTCAACATCAATTCTATGCAATTCATGTGCCATGATCATGAACAACAGTTAACTATCATAGAAATCTGAGTAACAATATTAGTATATCACTAATTTCTTGTAACTCTTTCAAAAAAACTCATAATCAAGTTTTCTGATATTTTAAAATTATTCGCTTGACTTTTATGAAAAACTTTTCTTTTTGTACTTAAATATCATACAAATACCCAATCGATTCTACTACTTATTATTCATCCATGAAACTGCACCGAAATGATTTCAATCGACAGAAAACATTTCACTGATCTCCTTGAACTTTACTCGGCATTAAAGTTAGATGTCTCATCTTCATTTTTTTTACCTTGATAAATTTAAACAATGAAATCAATAGGAAAGAAAAGTCTATATACTTACATTTATCCATGGGCGGTGGTACACTGCCTTTTGCCCATGGTGATTGATCATCAAGTAAATTGATGGTCATATTTGAATGCCAATGAGATAAAAGTTCAACAAGTTTATCCTCAGCTTTCTAAAAACAAAAGAATTAAGAAAAAAGGGATACGATTTAAACTTTTCATGCACACCTTTTGATATTCTTCATCTTGTTCTGTATTGCCTGTTAGAAGATTTTTTGTTTTTTTATAAACTTTTTTCTTATATCGATTTAAACCTACACAATTCAAAAAAAACATTAATTTATTTAATGATATTTAATTATTTTAGAACGTACGTTTGCTTTTCGAAAATACAAATTGTGGTGAATGAGATTCACGTTCATCAGGATCAATAGAATTGCCATGTTTAGTTACAACAACATGCAAATAAAGTGATCCATTGTTTTGCACATTCTATTCATCGACATGAAATATGCAAAGTTTTATTTTTCTTTCTTAATTGTTACATACTTTTGAAATAGGAAATTCAATAAATTTTGTATAAGTTCCTTCTGATGACCAATCTCCATATTTTAGACCATCGATCTCCCAGATAGGTCGTTTTAACGCTTCGTACGCATAGATTTCTTCTTCATTGATAAACAAATACATATCCTATAGAAAATGTTCCCAAATTTTAAAGATTTTTTCAAAATTTTATTCTTACCAATAAATCTCCTTTTGCAAAAAGATTTCCGGGTGTATAACCAGGAATAGAGCTTCCTGGCGAAGTAACATTTCCGGCTGTATTATTTTTTGGTGATCCACGAAAAAATTGTGTGACAAAGTAAAACATTACGATACGAAATCCAAAGGATTTAATAAAATCCCATCGTGATTGACGCGGCTGAACTGCAGGTGTAGGGCTATTATTTTGCCCAGCATCTACTGGTGTATTATTATTTTCTTGTTGCTCATTCTAGAAAAAAAAATCATTTAGATTTGATAATAAAAAATTAGAAGAAATTAAAAATATATACATACAGAATTTCCTTCGTGTTCTCCTGATTGGTTTTCATTTGAATTCGACATGATCTAGAAAAAAAATGATGTGAAAATTATCTTCGCTTTGTTTTTTTTTGAGAAATTTAGATTTCTAGTAGCCATACTGTAAAATAATTTAATCTCATCAGTTTTATCGGCCTCCGACTAACATCGAATAGCAAATAGAAAAAAACTTTCTTCATGAAATAAATCTATTTCACTAAATAAAATATTTCTATTTATTTAAAAAACAATTTTTCGATTTTTATGAAATTTTTATTGACAGTAGCGCTATAAACAATCATTGGTTAATAATAACAGCTGCAGATGACTCATGAATGGCATGCAGTTTTTACTGTGAATGATATAATTATGTGGAAACATCTATTTTTTTGTTTTTTTATTCAATTAATCTATCAAAATACTGGTGATCCAATATATCCAGTTCAAAATCCTTGTTTGGCTATACTCGATCGTTTGTCTGACGCATCATCTGGATTTCTTAATTGTGCTGTAAGTCGAGCACGACCATTTAAATTATGTGAAGGCTGTGTTGATAATTATGCACGATTGCAAGATCTTATTGGTTTATTGGATAAAGTTTGTTGCTATTATTCTCTTAAATCAGTTCTAACTTCATTTGATGATACTAATATCTGATTTAGACCTATTCTGATGTGGATAGAAAGATTACATGTAAAAGATTTCTTGAAAGTTATGATTCAATACAAATTGTTGCTCAACTAATTTCATTTGTGGAGAACATTTGGATGTCATCATACTGCGACAGTAAGTTTCTTGAAAAACAAAATGAGGATATTTAAACGATAGGAGTATGGTAGAATTGTTCAATACATTGCAGATGTTTTTTAAGAAGCGATACAATTTCACAACAATCACACATAATTAAAAGAAAAGACTCTGCCACATTTCTATCATATCTCGATCGAGTAATTTTCTCAGAAGATAAAAAGTGATGAGATCTTCCAAACGACTAAACAGCGAGATCCAGGTGATTGTTTCTAGGATTTAAATTCATACATTTAAACTACGTTTTCAATGAATATGATCTGAAAGTAAGATCCAGCAAAATAACCATATAATCTAAACAAGCATGTTTCTTTCATGCTTTGTTCATTTCGATAATTCTGAACAAGATTTTCGTACACATCAATAATTTTTATGAGCAAACATATTTTCGAAATTCAATTTTGCAAAACTATGTCAAAAGTTCTCAACAACGTCTCAATACATTTTTTCTGTTTAGACTGTATTACAGGTTACAAAGACACAAATGGTACGATTGATTACAGTCTAACTGATGATACTAAACAATTTATTCAGAAAAAATTAAATTTTGATTTTTGTATATTTAATGCTACTGGTGTAAGTGTTTTCTATTGAAAAAAAACAAATCTTATTACTATTTGTTTTTCGTTCAATCATCTATAGCGTATGGTTCCAATTATTCCGATTGATCTCAATGTTACATTGAATACGAATGTATGTTCTGTATGTCTAACAACTTACAATAGTATCAATGAATTCTTCTTAAAAATAACACAACAAAATAACAATGGTGTTTGTATGGATATTGTTGATACAGTAAATAGAAAAGAGATTGTTCAATCCATGTTAATATTCTTATACATTTTTTGTTTCAAGATGAACTACACACGATTACTATGGAGTAAAATATATGAATGTAGACGTCATGATCCAGATTATGTAGCTGTTATCGGCATTTCATTTTTTATTCCAACTATTGTTCTAGTCTTTTATATCAGTGCATTATTTAAAGGTAAGCGGTAATATCATGAGTCACCGAGAATTTGTTGCTTAATTAAAAATTTCTTTTGATTAAAAACTTCTTTTTTTCCTCTCTCTAGGTGAACGAAAACAAATGAAATTATCAAGGCGTAAGTAAAAAAATGTTTCTTTTTCAATTTAATTGCATGATTTCTACTTTCAGAGAAGCGTCTTCCACCTCATTCCACGACTGCTGCAATAGTCGGTGCAAGAACATGGTTGTGGTCCAATCCGAATGAATAGAGAAACTTGCTCTCTGATTTTTTTCCTTCTATTTTTTATACTGGGTTTTTGTGTAATATGATGAACAAACATTTAGAATAATGATAATTTGAAAAAAAGTAAATTTCTCTATTATCAGTGAAAAGCAATAATAAATCTTTGTAAATTTTTTTCATATATCCGATTATTTTATGCTAATAATAGGCAAACATCTTATCCATACGAATACAGTATAGAATTGTCCGTGTCATACTGTCCCAACACTTTTAATTGTGTAACTGCCGATTACTAACTCAACAGACATGTACTTTAAGCAATACCGCAGAAAACGTGTTAGAATTTTTTAAACTCATTATCAATAATTTATTCTTATCAAAGTATTAAAAGTGGTTAACAACAAAAAGAAAACAAGCTTTTGTCCTTCCTTTTTCTTTATATATGACGAATGACGATGCACAGGAATCGACCAATAGGAAATCAAAAATTGTGCGTTCCTATTGGTTGAAAAAAGTTGTCGTTGAACTGGTCTATATAAATGTAGACAGCTACTTCCTTCACTCTTATAACTACATAAATTTCTATCGTTTACTCGATTGATACTTATTCGCTATGGCACCAAAAGCTCAAACACCATCGAAAGGTTCAAAGAAAGCTGTTACAAAAACCAGCAAAGGTTCAACAGCAGGTAAAACTGAAAAGAAACACAAACGTCGACGAAAGGAAACCTACTCAATCTACATCTACAAGGTTCTTAAACAAGTTCACCCAGACACTGGTATTTCATCAAAAGCCATGTCAATCATGTAAGCTAATTCATTAATTAAATAAAAACATGTATCTATTTATGTTCTCTATTTAATAGGAACTCCTTCGTCAACGATATCTTCGAACGTATTGCCGCTGAAGCCTCACGTTTATCTCACTACAATAAACGATCAACAATTTCATCACGCGAAATTCAAACAGCTGTTCGTCTTTTATTACCTGGTGAATTAGCTAAACATGCCGTCTCAGAAGGCACAAAAGCTGTTACCAAATACACCAGCGCTAAATAAATTGATGGCTAGTACAGAGAAGATCAACACCTATCTCAAATTAATATCGAAAATATACTAAAAACCCAACAGCCCTCTTTAGGGCTATTACAGTATATATTTGAAAATTATGGAATCGCGCCTAACATCTTGAATTTGTTGTCTCGTTTAAATAAATGTAGTGTGCATATGTAATCGAGCATTTTCTGTCGAATTAATAATAGATAAACCATTTTTCTGGGAATTTATTCACGTGAATTTTGCAGACACAACTGGTCTTCGCTAATCTTTTGGTACTCGAAATTTTGTTTGTCGATTACGAAATTCAGATTCGTTGATATCGTTCATATTTGAGAATAGCTATTGTTCAATGCTTATCAAATAGAATTCGTTCGAAGTTACGAAATTTCTAGGATAAATTTAGTTTAATATTTTTCATAAAAACAAATATCTAATTGATTTATTTTTTTTCAAAAGACAGATGTACTTTCGTCACATACCTTTTTCTATCGATTCCACAATCAAATTAACCTTATTACTACGAAGTATGACTTAGTTTTAGAGAAAAACATCATCTCATATCGTGCATGAAACATTCATTTAAACTTCGAAAGCGATTTGCTCAATCGTTTCAAATACACATTTTATCCAAGTATATATAGATGTGTATTCACACCGAATTTGCGATTCTTGACAAAGTCGAAAGACAAATAAATTAACACCTTCGTCATGTCTGATAAATTTGTCATTTACATCATCCAAGACAGACAACAGTTTCACGGGTTCATTCTCAAAGTTCACAATGTAGTAGATTTAGAAAAAATTGATGTTAGCATTCAGTTTTGTATTCAGTGCGAGATCATAAATTTAAAAAATAGAATATTGTAGCCCTAAAGAGGGCTGTTGGGTTTTAGTTTTTTAAGACTTTTTCTCGAGTGATGTTATTCATCTTAAGCATGTTTTCATCGTTAAATTTATTTAAGCGCGTTCACCACGGATGCGACGGGCCAATTGGATGTCCTTTGGCATGATGGTTACACGTTTAGCATGAATTGCACACAAGTTGGTATCTTCAAAGAGACCGACTAAGTATGACTAGAAAAGAAAAAGGTAAATATTACGATTAAGAATTGAAAATAAAAGTTCTTACTTCACACGATTCTTGTAAAGCCATAACAGCGGATGATTGAAATCGGAGATCTGTCTTGAAGTCTTGAGCGATTTCACGAACCAAACGTTGAAATGGTAATTTACGGATAAGTAATTCAGTCGATTTTTGATAACGACGAATTTCACGAAGAGCAACGGTACCTGGGCGGAAACGATGTGGTTTCTTGATGCCACCTGTAGCTGGTGCTGATTTACGTGCAGCTTTTGTTGCTAATTGTTTTCGTGGAGCTTTGCCACCAGTTGATTTACGAGCGGTTTGTTTTGTACGAGCCATTGATTATATTTGTTTGAATATAAACGTGTGAATGAGAGCGATGAAATGTTTCTATAACGAATACAGAAACGCAAGAAATCGAACGCTTTTTATAAACAAGACGGTCAGCCACGTATTATTGGTTCAGTAACACGATTACTAATTGACCAATGAACAACATGAGTCTTTGTTTGCTAAACCAACCAATCAGTAGATCTATGTATGTAGACTATAAAAACGGTTGCTTAATTCATTACTAGCTTCATATTCATCGTCTTCTTCTTGTTTATTTACACTTAAACAAATCATACAATGTCTGGACGTGGTAAAGGTGGTAAAGGTCTTGGTAAAGGAGGTGCTAAACGCCATCGTAAAGTTTTGCGTGATAACATTCAAGGTATGTACTCTCAGCTGATATATACGTATTATGGAATGGAATCAACTAATAATTCTCTCTTTTTTGTTTTATAGGTATCACAAAACCAGCTATCCGCCGTCTTGCACGACGAGGTGGTGTCAAACGTATTTCTGGTTTGATCTATGAAGAAGTTCGTGGTGTTCTTAAAATCTTTCTTGAAAACGTTATTCGTGATGCTGTTACATATACAGAACACGCCAAACGTAAAACAGTTACAGCCATGGATGTTGTCTATGCTCTTAAACGACAAGGTCGTACTCTTTACGGTTTCGGTTCATAAGCGGTTTAAGTTCTTGCTGCTCAATCGAATGAAATGAATACCATCACTTTCTAATCATTATAAACCCAACAGCCCTCTTTAGGGCTACCATTTTTCTTTTCTAAATTCAAATTTGTGGAATCGTTTTGTTTAACCGATAGAATTTGCTGTTCGAATAGAAAATAGTTCACTAAACAAATGTGAACGTCATACGATACGAAATGCTTGTTAAAAGTCATTATGAAACAAAAAATTGTGTACAATTGGTTGTAGCTAGACAGAATCTGTGCCAGTTGACTGAATTCCTTGCTGGTGCAGGAAGATTCTTGGCGCTAGAGAAAGTTCGATATGAAAGAGAACTTGTCGGATTCTGCATGATTGTAAAGAAATTAACTGTCCATGTATATGTAATAGAAAAAAAAAGATCACATCGAAGTCAGCCAACGATTATCAAGCAAAAGCGATGCACAATGAAGTGTTAAGTGAAAATTGGTGAGTTCGATAGGCAGAAAAATGTTATTAATTTCTTACATGGAAAGATTCGTGCAATAAACGCCAATCGATAATATTAACAGAAAGTATTAGCTTCAATGGTATGCAATAAAAATATGTTTTATTAGGTGTTTCACTATAGCTTTCGAGGAGACGTCACGTAATTGAAATATGCTATGTGTCTGAAATGGCAGTTAGATTTCTTTGGTGTCATTTTCTCTATGATGAATTGAAGGTTCGATAGTTGTCTTATTATCGATGAAATTTGTATTCGCAACATTTGTTCTGAATTAGAAGTTCTCAAAGAAAATTAAAAAATTCAATTGTGAAATATTCGCCTCTGCTTATTTATCAAAATTAGAAAAACAATTTTCTAAATACACGCAGCAAAAACCAAAGATTCTGAAATATATATATTCAAGTTGAATGAAGTCAAATGTTATGTGGTTTTTGTCAGTGATGATTTATCGACGAGTTGTGCCACCAAAGCCTATTGAAAAAAGATTTATTTCAAGAAGAGATATAATTAAAATGGCTAACTATCTTACCACTACTAGTATGAGTACCACTCGATGGTGAACTACTTCCATTGGTACTATTATTAGTTGTTCCACCACCACCTCCACCAAACCAGCCAGTATTTGTTGTACGAGGTATATTTTGTGTATCGGGTCTAGAGAAAAAAAAACAATTGATTTTTACAAATAGGCTGATGTTATAATTTACCGTCGATTTCGAGCACCAAAAACATAACCCCCTAAAGCACCAAGTGCAGCTCCAGTTAGAAAGCCTGTGCCACCAGTATTCTGTTGTCGATTAGCAGTACAATCTTCAAAATGAATTAAATGAATAAGTCGAAGGGATTAAATGTTGGATTTACCTGGCCCAGTATTTCCGTAATCTGTAAAATCCGTTCGAAAACCTGCTGGTGGTGGTTGTCCTGGTCGAGCATTACCTCTTCCTGGTGCGCCACCAAAAAAGTTACCAAAACCACCGGTACCACCTGGGAAAAAATTGGAAAACCAACCACCGCCGCCACCACCTGTAGAAACAAAAATCTTAAATTATTAGTGTCAATAAAAATTTTTAAGTTTACCTGGTGGGCGATGGTCAGGTCCAGCTGACATTGGTCTAGTACCACCTGTACGATTATCACCCGCTAAAAACGATTTAATAGCAAAGAATACCAGAACGATAAGTGCAACTTTAAAAACAAATGGCCAAAATCTCGAATTTGATCTAAAAGAAGAAACTTGATAAATTGTAGATACGTATGTTAAAAATTATTTTTCAACATACGGTTGTCGAACATTTGATTGATTTGGATCAGAAAAACTTTTATCGGTTAATTCAAGGTTGTATTCTAACTAAAATTAAAAAAAAATAAATGCTTTATTTCAGAAACGAAAGGAAAACGATTCAATTTACTCCACAAGATCCAGCTAGAATATATGGATCATCTGGATATTCATATCCTTCACATGATACACTTAATCGTCCGAATTTATATTTCTTCGGCATTTCACTTGTGCATTCCCACTAGAAAGAACAGTTGAAATCAATTTTAGCGTTACAAACTTCTAATCGCTTACTTGAATATCGACACCATTCGATCCGCGATTATAACATTGTACAACATCAGGCTCAAAGGCACCTTTTGCCGAGCCACCAACACATTTGAGTTGTGGAACAGCTGAGACTCGTCTTGCTTGGGTTCGTTGTCCTTTGTAAAGTGTTAATGCCTGGACACTCTCGAGTAAAACACTTTTCTGTTGGTTACCGCCTAATAAAAAAAATCCGTTGATTTATTAAGGTTTGACTTCGTGTTTTTCTTTACCTTGAACACAATGCAAGGACAGATAACAAGTTATTGCTAATAAAGCTAAAATTTTCATAGGAAATTTTTTTTGTTTTTATAATTTCAAATGAATGAGTAAAAGAAGACAAACTGCATTAGTATCACCACATCATCGTTACTTGGACGAATCAAAAAACACTAGTAGACCTCTAAAAGGTGTTTTAACTTTTTCTGATTGGTAGAAAGAGACCAATCTATTTTTTATGTTTAGTCGAACATCATATTTTTTCTTTTTTCTGCTGTGTTTGAAAGATGTCTAATTCCAAAGAAGGTAAAGTTCTACTTTAAACAGCCTTTTATATTGAAAATTCTACATAAGAGAAAAAAAATTAGGTTGGCTGAAAATTAAGCTACACAATCACACGAAATGGCATCGTCGATTTTGTATTATTGATTGGGATAAAGCCGTTTTATTTACAGCATCAAAAGCTGATACACGTTATAGTGATTGGATTCAACTTTTATCAACTATTACTATTAACGATTTTGAATATTCTTTTCATAATGAGTCGAATAATAATTTAACCAATACTACAATTGAAATAGTTGCTGATAGTATGAATAATATGTGAGAAAAAATTAACTTCACATATATTTTATCTCGTTTTTAAAGATGGAAGAGCGGCACATTACTTACAAGCAGAAACAAAAAAAGATTGTGATAGTTGGCTATTAGCATTAAAGCAAGCTGCATACAGTCGAGTTGGTGGTGGTAAGTTAGTTATTAAAAACAAAACAAAAAATTAGAATTTTTATACTAATCAAGTTGGCTTTGATTCTTTCTGGTTTAGCATTGCGTCCTCTTTTTTGTGTTCATGAGAAAACAAATTTTTGATAAACTACAATCAGGTACATTTGATTATTTTATCAAGCGTAAACTAAAAGAAATACTCTAGTATAGATTAGGGGTGTACCATTTAATTTAATGCGAGTACATTAACGGCGTTAATTAGCTAAAAGCGTTAGCCGTTAATATTAACCTATTAACGCTTTTAGCAAAACTGTTAACGTTAACTGAAACCGTTAATTTTAAATTAACGGAAACATACCACCCCTAGTATAGATTTCGTTTTTCTTTTTACATTTTTTTCCTAGCAAATAAATTGTAACATATACGTTGACAAGACTGATTTGCAGATTGGAATAGAAATTGATTCCTTTTTTTTTACAAACTACTATTTCATACAGAAACCTTTATGTTTCTAAGTAAATAATAAAAAAATATGTTAGCATAATATTGATTTCATTTAAGCCTATGAATCTAACTAAGAATTGAGTTTATGTGAAGTTGATACAAACTGATTTGTTAAATACATTTGTTACATAAGAAGAAATATTCCATTAAACAGAACAGAGAATACTATAATATTTTCAAAGAAGTTTTTATATGACTAAAATATTGTTCTTTTATGACTTATTAGATGAGAAAAAAAATCATCCGGTATTATCTAAAGAATAATTTCAAGTTTGAATTTTTTTCATGTCGTAGTATAAAGCTCAAAATTTAACTGTCACTTTTGCAATTTTATGTTTTCTTTGTAATATGTCATGATTTTTATTCCTGAAGGAAGTAGATTTCCATTGACAGAAAATAATTAGTTAAACACAAGAAAGAGAGAGAGAGAGAGAGAGCTAATATAGCACTGTCATATATTTATCTGGAACCAACGATATCAATGATCAGATTAATGTGATTTGATTTATTATGTTACATTTCTAAATTTTTTTCGAATATTTCGTAGAAATTTTTCATTTTCCTATTCTTATTTAGGTATTTTTGGTCAATCATTGGAAGATACATATAGATATTCTCGAGACAAAAATTCGCTTGTACCATTAATTGTCCGACAATGTTGTGATTATTTACTTGAACATGGTTTAACATTTGTTGGTTTATTTAGGTAGTAAAAAGAATAA